ACAAACAATATCATTAATCAATACTTTGGAACAAAATTAAATTCCTTTACTATCTTTTCTCATACAGTACTATCCTTTGTAACAATATTCCTTTTTGCAAATTTAAATATAAAAATAAATAAATTATAAATAGATGAATATTTTACAATCTCAAAATTGTTAACTATATTATTATTGTCATCTTCCTTTACACATTTTTGGGATTATTTGTATCTGCCTACAATAATTATTTAATTCATTATTTATAACTAAAAATTTGAAAGTCTTTTTACCAACTTAAGAACTAATTTTATAATCTATTAGAGCACAAAATTAATCTTGAGGCTCATCTGAAATACCTGTCAAACAAAAGCTAAGTTATTTAAATTAAATTAAATTTCAAATTTATAAAATCAAAATAAAAAACCTTTGAAAACATTATATAGCACCAAAGACTCCTTTTTCTCCTTCCTAGAGGCATTTACTTGTTTTATCTTCTCTCCCAGGATTCTAAACTGACAAAGGTAGACAAACTTAATTTAGCAAACAATAGCCTTCAGTACAATATAAAGATTAATCTGTATATGCTGGCTAGCATTTTTAGTTAACATCTCTAGCAATCGGTAGATTAATACTTAAAGGTTGACATTCTCCTTTATCATTGATGCATTAAAAACCATCAACGCAACTGATTGTGGAGGCTATTATTTTTTATACCAAAATATTATTTACTTTTTATCATTCTTTCATACTTTCATTTTATTTAAATCAAATAAGTGAATACTTACGTAAATATAGATCTTAGCATTTTCCTGAATTATTTTTTGCAGGAACCTTATTTCCTGGATATTAAGTGCTTTCTAATTACAATGAATGGCATAAATATCTTTTCTATTTAGATCTTATTTTATTAAATTAGATAAAAAATTGATAAAAGTATATTTTTTTATATTTTTTAGTATGTAAGTATTTCTAAAATTACTATATTGGTATTTAGAATATGCAATAATTTAGATCTCCACATTCATCAATACCTTTTGATTTAATTAATAATTATATTAAGTTTTCATAATTTTTATAAATCTTTATCTTAATTTAATTATTCTATATTTGGTGTCACATCATAACTAACTTTAAAGTGAAGAAACTAAAGTGAATATTTATTTATTTATTTGTTAATATTTACCTATTTAACTAATTTCGAACTAAGCTAAACATCTTTGAGTTAAACTTTCTAATCCTACATATTAAGTATCTCCCAGGTAAGCACCTAGCTAAAAGCAATATCTTTAATTACTTTATACTTAAATAATGCAGAAACCAGTTGGACAACTCTTTATTTTTTATCCCTTTTCCAGAATACTTTAATAAGGGAGACAAGAAGTAGTTATTATTTCTTTGGCGAAATTAGGTAGAGATGTATCTTAAGACATATCAACACAAACATCTTTCATTAAACATTATCTAGCTTTGTGGCATTTTTTTCTAAATTTTATAATTATAAAGTTAATATTATATCATCATGAAATTTATATTTACGAAGGATAGCTTTCCTGGCATTAGCCATTGTCATCTTTAGTAGAAGTTATCCCTGTATTTGTTATTTTAGTACATTAGACATAATACTCTTATTAACCACTACCACTACCACTACCACCATCTTTTAAAATTCTCAAAGTTTTAAAAAGGCCCTATTATTCTACAGTTTACAAAATACACGAACCATCAGAGCATGTTAAATTTAAATTTTTACTATCTAAGTTTAGCATATTTATTAAAATGAAACTATTTTTTTTAATTAAAATAAAAAATACCTAAATCCTATTTAGGAATACGTACATCTTAAGAAATGCATTTTCCTATTTGATTGTTTTCTTGATAAATAGCACCCTAAATTTATAAAAATATCTGATTAAATAGGTTAATTGCAAAAAAATAAAATTACAAAAGTTTTTGGATTTTCTATTGTCATCAATTCACAAGATCTCTGGCCATTATCCTCTAAAATACATGTCGATTTTGCTTCTGGAGAATAAAAACATTCTATAAAATCAGTTTCTGAGTTAGTTGAACATGAATTATCATGCTTTTTAGAAATATTTTGAAAATCATCCATTCCAACACAAGAATATTTTGAAATACAAAATCTAATTAATTGTAATTAAATAGTAAGTAATTAAATCTTTAAGAAAAAATTTTTAAAAACTTACCCAAAAATACACATTTCAATTAAATTATTATCATCAGAAAATACTTCATTTTCTTAAGCACACAAATATTATTAAGTCCTTCCGACGATTTTATTATTTAAATCTCCAACTTTTAGGATATGAGAAGATTCAAAAAGACAATAAGGACTTTTCAAAAAAACTAAATCTAAATATATTTGAATAATTTAATAATTTGACATAATTAAGATAGTAATTAAATACTTTTATTGATAATTAAGTCTTAGTACTTGTCTTTAAAGATGCATTCATTAGTTTAATTAATAAACGCTACACCAATTACTTCATCTATAGACTAATAAGTCGTGCATTTATTTATTTATGTGATTGAATTTTTTAGTAAACAAATACTTTTGTCGCTAAAGCAAGACTAAATTTACCCTTCTTTATTAATTTATGCACAATTTTAATTAATATCCCTTGCTGCATTTTAATTAAAATCCATGGGTATGCAGATGTCATTAAATAGACAATACCTAAGAATTATTATGTATTAAATTCAAAAATAAATAAAAATAAAAAATAATACTAATGTTTGCAACTACATTTCATACTGTTAGGTCTTTAATAAAATTCCTCTAACGAAAAGTCATCTTTGAGGCAATAATCAAATATTAGATTGACTAGAACTAATAAATTTAATTATACAAAATATATTAATTAATTAAATTTATTAAAAGCACTTTAATTTATATTTACTTAGAGGAGAGTCTATTTTCAATTAATCAATAATATCTTGTTTTTCTATGCAAATCAAATTCATTTAAGCATCTTTATATATCCCTATATACTGATCTTAAATGTCTTCAGTTATAGTTACACACATAGTATTTTATTTATTTTTGCAGACACTACTTTTTCCATTTTTTTCTATATCAAAACATTTATTCACCTATTTGACTATATCTCTATCAAATAAGCATTTCTAGCTATCAGAATCTATTCCCACGATATCAGAAGTCAGCTTTATGCACATATTGATAAATACTGAATAGCATTAATTTTCACCACATAATTCGGCTTTTGTTTAAATTATGTAATGAAAAAAAATGATTTATATTGCATTAAAAATTCTCATCTTATTTTTTTAATGATAATTCTTTAATATTTTTTTTTCTTTCTTCAAATATTGATTATATTTTAATTATGTTTATTCGAATTAGAATGTAGAATCTACCAATAATAAATCAAATAGGTTTAATATTTTTGCTGTTGATAATATTTTGTTATTAGGAAGTGCACAATCATTTTTGATTATATATATATAATACCCTAATATACTACATTTTCAAGACTATATGCAAATCACAATATTAGATGGTATTAAATCAAAATTTTTAGTTTAAAAAAAGATACTTTCTCCAAACTGTATCTGAAGTTAAAACTTATAATATATGTTAAAAATTTAAATTAGAATATATATTAGCTTTCAATATTTTGATATGTTACTTATAAAATAATATGTATTAAATAGACTAATGAATATTTTTATTACAACGCAAGTTTATACTGCTTAGATAATTTCTTTTTAATTAAGTTACAGTGAATTAAATTACCTGTGAGGGGTTTGCATGAAAATATTAGTCTTTTTATTTTAAGAACCATAATATATTCCATTAGCAAAAATGTTTTTCTAATTATTATGAATACATACATACATGGTTAATATTTCTACTTTTAAAATTTGCTATTTTAGACTGACTTCCGCTGGATGAAGATATTTAAAATTATTTTTTTAGTTTTTGATTTATAAGTATTTGTAAAAATCATAGAATTGTATATATTATTTTTATTAAGGACTTTTTTAGTTTACATTAAGCTAATTTCAGAAAATAACATTTCTATGGATGTAATTTATTCTTTAAATCAATTCAGTTTTTACCTTTCAAAAAAAAATTTAATTTCATTAATTTTTATACATTCATTAGTATTTTATGACTCTCAAAAGCTAAATCATCTTGCTTTTACTTTTTCTTTTGCTAATAGATATTTTATCTTTATCAAGCAATCAAAACAATTTTCTCCTCTGATTATTGCAAAAATCCATAATTAGAATATATTTTCGATCAAATATCTTTTATCTTAAATAAATTAGGTATTTGTAACAAGTAATAAATATAAAATATGTTTACTTATTTAAATTTTATTTGTAATATTTTTTGAATCTTTGGAGTGTTTTGGAAAATATTTTAAAAATCATTATTTGATCAATTAGGTCTTATAATTTTCTTAATAAATACTCATAAAGAAATGGTAAAAAAAATAAATAATAAAATAGTTCAAATTTCATTAGTTTGCATTATGCTTTAAAATTTATTGACAAAAAAAAGAGCCCAGTACTAATTGATTTTTAATATGATTAAAAAGATTTTATTCTAAATTTATTTTTTACTTGCAGAGGGAGTAAGATAGATTTTCACACATAATCAAAAATTCAGTCCTTAACAATTGAAAAAAGGAATTTAAAGGGAATATAAATGGGGATGATAATTATTTAAAAAAATCTTAGGATCTAATTAGTAGAATAAATATCTTTAAATGCTAAAAAAGCTAAAAATAGCTAAATAATTATTTAAAATATTAAACTTAAATTTACTGAGAAATAGATATATAAAGTTATTTCTAGTTTAGAACAACCTCTTTAAAATATTAACAATAATAATCAAATTTAAAATTAAATCAATAGTAAAATGATGAAAATTATAAAAAATAAAATTTTATAAAAATAGTAAAATAAGCTAAATAAAGGTTAGTTGTCATTTTTCGAGCAAAATAAAATATCATAGCTGCTAAATGGTTAAATTAGCTGCTCACAATTTAGCAATTCTCAGAATAGTATACATTTTTGTTTCCAAAAAATCCTAACAGTATATGCAACAAATGTATAATCAATTAACTGCTTACATATTATAGTAGAGTTAGTAACCAATTCTTCAACAAAAAATCATGAATCTCTGAAACCAGTTGAATAATTACATATTAATAGTACCTTCCCAAAATTATAAATAGTATTAGATAGTAATTACACAATCACTAAAAATAAAATTAATGTTTTAAGAAATTTTTATTATGATGATGTTACAAATTCTGCTTTATTATCCGCACATCCAAATTTGATGATTAAATTGTTCATCTTATGGTTCGTGTGAATTTATGCATGTGATGAATTTTACCTCATAAATAAAAAATCCAGTCCTTATGATAGCTCAAAGAATAATTTACTTTTAAATATCCAAGAAAGAAAAAATAAAAATTGATTTTGATAAATATTTTACTAGCTCTCTCATAATCAGATTTTTGATAAATTTAGTGGCTAGGACTTAGATATTTTTAGAAAATTTAATAAATAAATGAGGTGCTCTTGGATATTTACTCTGACTTTATTGAGTAATTATATTAAATAATAGAAATTTTCAAATCAATTCTATCTTTGAATTAAAATTAATTTTTTAAATATTGTATATGAAGAGCTATCATAAATACAGATACTGATATATATAGAAAAAAGTGCCTTCTGTCCCCAGAAAAAAATTAAAAAAATATTTTATTTTTCCAGCCTTTATGGAATATTTAATTTAATTAATTAACAATTTTTTGAAGATTAAATTTAAAAATTAGAAATATTTTATAAACCCTACTCTTATATTTTTATACCTCTAAAATTTATTAACTTGTAAGTAATTTATTACTGTTGTTTATGAATTATATTTCTTAAATATAAATAAATAAATAAGAATTTAAACTTACAGTTGATTACTCAATTATATTAAAATATCTAAATTGAATGCAAAGATATTTACTTTAATTTCATTTTTTGAGTATGAGGTTTATTTTAATGAATATTTTTATTTTTTTGGTTTATTAATCATTATATCTATAAATTTCTAGATATACTTTTGCAAATGGAATAAATAATTCTTAAATATTCATCTTTAGTGTTATTTTAAATATAAATAAAATAAATACTTCAGAAGAATAAACTTTCATTTAAATTTTCTGCAAATTGGAAAATTATATCTTAATCTAATATTTTTGAGAATTTATAGGAAATTTAGAAGATAGATAGATGGTCTTATCAAGAAATTATCATAAATATAAAGCTAAAAGGAGAGTAAAATTCAGCAATAAAAATCACATAAAAATAAGACAAATATATTTTTATAGGTTTTTGTAATTAAATGATATTAAAAGTTATAGGATATGAATTATTAAAAACAAATTTAATAAGATATACCAAAATTCCAAATGCATTTTTTATAAATCTTAACTTAGAAAGTTTTATTAGGTATAAAATAAATTTTATGGTAAAAACACTTTAAAAATACTTTATTTTACAAAAGAAAGTAAATGAAGAAAAAACAAATATTTTTTAAATTTAACTTAAGGTAAAATTATTTTTTTAAAAATTTTGAAAAATTAATTCACTTATTTTTAGTTAGAATATACAAACTATATAGTATTTCAATACTCTTTTTTTGGATATTTAAAATAAAACAATAAATAATAGGAGGTCTAGTTAATATTAAAGTCAAGAATGACTCTCATTTCAATATTTACTTTTACTAATAGTTAATTGATTTTTTTAATAATGTGTAATAAGAGTATTTTATTTGGGAATGTATGAAGAAATGTTCCTATAAAATAATATTTCATTATTATTAATATTATTATTAATAAATATCTACTTATTGGATATTCTTAACCTTATTAACTTCCACAAAAGAATTGGAGACTTCTTTTTTTAAGAATTTATACTATTCTGTTTAGTTATACTTACAATTTTTTAAATTATTAATTTAACTTCATCTCTAATTGCCCAATAGATGAATCCGCTAACACATGTAATATTCAAAGCTAAAAATACAATAAAAATTCTTTCTTGATAGGAAAATTAATTCAGATTTTCAATAATTCCAAAATTAACAGTTATTAAAATAGAAATAAAAATCTCAAAGTAATTAAACTAGAGTCTATTGTAAGGGTAAACTATTATTTAATTAAAAAATATTGTTTTATATTTAAAAAAAATTATTTTACAGTAAAGCTGGGTTAGAGTGTATGATAAATACAAAGAGCATAATATCGAGCCTTTTAATTATACATCAAAAATGAAGTAATTATCCATAGCTATAATTAGCAACCTTATCAGTATTTAGTAAAAATACCACCAATAGTATTTATAGAATTAGTTAAATATATTTGAAATTTTTCTGGAATTAGCAAATGATTGATTTTCTCTAAAAATGTAGAGAAAAACTAAAAAAATAAAGAGCAGTTAAATGCAAAGACAAGGTATTAGCAATTTTTTAACAAAAGATAAATGGTTTTCATCACATTTAATATTAGGATATTAGCTTGCATATAATTAACCATCTACTTAAATGCAAAATATCTATTTTTAGAATTAATTTGAATTAAAAAATATTTTTTAAAAATTAATGAATTACCATTCTTAAAGTTGAATCTATTGTATGAGTTAATAAATTTATGGTGAAATATATTAGTACAGAGATATGAGCTAACAAGTCTTTGTTTTTTTAAATTATAAAGCAAAGAAGTATACACAAGCTAATTAATAAGTTAAATATCAACAGAATGATTATTCTAATATATAAGTAAATATATTAATTATCTTAAAACTAAATATTATAAGACAAAACACAATCAAATAGTTTTAGAATGATTTCTGATGGATTTCCAAAACCTAGAAAAATCTGCTTTAAATATGTAGGTAAGTAAATCATATTTTTCGCACACAATGATAGTTGAGTAAAGTAATTAAGTAAAATGTTAGAAATTACAAAAAATCTTTAATCATATTTAAAATATATTTTCAAAACTTGAAATACTTTTTATATCTTTAAATAATCCATCAGCTTAAAAATAGAATTTGCAATTTTTGCAAACAAAGCTAAGCTAAGCAGAAGTACCATGATGTCAATTATTAAGTTAGTATTGAATTATCCACATCTAGTTATTTATATATTTTTATTAACAAATTAACTTTTAGAAATTTTAATTATTTTACTTTAAACAAGTAAAAGGAGCTACATGATAATACCTCTCATTCCAATAATTTCCATATAAATCACAATCCATGCATAGGGCTCCAATATTTCCTTTATTTTGAATGTTAAATTTTTGAATTGAATTTTTTGTTAAAATGAATTAATACCTTCTTGACAATAACGATTTTCATCTGAATACTATTCTGTTATTCTTATTCTATGAATGTCTCCTACACATTAAAAATATCCAAAACATTCGATGTAATTATAGCTATTATTTTTTGATCTCCAAAATCCCATAGGTAAATAAATGCTTGTTTTTTCACATAAAAAATCATTTGGACATTTTTGACATTTATCACCATCGTTTAAATTATACATAAATTAAGGGCAGGGATTACATAGATCCTTTTTTAAAGTATCATTAAAATAAGTTGTACCTACAGGACATTTTTTAATCATGTTAATTTCTATCTCAAATGAGATATTAGTTTCCATTTTAGTTAATTCACCATCATATTTATAAATAGGAGACTTTGCATACTCAGAAGATATTTATAATATTATTTGTTTCCCAAGTCTTCCAAAAACATTTATTTTATCTTTTAGTTCAAATACACCACTTTTTTATGATATATAATATTAATCAATATAATAATCTTCTCCTTTCAAGACTTAAACATTTAATTTAATTTCTTCACTCAGAGTTGTTATAGGCTAATCTTCATTATTAACTAATTACAGAACAATGTCATCCTATTTATCAATTAAAAGAATTAAATTTGATTTAAGTAAAAAATAAATATTTTTTGAAAATTTTTTTAGAAAATATTAAACAATTAATTAGTAATTTATTAATTTGTTTAAAAAATAGCTTTTTATCGCATCAAAATGTTGTTTTCACTATTTTATAATGATGATATTATGTAAGTATTATGTAAACAATTTTATGTGAATTTTTTACCTTAAATTTACCATTCATGTGCTTGTCTATTGATAAAGAGTTTCTGTAAGTTTATTAACCTTTAATTCCTAAAAATTGAACTGCAAATTAGATTAGATTATCATTGTAAAGTTATGCTTCGTTATTAGATAGTTTATTATCTAATTGGTACTGTAGTGGGAGATTCTATATTTGATAAAAGCTACTTCCGATTCTCGCTTTATTACTTTAAATGGTATTTTTTATTAAGTGGATTTTTTAGAATTGATCAAATTTGTCATTTAGATCAGAAACTATTGCTCCTCCAAATTAATTTGCATTATTTTCTTAAAAATTGCTTTTTATTATGTATAAAAAAGTATTTGATGCTATAATAGATCCTCCATTATTCAAAGCAGTATTTTTTAAAAATGTTGAATTATAAATTGTTTAATTTTAATTTGATCTTCTAATTAAATATTCTTCATAATATGAATAAAAATGTAAAAATCTTAGTTTATTTGTCATTATTTCGTCTTTAACATATTACGAAATTGAAAGAGCTCCTCCATTTAGTGCAATATTCTATTGAAAAATGCTATCAGCTATTAAAATATGATTAGAAATTACCTGCAAATTTCCTTATGCACATTTACTACAAGTATTATTTATGTAAATAATTTACTCCAGTTTAATCGAATTTGCTTAAATTACTATCAATGAATTTGCTAAAAATTAATTTGGATTATAAATAAATTATTAATTATCAAAAAATTAATCTTATGACAAACTTATTTCTTCTATATTAGTCATTTTAAGTAAGTAATTTTATACTTTAAAGTTACTTATTTTATTTTAAGCAAGTTAAAGATAATTCACCTGATTGAAAATAATTAAACTTTAAAAGATATACAAATTTTCATTTTCTTTGGTATTTAGCTCTATACTTTTTGCTTCAACAGTAAATGTATTTTACAATAAGTAAACCTGATCAAAACCTTACAAGTGATAGAGACTCGGAGAACTGCTTATTGGTTCTATAAATTATTGGATAATCTAGATAAAATCTGAGATATACTTATAGGAATATATATTTTAAGTTTACTATATCTACACTATATTTGTAAGGTTTTGTTAAGAGGAATATAAACTACTTCCATCTTTTGAAAAGTTGTTTAAAAAGTTGGATAGCAGTAAATTCAAATAAAATTTATTTTTATTTGAAGACACATACATAGCTCCACCCTAACTATAAGCAAAATTATTAGAAAAGAGACATTAAATAAATCTAAGGGTTACACCTAAATTTTATTGTTATTAATTAATGTAAACAGCTCCTCCATTAGAGTTTTTAAGATCGCTTAAAGAAAAACTCCAATTCTCCGTGAAATTTGTTTAATAAATATATATATTAGCAAGTGAAATAGCTTAAATGTATAAACCTCCTCCTTAAAGTGACAATCCACCACTAAAACTACTGCTTAATATTTTTAAATCTGAACATTATATCATTGCTATACCTCCTAGAATACTACTACTAGTACTAGTACCACCACTTAAAAACTGTAATTTTTGCTGATTATCTGCAAGTATTGTAAAACTTGAATACTCTATTTAAACTTAGCTTCCTTATATATAAAGAAGATTATGGTTAGGATGATTCTAGATATTCATTATTTTTGTATTTATTATTTCTAATTTCCCAATTACATTTTTCACATTAATTATTGAGGAAAAGAAAGTATCTGTCTTTTTTTATTTAAATAAGTGTAAATAAATAATTTTTATTGATTTTTAAACTAAAATTTTACTTAAAGATTTATAGGTGGTTGAATTGTATTATAAGCTTATATAAAGTTCATATTAGTATATCCTTGCATGATTGTGATTTAAGCAGCACTAAAAATTTGTATATTCTATTTAATTCTTGCTTATTTTCTAAGAATGACTTAATTAAAAGTAACTGAATTGAAAATTGCTTGAAATTAATTTGGATCAAATTAATTATTAATTTATTAATTGACAATAAGTAATATCTCATCGGCAATAATTAGATTAAATGTTACGGTTTTCATTTCTATTTATTATATCAAATCTTAAATATTTATCAAGCTTAGTGATGTGCTTTGACTAATTTTATCTCCAAATTATATTATTTGTATGGAAACCTAATTTACTCCAAAAGCTTATATGATTGTTATAAGTTATGGCTCATTAACATTCCCATTACTTAAAAATATTGAATTAGCCTGTCTAATTTAAAAATAGTATATGCCATAATTTTAGCTATATTTGTTTTGAGATATGTTAAAATTACTAATTATCACTTCTGTTTTAAATTTACCGCTATAACTAAATAATAATTATTCAAAAGAGTTAAATGTATTATTAAACACTAAAATTTAGTCTATGCTAATCATTATTTGATCTTCGGAATCAAGGATGGGAGAAAATTAAATGAATTGTGCTTTTTCAAAATAATTTGATTAAAGTATTATATTTTATGCTTTTATTGTATTTACTTAGAACAAATACATCTTCATTTTTAATTATTAATTTTGTTAACAATTTGAATTTGCAAAAGTAAAGTTTAAAAGAGAAAAATACATAAATCTTTCTCCCTATAATATTTAAGAATAGCTCAAAAACGTAGAATTTTAAAATAGTATGTTTGTAACATTTGAAATACTTGTAACTTCTTAGCCTTAATAATAGCTTGCAAATACATTTGATTGATAACTGAGTGATCCATGCATAAATTTAAAATCTTAAATTTCTAAATCGCTAGGACTATTGACTGAAATAAAACTAGATTTTTGAGAAAAATCTGAATATAAAATAGACAAATTTGTCAATTAGTAAGTTATAAATGTAGGGTAAAAGTCTGAATGAACGTTTATGAGAGTCTATTAATAAAAGCTGCAGTTATTAAACAAAGTGTTATTCATTATAAATGTCCCATTAAAATTATCAAAATAAGTTTAAAGTTAGTTTGTATATTAGCGTTAACACAAGAATGTTGTGTTCTAAAATTCTATATTATTTATATTTTCTTCATAAATTTTGAAACCGAAATTTGAGTTCAAATTTTTTGGTTTGACATTCATATTTTAAATCTTAAAAGAGCTAAAGCCTTTAAAAGTAGCTATGTCATTTTATAACATTTCATAATCTGTTAAACTGTTTGTTTAGTTTGCATTCAAAGTGATAGAAAGAGTCTAAATTGAAGGAATCTTATTTTTAATATTAGTGCTGATACTTAAAGCAAAGTCCAAATTGCAAAGTCTTGATTTATCAATGAAATTTATGATAAAATCAATTTCTCTTAATTGGAGTTCATTATAATAAATAATACCAATATCGAATTCTGGTTCATTTATTATAAGTTGATCAAGATTTGTTTCATTTATTTTATATAAATTAAGTGGTTCATCAAACGTACCTTTACCTAATGGTTGGCTAGCTGTCCCACATTCAGCAAAGATCTCAGTTTTTTTCTTAAAAAAGCACCCATTATCATTTTTTAAGCAATAAATGCACCTCATTCTAGCTTTATCATATCTGATTTCATATTTTTACATATCTCCATAATTATTTGGTAATTATTGTTTACATGAATAACATTTTACTTTATACAAACTTAAAGGATCCAAAACCAAATCTAAATTATTATCTTCACAAGTTTCACATCTATTAATAAATATTAAATTATATTATTAATCTAAATTAAAAAAATAAAAATTTATTAATCTCTCTCCAAAAAATTATTAAAAAAATTTTTTTGCCATTAAAATTCTATTTGAAAATGAATTTAAATTAAAAATTCTTTATTTTTTTATAAAAATAATTTCTTTAAATATTTTTATAACATACAAAGTTCCTATCTTTTATTTATTGAGAATAAATTTGAGTTGATTATCTAAATTTATCTACAAATAATTAAAATCTGAAAAATTTTTTAAAAGGAAATTAAATAAATTCAAAAAATTTACAGAAGTGGACAAATTTAGCAATTTGTTTACAAGGAGTTAAATGTGATCATTTATTAGAAATTGCTTAGAAAATTAGTTCCATAATGAATTTTAGATATATAACCTTAAATAGGAGCTATGAGATTAAAAAGTTTTGTGTAATTACATGATGTACATAAAGGACTTTCGTAAAAATTAATACAATTTTGGCAGTATTGACCACATTAAGGTTTTTAACAATATTATTGCGTATAATTAAGGTAATAACCAAATTTACAATCTGAGCACTTCATTTTTATCATAAAATCATTTTTATAATTCATCCTTTATTATAATGAAAACTTAATTGTGGTTTAGGGTGTATTGATTATGTAGTTAGTAAAATTAACTCTTTTATAGTTAACATATCCTTCTTCATAGCAAGTTTAACAAGTTTCAGGACAAGGTATACATCCAAAAATACTTGGGATATATCCTTAAGAACAAATTTTGCATTAATATGTATTATTAGAAACAAAACACTCAATACATTAATATATCTTTATTTTTAACATTAATAAGATTAATAAAAAATAATTAAAAATACCTATTTTTTGCATTAAGTATTGAAATCACATGACAGACTTCCTTAATAAACCGTAGGATATCCATTTAGACAAGAATTTAATGTAGTTAAATAAAAAAATCCCTAATCTAAACTATAACCACAATTATAAACATAATCTAACATTTTTTTTATTTTCAAAAAACAATGATTAATAATGATAATATAAACTTATATTTTAAAATGTTTTAGTTTTTTTATAGAGAGAACTCAAAATTTTAATCAATTAATATTATGGGTATTTGGGTGGTATGATAATAATATGATATATTTGATTTCAAAAAGTTTAAAAATTGTTTTAGATTGAGATTTATTAATTAATTGGGTTTTTTGTGCAAAGTTAATAATAAACGCTTTTAAATAGAATGTATACTTTTTAGAGTAACTTATGATAATAATTTATATAAAATTTAAAGAACTCCAAGTATCAAATACTTGCAGATGTTATATAGCAAAAGTTAAATTCTTAATCAAGATTTGAAAAAAAATTATGTGAATTAAATTAATAATTATTATTTTATTATATTTGGAGCCTTCTTTTAATTTTCTGAATTTGTTTAAAATATTCTATTTTACCCTAATGAGAAATAAAATTTTTAGTATTGAATTAACAATTTAAAATCAATACCCTGCTCATTTTAAGTGATTAAAAATTAAATAATTAAAATTAATTACTGACCAATAATCAAGGTTAATAATAATAAGAAGAAAAAAAATTAAACTTAATATTTATTTTTATGAGAAAAGAAGTTAGTTATAAAAGTTATTATACTATTTCAAAATTTTTAATTTAAAAACATTTATTTTAGTTAAACAAAAGTTTATATTATCTACCAATATTGTGTTATTTATTTTTATAATGATAAGTAAAATTTTATAAAATAATTATTTAAATTACTTCTAGGAGAATAGCCCTAATTATAGCATCTTTTATAATATAAGCATGAATTGTAATTGCATGTTAAGCAATTGTATCTAAAAGACTTTGAAGATAGATCAAGGAAGGTTATTAAAGATAAACCAGTATAATAATCAGTTAGATCTTAATTTAAGCAATAGTTCAATTAGTAGATCTATTTACAATCTTTTCCTAAACGTTTAAATGAATTAATTAATAAATAAATAAATTATTTAAGATGAGATTAAAAAATTACTATTTGAAGACAATGTATAACCCGGTTTGCATTTTAGACATTTTAAAAATTAGTATACTTAGTTTCTAAAGTTTTATTTTCTATAATTTATTAAGTCTCCTGAAAATTCTTATATTATTTTTATAGTTTATAAAATTTTTTGTTGAAAAAATTGTAAATATACCATAAGCACACTCAAGGCAATATAAACCACATTAATCGCACTAATTAAAATTCGGACTAACTGTGTACTAGGTATTACATTATATGCATGCAAATATAGATTTAGAAAAATTATAAATTCCTTTATCTAAATCTTCTTTTGGTATATCATCTTTTAGAATAGGTTACAAGTTCTATTCGAGTATGGTTCTTCCACATTTTTAGCAGTTTAAGGGGCACTTTTAACATATACCATTCAAGTCAGAGTAATAATAATCAATGCATCTGTAGCAATATGGTTTTTTACTTGGATTTGATTCACACCTTATACACAGATTGGAACCTAACGTAAAAATGTAATGATTATTAATCTTGCACAAATTAATTCAATCTTAAATATATATTATTTACATGCCAAAGAAGTTTGCTCTTTGTGTATTATGAGATTAACAAGCTTTCTATTAGCTTAATTTGAATCTAAGTTTTGAGAATTTCCTCTTTGAATACTGTAATACAAAATTTTAGAATAAGTATTCGTAAATCTTTTTATTCCTGCAATTTATACTACCATCTTAGCACAATTCTTATTTTACCAAGTATTTAAATTCCTATATTGATATGTTTATTATTTTAATTCCTTTATCTTCAAATTTAAAGTTAAATAAATAAATACCAGTCTTCATCCTGGATGTTACATTATATACATTTATAAAATTAAGTGCCCTATTAACTTAAAATTGGATCTTAACTTATGTTGCTGTATATATTCGTATCGCACTTAATACAAAATTAATTTTAGGTCTAATTATCTTAATACAAGAAATAATCCTCCATACATTAAGTGCACATATTTAGATTATCACATTTCTAGCATCTTTTTTAAATAACATAAAAAATATTAATTATTTATATATTGTAAATATTTTTAAATAAACTTTAAAAAAAGATTTATTTTTTAATCTAGATTCATAATCTGAAAAACCATAAATTTTTAATAACTTGTATTAAAATTTTTTTTAAGTGTGAAAAAAACACTACAGTAAATAAAATTAATTTAACTCACAAATAATTAATTAATAAAAAAAATTAATTACCCTTCAGGACATTTTTAGTTTGAAATTGAGCAATCATTTTTTGGATAACAATCTTCGGATACATATTAAATATCTAAATTAAAGTAAGGGTAGTTTTTATTGTTTGATTTTTAATAGCAAATTCCAACACCTGGATTATAATAATATTTTGGACAGAATAGACAATTTTTTGTTTTTTGTGCTTCAACTATTGGCAAGCAAAAATAATTTTTATCAATGCATAAGTTTTCTTAATATTTGTTAGCTGAATTAATGTCTTATATGATACATTCTTCATCTTATTTAAACTAGTAGAGACAATTGGTTTAAGAATATTATAATAAGCTATACATTTCCTAATAATAAGTGCATATCTAAGTCTTTTTATTTAAGCAATAATATTTAGGACAAACAACGCAATATGGATTATTTGATGACTAAAAATTAGAGCAAAATCCTAAATAATAAAATAAATTTTATATTTAGAAAAATAAAAATTTAAAATAATACCATTATTATCTTAGCAATATACTACTCCTAAATTAATGCACTTTTAAGTGTACTTGTCTAAACATTGTGTGTAAGAACAGCTTGAACATTTCTGTATAGGGTCTTTAGAAAATATACAAGCCCCATTTACATCAGAACAAATAATATCATTACTCAATACTTTGGAACAAAATTAAATTCCTTAACTATCTTTTCTCATACAGTATTATCCTTTGTAACAGTATTCCTTTTTGCAAATATAAATATATAAATGAATCAATTATATTTTGATGAATATTTTACAATTTTAAATTTGTTAACAACATTATTATTGTCATCTTCCTTAACACATTTTTGAGATTATATGTATCTACCTATGATGATTATTTAATTTATTTAAATAAATAAAAATTTGAAAATTTTTTACCAACTTAAGAGCTAATTTTATAATCTATTAAAGCACAAAATTAATCTTGAGGCTCATCTGAAATACCTGTCAAACAAAAACTAAGTTATTTAAATTAAATTAAATTTTAAATTTATAAAATAAAAATTAAAACCTTTGAAAACATTATATAGCACCAAAGGCTCCTTTTTCTCCTTCCTACAGACATTTACTTGTTTTATTTTCTCTCCCAGGATTCTAAATTGACAAAGGTAGACAAACTTAATTTAGTAGACAATAGCCTTCAGCACAATATAAAGATTAATCTGTATATGCTGGTTAGCATTATTAATTAACATCTCTAGCAATGGGTTGATTTACACTTAAAGGTTGACATTCACCTTTATCATTGATGCATTAAAAACCATCAACGCAGCTGATTGTGGAAGCTATCATTTTTTTTACCAAAATATTATTTATTCTCTTTCATTTCTTTCATTTAATTTAAATAAGTCAATAATTACGTAAAAATAGATCTTAACATTTCCCTAAATTATTTTTTGCAGGAACCCTATTTCCTGGATATTAAGCGCTTTCTAATTGTAAAGAATGGCATAGATAGCTTTTCTATATAGATCTTATTTTTTTTAATAAGATAAAAATTGAAAAAAGTGTTTTTTTTATGTTTTTTAGTATGTAATTATTGCTAAAATTACTTAATTGGTATTTAGAATATGCAATAATTTGGATCTCCACATTCATCAATACCTTTTGATTTAGTTAATAATAATTATTCACAATTTTCATAAATCTTTATCTTAATTTAATTATTATATTTTTGGTGTCACATCATAAATAACTTGAAAGTGAAGAAACTAAAGTGAATGTTTATTTATTTGTTAATATTTACCTATTTAACTAATTTCGAACTAAGCTAAGCATTTTTAAGTTAAACTTTCTAATCCTAAATATTATATATCTCCCAGGTAAGCACCTAGCTGAAAGCAATATCTTTAATTACTCTATACTTAAATAATGCAGAAACCAGTTGGGCAACTCTTTATTTTTTACCCATTTTGCTAAATATCTTAATAAGGGAGACAAGAGGTAGTTATTAGTTCTTTGGCGAAATTAGGTAGAGATGTATCTTAAGACATATCAACACAAATACCATTCATTAAGCATTATTAATCCATGCGACATTTTTTTCTACATTTTATGATTATAAATTATAATATTATATCATTATGAAATCTAAATTTACGAAGGAAAGGTTTCCTTGCAAAAGCCATTGTCATCTTAAGTAGTTGTTATCCCAGTTTATGTCATTTTTGTACATTAGACATAATCTTTTAACATATTTACAGATTATAAAATACATGAACCATCAGAGCATGTTAATTTTTTATTTTAACTAACTAAATTTAAACATATTTAACAAAATTAAACTATTTTTTTTAATTAAAAAAAAAACCTAAAGATTATAAAGGAATAGGTACATCTTAAGAAATACAGATTCCTATTTGATTGTTTTCTTGATAAATAGCACCCTAAATTTTTATAAAAATATTGAATTAAATAGATTAATTGCTAAAAGAAAAAATTACAAAAGTTTTTGGATTTTCTATTGTCATTAATTCACAAGATCTCAGACCATTATCCTCTAAAATGCATGTAGATTTTAATTCTGGAGAGTAAAAACACTCTATAAAATCAGTTTCTGAGTTAGTTGAGCATGAATTATCATGTTTTTTAGAAATATATTCAAAGTCATCCATTTCAACACAAGAGTATTTTGAAATACAAAATCTAATTAATTGTAATTAAATAGTAATTAAATTTTAAGAAAAAAATTGAAAAATTTACCCAAAAATACACATTTCAATTAAATTATCACCATCAGAAAATACTTCAATTTCTTAAGCACACAAATATTATTAAGTCCTTCCGACTATTTTATTATTTAAATCTCCAACTTGTAGGATATGAGAAGATTCAAAAAGACAATAAGGACTTTTCAAAAAAACTAAATCTAAATATATTTGAATAATTTAATAAATTGACATAATTAAGATAGTAATTAAATACTTTTATTGATAACTAAGTTTGCGTACTAGTCTTTGAGGATGCACTCATTAGTTTGATTAATAAACGCTACACCAATTACTAAATCTATAGACTAATAAGTAGTGCATTTATTTATTTACGTGATTGAATTTTTTAGTAAGCAAATACTTTTATCGCTAAAGCAAGACTAAATTTTCCCTTCTTAATTAAGTTATGCACAATTTTAATTAATATCTCTTGCTGCATTCTAATTAGAATCCATGGGTATGCATATACCATTAGATAGACAATATCTAAGATTTAATTCGAGAATAAATAAATTAATAAACGAATAATGAATAATACTAATATTTGCAACTACATATCATGCTGTTTGGCCTTTAGTAAAATTCATCTAAAGAAAAGTCATCTTTAAGGCAATATTCAAATTTTAGATTTACTAGAACTAATAAATTTATTTTTTATCCAAAGGATTTTATTTTATGAATAATAATTTAATTTTATATTTACTTAGAGGAGATTTTATTTTCAATTAATCAATAATATCTTATTTTTCTATGCAAATCAAATTCATTTAAGCATCTTTATATATCCCTATATATTAATCTTAAATATCTTCAGTTATAGTTATGCACATTGTATTTTGTTTATTTTTGCAAACACTACTTTTTCCATTTTTTTCTATATCAAAACATTTATTCACTTTTTTGGCTATATCTCTATCAAATAAGCATTTTTAGCTATCAGAATCTATTCCCACAATATCAGGAGTCAGCTTTATGCACATATTTATAAATACTGAATAGCACTAATTTTCACCACATAAATCAGCTTTTGTTTAAATTATGCAATGAAAAAATATGATTTATATTACAGTAAAAATCTTCATTTTATTAATATTAATGATAATTATTTAATATCCTTTTTTCTTACTTCGAATATTACTTTTTTAATTAAGTAATTATCATTAGAACAAAAAATCAACTAATAATTAATTAAATAGGTTTAATATTTTTGTTATTCTTAATTCTTTTATAAGGTATAAACAATCATTTTTGATTATTTATATATATAATAAGTAGGAAGCATATTCGAGGAATAACACTTTTAATGAATATAATTTTTGGTGATTTTTAACTCAAAAATCTTAATTAGAATAGATTCTTTCTCCAAACTGTATCTGAAATCAAGATTTATATTATATATATCATATAATTTTAATTAGAAAATTTATTAACAATGAAATATTTGATACTTTAGCTTATAAAATAATTTATATTAAAAAAATATAATATAATAAATATTTTTATTTAAACACAAATTTTTCTGCTTAGCATTATTTTTTTATAATTTACTTACAGTAAATTTAATTGCTAATCTGAAGAATTTGAATTAAAATATTAGTCTTTTTAATTAGAAACCATAATATACTCAATTAGTAAAAGTGCTTTTCTAATTGTATTATGCATAAATGGTTAACTATTTTAAGCTTTTAAAATTTGCTATATTAGACTGATTTACGCTGGATAAAGACTATTAAAATTATTGTTTTGAAAATTGATAAAAAATCATAAAATTGTATATAATATTTTTGTAAAGAATTTATTTAATTTACATTAAGCTTAACTTCAGAAAATAACATTTGTATGGATATAAATAATTTCTTAAATTTATTCAACTTTTATCTTTCAAATATTTGCAAATATCATTAATTTTTATACATTCATTTGTATTTAATCATTTTGAAAAACTAAATCATCTTGCTTTTATTTTTTCTATTTCTTCAAAAAAACAAAACAAAACAAAACAAATCTCTCCTCTATTTATTGCAAAAATCGACAATTAGAATATTTCGATCAAAAATTTGTAATCTTAAATAAATAAGATATTATAAATATAAAATATTTTTTATTTAATTTTATTTGAAATATTTTTTTAATCTTTAGTGTTTTGGAAAATATTTTTACAAATTATAATTTAAGCAATTAAATCTTATATTTTTCTTTTTAAATACTCATAAAGAAATGGGGAAAAAAATAAATCATAAATAAAGCCCATAAATTTCACTAGTTTTATCAGTGTTATGATAATATGAGTTTTTACATTTTCTTAATTTTCTTAGATAATAAATTGAATATCATTGAATTTTTTCAGAAATGTTGATATTGCCATTGTATTATGTTTTAAAATTTTTTAACAAAAAACAGAACAAGTAATAATTAATTTTTAAAATGATGAGTAAATATAAATATTTTATTTTGAATTTATTTTTTCTTGCAGAAGGTAAATTTCAAGGATATACAAAAAATTCAACCTCAAAAAATTCGAAAAATTGGAAAAATGGAAAAACATAAAGAAAGAAACTACATTTTAATAACATTGATATAAGGGTAAGTATTTTTGAAACAATATATATTTTTGGAAATATTTAAAAATACTTCTTTGAATTTTTTCTAAATAAAACTTAATTTTTATTTTAAAATTTGTTTTTATTTAATAGTTATACATTCTTAATAAATATGAATAAAAATGTTTTAATTTAAAGTAACTTGTAAAAACATTATAAAATTTTAAAATAATTAAACTTTTTTTATAAATTAAATATATAATAAATTTGTTTTTATTTATTTTTGTTAATAATTACTTTTTTATATGAATTCCAACTAAATTTATCACTTTTTATTTAATGAAGAAAATAATCTTGCATCAATTTTGCTTACGTTTTTATCTTTCTAGCATCTTAAGAAAAATTTTTTTATATACTCCTTTTAAAGCTCATCTGATTGTAAAATAATATATTATTTTTCAAAGTGACTTAATTTATTTTTATTTTCTTTTTGATAAAAATCAAATAAATAAATTAAATTGTTTTATTTAAATTAATTTACAATCAAAATTTATTTTAGAAGAACTATCACTACTTAAATTTAGATTTATATAATCATCTGTCAAACCTATTAATTAGATAGCAGCTAATTGATCTCCTCTTAAAAGCATAAGTATAGCTTTTTTTAAAAACATAATATCCTCATAAAGATCAAAAATATTTAAATGCTTGTCAACTTCTTTTCCTATTATTTTCATTAAATTTTCATCAATGCCTTTTGAGATTCTAAATTCTTTCTGTTTGAAAAGCCTGCATTTAAAATAAAATAAAATAAATAATTAACAATGATTAATTTAAATATTTTTACTTAAATTTGAAGATGAAGTTTTGAACTGCTTTTTTCATTGAGGTACTGTTTTTTGCTTTCAATTTCTCAGTAATTGTATCACTGAAGAAGTAGTAATTTTAGTTTTTTTAAATAGTATCGTTTGATTGCGAGTCTATAAAATCCTATTTTAAAATAGTTTCTTGCTTTTAGCTATTCAATTTCCTTAAGTTCTAATTATCTTTCTTCTAAAAAATTTGCCTTTCACTTTCGTTTAGTGAAAGAGGCGAAAACATCTACAAAGTCATGTTATTCGTGTTTAACTACTATTTTTTTACATTTTTATTGAATCTGCTTTACTAATTTTAGTATGGTATAGTTGAAATTTCACTGAGACTAAGTTAATTTACAATGCTAGAATCTTTATGCACTTTTTTATTTTCTGGACTACTTTATTATTGTTATAAATTAAACTAATATTCACAATTTGAATTAGCTAATTAATTTGCTTCAACAAAATCTCGAAATTTTGTTTAAAAGCTAGGTACAAAAATTTTATTTTTATTTTTACTTTTCTTTTCTTATTATAAAATATTATCATCTTGATTGGTACTTTGTTATTGAATAATGATTTCACTGTTTTGGCTAATTAGATTGTTGTGCTTAAGGATTTTTTCATTTTTATCTTAAAATAAATTTCTTAAGATGAGCATAAAAAAGTCTTTTCTTATCAAGCTTTATGAACTTATTTTACCTAAAAATTTTCCAATCATAACAAGAGCAGCCACGCTATTAACCAGAGCTAATATTTCTATGAGAGTAGGATATTATATTTAGAATTGTTGCAAAATTTCATCTAATGAGATAGAAACTTAGTTGTAAGGCCCAATTCCTGATTTTAAGGATAATTATCTATCATAAATCTAATTAGAAGAATCAAACTAAATTGGAGAAGAATAACTCTGCTTTGTCTAAAATATTAATCCTTTACTTACTTGGGTTTCCTGCTTTTGGATTTTCACATTTGTAAGAATAAATTAATTAGAAAATAAAAAAGTACTCATTCTTCTGTAATCTGTCTACAATTCTTTTGATGTTGTGTTGTACTGTTATATTTGCATTTTTAACTATAGAAAAGAATATGCACCATTAATTGCATTATCAATGTCAGTTTGAGGAGCACAATTATTTGGAATAGATGTCTTAATATCATCTAAATCATAACAACCATAAATATAAATTTATATTTAAGAACTAATACTCTTACTATTATCTATAATAAGAGAGTAGTTACTGATTTTAGAAAAATCGATGCACTTAAATCCATTTAACTTAGGGTGACTACACTGAATGATATCAAGATTAATTAGTTGCTAATTATTAGGATCGCCGTTAAAAAATTAAGCATAATACACTAAATAAGTTTTATTCTACTTTTCTTATAGCTAATCCATAGTTAAAGTTTGATTGTAATTAAATAAAAATGCTATAAGATCTTAATTTAATGATATCTCTATACTATCATTCATTAAGAAACTTTAAGATCTGAACTTTGGATCTATTTAATTGTTTACTAACATCTCTAGTAAGTAAAGAAAGTAAGAAAGTATAGCAGCTAATGCAAATATAGAGAGCAGTATACCTTAAATAGTTCCCTTTTTGTATTGTTAACCTCCTAAACTAAAATAGAATTCAGAAGAGAATAAATCTAATTTATAGAAATTCATTTATTGTTTTAAATTTGTATTTAATTAATCTAACTTCTACTTTTATTCTTCGTTTTTATTAATAAACAGAATAAACAAAATTTTTTTATTTATATATTCGCTCTCTGTTTTATTAAAAAAATAAATATAATAAATAAATAATTTTCATTACTATTTATTAAATAATGAATGAAATACAATATTTTATAATTAATTTTATGCCAATTTCATTAAGTCTATTGTTAATTTTGAAGTAGTCCTAGGAGTATTATTTGAGTTATTTAAAATTATTTGACACTTTTAGCTATTATATTATAGTATGGAAAAAATAACCATTTAATTGAGGGAATATTAAGAAATAAAAATTTTAAAATATATTTATTGATATTTTAAAACATTAAAAAATGGATAAATTAGAAAAGATATTTTCATGCAAATTAAGAGTTAATTTTATTATAAATTTACCTTATTTATAATTAAAAAATAAGTTAAAATTAAAAAAACTAGCTCATATGACCGAATTACAATAAAATTTAGTTTAATTTATTTTCTTTCAACACACTTTTAAGATACCATTAATCTTATATTAATTTAGAGAAGAAATTAATTTCTCTAAAACTTTCATCTTCTCAATTTTCATGATTATATTTCTTACAAATTAAACTCCATTTAATTTGAGAATATGTTACTATAATAAATTCTATTTAATTTTTCTTTACTGCTTGTATACTTTTTAAATAATATAAAATTCTCTTGTAAGGAAGGGCTTTGCAGATAATAAATTTAGAGCTTATAGAAAGTTTTAATAAATTTTAAAATAATTACATATTTCAATAGTACACATAAATAAATAAATTTTAAGATTTAGATTAAATCTTTTTAGCAAAATCAATAATAAAATTTTTTCAAATTTTAAACTAGAAGGAAGAATAATTAGTATTATATGAATATTAATACTTTAAAATTAAAAAATAAGAATTTCAAAATAATTTATTTAACAAAGCTAAACAAAAAGAGATATAAAATCATAATTATTAATTCTTGCTTTTTGTTAATTTCTATGTCTTGAATTTTTATCAAAATTCACTTTTTCTTAATTATTGAAGAAATAATTCTTGCATCCACATCATTAATGTCCTAATCATTCATACATTTATTAAAGAATTTCTCTATGTATTCTGCCTACAGTTATTCAGACTACAAAATTAAGAATTAACTTTCAAAATGACTCAATTTTTTATTTTCTAATTTAATTAATAATTTTATTAAAAATTAATAAATAGTTAGCTGAATTTAAAAAAATAAATAGCTACTATCAAAGTCATTTTTAGAACTTTCATCCCTCAGGTTAATATTTAAATAATCATCAGTTAGACCAACCAATTAGATTGCAGCTAATTAATCTCTTCTTAAAAGCATCATAATTGCTTTTTTCAAAAATATAATATCTTTGTAGATATTAAAGATATCTAAATGCTTCAAAGTTTCTTATCCTATCCCTTTAATTGATTTTGAATCAATACCTTTTGAAATTTCAAATTATTTTCTTCTAAAGATTCTATTTTTAGGTCAAAAAAATAATAAATAAATAAATTAATTAATTTAAAATAAAAAAAATATTTAACTTGAATTTGAAGATATAATTTTGAATAGTTTTATTCAAAGATCTACTATTAATTGCTTTCAATTTTTATGCTATAACACTCGAATTAAACTCTTTATTCGCAACACCTTTTTAAACACTATTATTGGTTTATGAATCATTCATAAAATGATTTTTATAAAATTAGCTCTTCTCATTCTTATAAATAGTAGATCTCTCTTAATCAAAAATTGATATTTGAGATTCGTTATCTATTTCTAGAATTTCACTTTTTCTACATAATCTAAATTAATATTTATTTTCAAGCTTACTTTATTGATTTAAGCTCCTTCTATGATTAGGTTTTACATTTAAAGTATTTGTAATTTAGTTTTCCTTTGATTCTTTCTAATCTTCTTCAGCTACTAGTGATTTTCCTAAAATAAATTAGTCATCGTTATTCAAATTATTTATTTAACTTTTTACCACCAAATCTCTAAATTTAGTTTAGAACATTGGAACAAATATATTATTTGCATTTTATTTTTCCTAAATTTCATCTTCATATTGATTGTCTTAGCAGTTATTTTGCTGATAAAAACATATATCATTAGTTTAATCAATAAACTTGTTATGTTTTAGTATTTATTCATTTTTTTCTTAAAACAAATTACTCAAAACGAGCATGAATAAGTCTTGGGTTATTAATTTTTGGGAGCAAAATTTACCTAAAAATCTTGCAATCATTACTATTGCTGCGACACTATTAACAAGAGCCAATATTTCAGTGATTGTAGGGAACTAAATTTGGAATTATTGAACAATCTCATCCATTTGAATAGAAATCTAGTTATAGGGACCTAATCCTGAATCTAAAGATTATTACCTGTCATAACTTTAATTTTATGAATCATATTAAATTGGTGAAGAGTGAGTCTCTTTTGTCTAAAATACTAGCCCTGAGCTTACTTCTGTTTATTGTTTTTAAGTAAGTACATTAGTCATAATAAACTAATTAGAAAGCAAAAAGGTGCTGATCCTTCTGTAATTTGTCTGCATTTACTTTGATGTTGTATTGTACTATTATACTTATAATTTAAGCTAAACAAAGCCGTATGCGCCATTGATCGCATCATCAATTTCTTATTAAGAAGCACAATTATTAGGAATTGTAGTCTTTATGCTATCTAAATCATGACATCCATATATGTTAATTTAAATTTAAGAAAAAATACTATTACTATTATCAATGACAAGCGTTTCATTACTAATTTTAGAAAAGTCTATGCACTTGTAGCTCTTAAGATTAGAATTAGTGCATTGAACAACATCTAGATTGTATAATCGTTAACTACCGCCATCTCCAGTAAAAAACTAAGCGTAATAAACTAAAAAAGTTTTATTTAGCTATTATTCTAACTAATCCATCGTATAAGTCTGATTGTAATTAAATAGAAACCCTATAAGATCCTGATTCATAGATATTTTTATCCTATCATTGACTAAAAAACTTTAAGATCTGAATTTAGGATCGATTTAGTTGTTAATTAGCTAATTAAATAAATAAACAAAGTATGAAACGATAGTAACAGCAGAGGTAATAGATAGAAAAATGCCTTAAACAGTGCCTTTCCTATATTATTAACCTCCTAAGCTAAAATAAAACTCAGAAGAAAATAAATCTAGCTTTAATATGTTCATTATTTAATACAAAAATTTTAAATGAACTTAAAACTTCTACTTCTTATTTTTATTTTATTATTTATTTATTTATCTAAATAATTAGCTTTTAAACCAAAAACAAACCAATACAAGTCTGCTATTTTGTTTTTTGTTAAATGAAATAAAATTTAAATAATAAAATAATGTTATTTCTCCATGGCATTTATAGGAGCGCAAAAGGGGATTTTATGCCCCTTTTATAACAATTTGATTGGTATTTCAAAAAGGATTAAATTTTTAGAAAAAATTTTGATGAGAAACTACGGTATATATGTATTAATTTTTAATCTAGTATAAAATTTATATTTTTATTTCTTTGTTATTTTTTAAATTTCTAGAAGAATCTATTCCACTAGACTTTTAATTGGCATATTTAATAGTTCAAATAAATTTATTTTAAGATTTAAATTAAAGATTTTAAGCAAAATAATAAAATTTTTTAAAATTATAAACTATAAGAAGAATAATTAATATTAAACGAATTTTTATATTTTAAAATTAAAAAATAAAGATTAAAGAATAATTTTATTTTACAGAATTTAAATTAAAAGATATTTAAGACCATAATTTAATTCTTGTTTTTTGTTAATTTCTATTTTTTGAAAAATTCAAAAAAATCATTTTAACATTCATTCATTCACTTTTTCTTAAATATTGAAGAAATAATTCTTGCATCCACATCATTAAGGTCCTAATCATTCTTAAATTTATTAAGGAATATCTCTATGTATTCTGCCTACAGCTCTTCAGACTACAAAATTAAGAATTAACTTTCGAAATGACTCAATTTTTTATTTTCTAATTTAATTAATAATTTTATTAAAAATTAATAAATAATAAGCTGAATTTAAAAAAATAAATAGCTACTATCGAAATCATTTTTAGAACTTTTATCCCTCAAATCAATATTTAAATAATCATCAGTTAGACCAACCAATTAGATTGCAGCTAATTAATCTCTTCTTAAAAGCATTAGAATTGCTTTTTTCAAAAATATAATATCTTTGTAGAGATTAAAGATATCTAAATGCTTCATAGTTTCTTGTCCTATCCCTTTAATTGACCTTGAATCAATACCTTTTGAAATTTCAAATTATTTTCGTCTAAAGATTCTATTTTAAGGTGAATAAAATAATAAGTTAATTTAAAATGAAAAATATATTTAACTTAAATTTGAAGATAAAATTTTGAATAGTTTTATTCAAAGTACTACTATTAATAGCTTTCAGCTTTTATGCTATAACATTAGAATTAAACCCTTTATTCGCAACACTCTTTTAAACAATATCATTAGATTAGGAATCAATAATAAAATCACTTTTATAAAATTAGCTCTATTTCAAAGTCTCGTTTTTATAAATAGTAGATTTCTCTTAATCAAAAATTTATCTTGGAGATTCGTTGTCTTTTTCTAGAATTTCACTTTTTTTATATAATCTAAACTAATGTTTATTTTAAAGATTATTCTATTGATTTATTCTTCTATTACTAGGCTTTGCATATAAAGCGTTTGTAATTTAATTTTCCTTTGACTCTTTCTAATCTTCTTCAGTTTCTGATTTTCGAACAGTATATTAAACATCGCTATTCGAATTAATCATTTAACTTGTTTCCACGAAATCTCTAAATTTAGTTTAGAAACTAGGAACAAATATATTATTTGCATTTTGTTTTTCCTAAGTTTCAAGAATTTCATCTTGATTTTCTAAATTGTTATTTTGCTGATAAAAACACACATCATTAGTTTAATCAATAAACTTATTATGTTTTAGTATTTATTCATTTTTTTCTTAAAACAAATTACTCAAAATGAGCATGAATAAGTCTTGGGTTATTAATTTTTGGGAGCAAAATTTACCTAAAAATCTTGCAATCATTACTATTGCTGCGACACTATTAACAAGAGCCAATATTTCAGTGATTGTAGGGAACTAAATTTGGAATTATTGAACAATCTCATCCATTTGAATAGAAATCTAGTTATAAGGACCTAATCCTGAATCCAAAGATTATTACCTGTCATAACTTTAATTTTATGAGTCATACTAAATTGGTGATGATTGAGTCTCTTTTGTCTAAAATAATAATCCTGAACTTACTTCTGTTTCTTGTTTTTAAGCATGTATATTAGTCATAATAAACTAATTAGAAAGCAAAAAGGTGCTGATTCTTCTGTAATCTGTCTGCATTTACTTTGATGTTGTATTGTACTATTATACTTATAATTTAAGCTAAACAAAACCGTATGCGCCATTAATCGCATCATCAATTTCTTATTAAGAAGCACAATTATTAGGAATTGTAGTCTTTATGCTATCTAAATCATGACATCCATATATATTAATTTAAATTTAAGAAAAAATATTCTTACTATTATCAAGAACAAGCGTTTCGTTACTAATTTTAGAAAAGTCTATGCACCTATATTTCTTTAGATTAGGGTTAGTGCATTGAACAACATCTAGATTGTATAATCGCTAACTACCGCCATCTCCAGTAAAAAACTAAGCATAATAAACTAAATAAGTTTTATTTTGCTTTTATTCTAACTAGTCCATCGTAAAAGTCTGATTGTAGTTAAATAGAAAGCCCATAAGGTCCTGATTCATAGATACTTCTATCCTATGATTGACTAAGAAACTTTAAGATCTGAACTTAGGATCTATTTAGTTGTTAATTAGCTAATTAAGTAAATAAGAAAAATAAGAAATGATAGTAGCAGCAGAGATAATAGATAGAAAAATGCCTTAAACAGTGCCTTTCCTATATTATTAACCTCCTAAGCTAAAATAAAACTCAGAAGAAAACAAATCTAGCTTAAATATGTTCATTATTAAAAACAAAACTCTTATCTGAACTCAACTTCTACTTTCTTTATGATTATTTTTTTTAAATAATTAATTAGTTTTTAATACTAATATCAAATAAAAATAAGTCTGCTATTTTGTAAAAAGTTTAATGAAATAATATATATATTTATGTATATATAGTAAAATAACGAAATTTATTACTCGATAGATAAAATTTTTGCTTCCCATTCAAAAATTAATAAATGTAATTTAATTTCTAGGAAATTCCTTTCTATTGATGAGTCGCTAAATAAAAAATAAAAATACCTTTTGATTGGTTTTAAAATTTGTCTTATTTGGAATCATTTTTATTTCTAACTTTTTGAATTAAATTTTATTTAAAGGTAGGATTTTATTTATTTATTTTTGACAAAAGTAAAAAAAAATTTTGAAAGAATTATTTCTTAAACTGGTTTGCTTTAATTAAATATGGAATTTGAATTTTCAAAAAGTACTTTAAAAATGAGAATTTATTTATATGTAAATTGAATAGGAATTTACGAAAATTTTAAATAAATAAAATAAAAAGAGAGAGATAAAATATTTATAATATTAAAATGAATGAATTATTATATATAAATATATATAATAACTTAATAAAATTATATTTAAATTTCAAGTCAATTATTAAGCTTTGCTTTTTTGCATATTTTTTTTCTTAAAATATTAAGCTTCTCTTCTTTTTATTCATCTTCATTATCACAGAGTGTAAATGAGCTTTTGCGTTATCTTAACAAAATATTAGGAAGTGTTTAATTTTAGCCGCACTAATTTTATTAATTGGAGTTGATTGTTGAACCTAGTATATTTTACCCAAAGAGGTTATTATTGCAAGGAGAAGATTAAATTTATGAGAAAATATTAGTTTGGTTTTAAAAGGATAGGTTTTGATCGTCATCGAGTTTTACAAATTAATTTAAGCGGGGAGACCAAATGTTGTTGTTAGAGTTTAAAGACTTTTATGGTTGATCAAATATTTTACCATACTTTTTCCTAATTAATAAGTTTGTTTAAAATATTAATAAACAATTATAAATATGTTAACAATTAATATTTACAGAACAAAGTTGAAGAAACTTTCATAATCGGTTGGACGGTCAGAGTCTTAAACAATACAGTTTTAGAGATTGTTATTTTAATTAAATATTTATTTAGTAGGAATTTTTTTATTATTGTCACATATAATGTTTTTTTTGCTGTTATTGACAATCTCCAAGCTCGAATTGTTTTCTTTGTTGCTTTGATTTTCTTCTCCTTTTTACTTGCTTTAGAGTATTCTATTTGAGTTACTAAATTCTGATTAAGAATTTTAAACTATCAGTATAGGTATATTTTCATTGTTAATAGTTTCATTTGTTTGTGATTATTATATTTCAGCCTATTTGTTAATACTTGAATATGCATTTAAAAATTGAACTGCACTCTACAAAGTATTTATCTATTATTGCAGCTGAATATTGTTTTAGACATCTAATTTTAATAAAATTTATTGAAATATAAAATATTTTTCAAATGTAAAAATTAATGATTCAAAAACAATTTCTTTGTATTTAAAATATCCCTTTATTTTAAAAATTTAATTTATTTAGTTTGAAAGATCTACAAAGTATTTTTTTTTTTGACAAAGATTTTTTGATAAAGAAGATATTGTTTTTTCAATCAATTTTTTTAATAGACTATTTAATAATTAATTATATTACTATTTGATTAGAGCAATTGCTTTTGAAGGTTTAGAGTCAATTAACTATACTGATTTATGCATTCGTTTAAACCTATTTATTAGATACAAATTTAAAAATGCAATCAATCTTTAAATCTCAATCTTACTTTGTGAGTTGACAATTTGAGGTAGAGACTCCTTAATTTTTTTAAGGTCTTCATCTGTAATTTTTTGATCGTCGTCTGACACTTTTTATAAAGTATTTTATTTAAATTAAAAGTAAAAATCGAAAAGCAAAAAGTAAATATAAAATTCAAAGGAAAAACAAATTAAAAATTCATATGTTATAAAATTCAAATGAACTAATAATACATTTGTAATACAAAAGAAAGAGAATATTTTTCTTTTTAAATGGAAAAATATTTATTTTTTAGAAAAATATTTTCTTATTTTTTACAATCAACTCTAAAATATTATTTTATTTTTATTTTGAAAACAAAATTCTTAAAAAAATAAACTAACTTCAAATAATTTCATTCTATTTAAAAATTTGAGATTTGTAAGCTTGCGCATTAATTTACAGATTCCGCAAAATGAAAGATTAAAAATGAATGTTGTTAATTTTTGTCTTTTAAATATTTGAGGGTTGCAAAGTATCAATTCAAAATTTAGATGGAGTTAATTTTGGAGCAAATTAGATATTATTAATTGAATTTAAAATGTAAAAGTAATTAATATCCAATCAGTAGCTATTAAAATTTAAACTGATTAATCATAAGATTTTAACTAATTGAATGTATCTATCTATCTATCTATTTATTTATTTGATTTCTTATTTCTTTTATTTGATTCTAAGAGAGAGATATATATATAGATAGATACTAATTAAATTGTGATGGATTTAAAATGCAAGACATTTTTGCCAAAATTATTCTTAAGGGGGGAAAATACTTTAATAAATAAAATGTTTACTCATAGTAAAGTTGCTCGCAACTGAGTCAGATCTGTTTCTTAAGGAAATAGAGGGAACGAAGGATGGAATGTCAAAGTTTGTTTGGTTTATATCAGATTATTATTATTGAAGATTAAGATTAAATTGAGCAGACAAAAAAGGATCACTTTAGGTAGGTTTAGTAAGAATATGAACAGGGTTTTATTATATAGTTTGGTTTAAGCAAGGGTGGCTTTAATTTATACTTGGTGCAGAATTAATAACAGAATTCTAAGTAGGAATACCCAAGGATTACTAGGCTGCTTGCAAAGAGGCTTCTATCACTTACCCTATAAGGAAGTTTTAGTCAATTTATTATTATTATTGCTGCTGCTATTATTAGATGTTATTGAGGATGTTCTTGGCATTATTTTGATTCTTTTCTCCAAGTATCTTGGTTTAATTAGAGTTATTGCTGTGTTGTGATTGTCCCAATAAGTAAGATTAAGATTTTTTGGAAGTTCCTTGCATTTATATTTAAGATAAAGTATTTACATTTTCATTATTTATTTGGTTGCTTTATTTAGTTGAGCTGCTTGTATTTAAGCTTATTAATAATCCGTGCTTTTTGCTATAGTCTCTTTCTAATTTATTGAAGAATTTTTAAGCATGTGAACGAATCTAAGCTCCAGTTCTTGATCCTACATGCTCTTCTACTTTCTTCCAATTTTTTCCATATAGAGAAAGTCCTTCTACAAAGCGCAAGTGCTCTTCCTTCGTCCATCTTCCTTGGTTTCCATTGTTTGAGTTTTATGTGGAGGCATTCCCAGAAGCATTTTGTTTTGGATTGTTGTCTTCTTCATCATTAAATTTCATAAGCTGATCAATATTTACAGCAAAATTGAAGTCGCTGATTACTCCAGTCTATAGGTTTGACTACTGAGTATTATCTATTTAAGAAATAATTTGCTAGGTAGAAAAGCTATTGTTGGTAGGAGTAACAGTCTGCTAGTTAGATTAAGGAGATGGGCAAGTTTAGAGACTCTTTGGATGCGATTCAAACGAGCGCTGAATTTCTAGCATCTCTTTCTTGCAATATTCTTTAATCATAGCATCAGAGTTAGTGATTTGACGATTAGGCTGTGATTGTAGTTGCTATTGCTGTTATTATTGTTGCTATTGCGAGCCAGTCTATGCAATTTACAAGTATTGGCTAGAGTTGATCAAATTGTCTTAGAACATTTATTTTTCAAAGTTTTTTCAGGAGTAAATCGTACTATAGGAAAGAAATGGTTAAGAAAGGATTGAAGTATTTCTTGAAGCTAGCTGTCTATTTTGTTAAGGCAGTTGTTTCTCTTTAGGTATTTTTGAAGATTATTTCAGTTTTTTGGTGAAAAATACAGCTCTCTAGTCTGATTGATTTTTTGTTTGACTGTTTTTGTTTCTACTTTTTCTTGTTAATCTTTACTTTATTAAAAAACTTTGTTTTTTATTTGTTTATTTTTTTTTATGATTTCAGAAGATAGATAGATAGTATTTGTTTGTTTTTAATAGATCTCTTTTAGTTGAAAATATGATCGTTATAAAATGGGTATTTATTATTTATTTATTTGTATGTATGTATGTATGTATGTATGTATGTATTTAATAAAAAACAAAATGCGCTAACTTTAATTATTATTATTAAAGTAGGAAAAATGAATGTAATAAAGCATGAATAGATAGATAGGAAAATAAAAAGATAGATATTATGCATTCATTTTTTATATATTAAATATATGAGCGAGTGAGTATCTTTGATATTAAAAACATGTTTGATTCGCTAACCTTCATTCAATTTAAATTTCTAATAAAATATTTATATTTGAATCTTTTTTAATTAAATTTTTTCTAACATCTTTCTAGTAGAACTTAATATTAATTAATTAATTAATTTCATCTATTTTTAAATAACAAGGCTTTTTCTGAGCCAATTAATTTTCCTTAGTTCGCCAATCTTCTTTTTTGGTAATTAACTATTTTTTTTGTAAATTGGAATAATCTTAATTTTTTGCAGATAAACTAACCTAATTTTCTTTTGAAAAGCTATAAGCTCATTTGTTCCTACATGTTTATATTTTTTGATTGATTGATAATAGATATATATATCTTTTTAGGGGATTAATTAAAAAGACCGTTGAAAAATCTTACAGATAAAAAGATAAAAAAATTAATATCCTTTTAAACATATTAATCAAAATCAAATAATCTAATTTAGGCAAAATTTTGTCTAAATGATTATTAGCCATATTTGATTTTGCTTTTTTTAAACATTTTCTTCTTTATTAGTTAAGCAGTATCGAAAGATATTAATTTTTATAAATTAAATAAAACATTTTGAGTAAAATTATATGTAAATATTACATAATAGCAAAGTAATTTTTGAATCTTAATAATTCTGATAAGCATGTCGAAAGATAATTTTATTATTAAATTTTATCTTTTAACAGAGAGAGAGAGAAAGATAGTCTATGATTACCATTACTTTATGAATTTCCCTACAAATCATAGATTTAATTTATAAAAATTGAAATCAAATTAAATTACATAGCAATTTGAACGTTAAAACTTTTAAATCTTAATTAATTTCTTAATTAACTGATAGAGTTTTTGATGTAATATTTACCTGTTATTAGTATTTGAATAAATATCTGTTCAAAATAGATATGATAAAAATTAAATACTACACTCCTCTAATTAAGATTTAGCAAAATACAAAAAGTCAAAATACTTTTTTAAAAAACAATCTTAGAGTAGTAGAATTACAAATAAAAAAATCAAATGTAATTATCATAAATTAACTTATTTAATAATTTAACAGCTAGTTTCCAAAAAGAGAAAAAGAAAATCTTTATCTTATAAAAATCAAATTATTTATCAGTAGAAATGACTTTTTATTGTTTATAATGAAATAAAATTATTGCTTACCTGATTATTATTAACTATAATTTATTGGATTGCTCATTTTTTAATAAATTTTCATCAATTTATTTGTTTATTATCTTAAATATTTAGTGATTTCATTTAATCTTATTGTAAGTAATTATCAAATTTTTATTCTAAACACGAGTGAATAAATATTACATTTTTTATTGTATTGATCATTCCAAACGTATAATTATTTTATTATTTTAGTTTATCATAATTGATTTTCAGTGTATGTACTTGTTTGAAAATTGAATTTCTTATCCTTAAAAAATTTCAAACAAAAATTTGTATTTAAAAAAACAAATCAATCAAAAACTTAATAAAATTAATTACATATTTAAATTTATATTAATAATTGACAAGTATTTAAATACTTATTTTTATTTAATTTAATTCATTTAATAAGATTTTCAGTAAATCAATTATTTAAAAAATATTAGTTTAATTATTGATGGGTCTTTTTATAGATTATAAAAATTAACTTCATTTAAAAGAAAATTAGATATTTAAATAAGTATATCTTTATAAATGATAATAATGTATCCCTAATTATTTATTATATGATAGAATTCTTATTAAAAAAATTAATCATATCATAAAAAATCAATTAACATCAACAAAGGCTATTAATTACTGTTTAAAATTTTTACAGCAATTCTACTCATTTTTATTTTTTATTGGAGAAACTTCTTTATAGATTTTCATAAAATATTTAATTTTAGATTAGATATTTAGCGTAAGAGATAAATTAAGGAAATTAAAAAATATATATATGTATGTTTTTATCATTGCTATATCAAATTTATAAAATTCTAATATTTTTTAATTTTTAATAAAAAGAAACCCTCAGCTAAATTTTTAGTACTCTATAGAAGACTAAAGTAGCGAGGAATTATAATAATTAAACTTTAGAAATTTAGATTTTGTTTTAAATTTAACATAATATTATTCAAGTTTCTACTAATATAAATGTTTATAGAGTTTTTTAATAATTTATATGTAAATAATGTAATCAAATTTATTTGATACAAGCATTATTTGAGGTAAGAACAAATCCACTCACACATGATGCACATGCATTTGCGTTATTAGCTTATGTGCAAGTTTAGCAGGTTAAATTACATTATGAACTATCACTTAGTATTCTTGAACATACACCGTTTTAGAAAGCATAGCCGCTTGCACATGCAGTACAATTATTAGGATTACCAGAGCAGTTAAAACAAGGAGGTTGGCAAGGCTAACAATTTCCATTACCCAAAATTAAAAACCCATCAAAACAGGAGGTACAAGCATTTTAGTCATGCTAAACGCTGCAAGTTTTACAGCTGGGGTGACACTATGTTTAATCTTAATTACTACCAACACAAGTGTTTCCACTTAATGAATAATTTGCAATGCATGAAGTGCAACTATTAGGATTTTCAGAGCAGTTAAAACAAGGAGGCTAGCAAGGTTAACAATTTCCATTTCCTAAAATTAAAAACCCATCAAAACATGAGGTACAAGCATTTTAGTCATGCTAAACGCTGCAAGTTTTGCAGCTGGAGTGACACTATGTTTAATCTTAATTACTACCAACACATGTGTTTCCACTTAATGAATAATTTGCAATGCATGAAGTACAACTATTAGGATTACCAGAGCAGTTAAAACAAGGAGGTTGGCAAGGCTAACAATTTCCATTGCCTAAAATTAAAAACCCATCAAAACATGAGGTACAAGAATTTTAGTCATGCTAAACGCTGCAAGTTTTGCAGCTGGGATGGCACTATGTTTAATCTTAATTACTACCAACACATGTGTTTCCACTTAATGAATAATTTGCAATGCATGAAGTGCAACTATTAGGATTTCCACTACAGTTCTAGCATGGCTTTTAACAAGGCTAACAGTTACCTCCAAGAACAAGATATCCTGTAGGGCATGAAGTGCAAAAATTTTAATCGTTTGGTTTACTGCATGTTTAGCAACTAGGATGACAATTTCCAGTGTTTGAAGCAGTACAAGTATTTCCATCCAAAGTATACCCTTAAACACAAGATAAGCAATTTGTGACTGAAGTCTAGCATGTTTAGCATGGGCTCGTACAAGATAAGCATTAACCACTCACTAATATGGTGTTGTTGGTGCAAGTTTAGCAGCTATTTTGGGAAGTGCAACTGCTGCAATTTGAAGAACATTAAACACATGATCCTATAGTAGATCCATTTAAATAGAATCCAGAATAACAAGAAGTACATTAAGTTGCATCTTAGTTTTTACTGCAAGTTTTACAAGTAGAATCGCAAGTTGCTTGGCATGTATTTCCATTTAAAGTATAACCTTGAATACAGCTTGTACAAGTATTTGTATCTGTTATACAAGATAAACATGGACTGTTGCAAGGTTAGCAACTTCCACTTATTAAAACATAATTATCAGTGCAAGCTGAACAGCTAATATCAGAAAGGCAGCTAGTACAATTTGATGGGCATTTAGAACAAGTACCAACGGAAGATCCACTCAGATAGTATCCATCATTGCAAGAAGTGCATTAAGTAGCATCTTAAGGAGTGCTGCAAGTTTTACAACTTTAATCACAAGGTTACTTACAAGATCCATCATTCTATAAAATATATCCAGTTTAACAAGTTATGCATGTAACGCTATTGGAACATTCTAAGCAATTTAACTAAGGAGGACAAGTAGTACATTTTCCAGGGTTTGAGCTTAAGTAGGAACCAGTATTGCAAGCTGTGCATTTGTTTGCATCATTGGATTCTGAGCAGGTTTTACAACTAGGATCACAAGTAAGATTCTCACATTAAAACGAAGTATTAGTACCAAGTATATTGGTGCCTGAAGCATCACAAGACATGACAGCAGTTCCATTAGCTTGGAATACATTTCCAGTCCATGAGCAAGATGGTTTGCAACCTATATAAAGTACAAAATATAGCTTTAATATATTTTAATTGCTGAGAGTTTTATTAGAGAGAATTAAATTTAATAAAGAATGTATTGTTTTTTCTGAAAAGAATAAAGAAAGGGTATTTTATTTTAAAGATATTTAATGAAAATCAGGTTTGCTAATTTTTATTTTTATGAAATCTGTCTGTTTACAATTTTTTTGAAACATTAACAAAAAATTCAATTTTTTTGTGATAAAATCAACACGCCTGCCTGAAATCACATTCAGTAAATTAATTTATAAATTTTGCTTGGAACAACAAAATTAAGTAAATAATTTATTTATTTCTTTTATGTTTGATAATCAATTAAATTATGTTCAAATAGATTAATTTAATAGATATTTTTTAAATCAAATTTTATTTCCATATTTAAACTTAGTAAAAATCAATAATAATAAAATTATGAAAGTAATAAAATATTTACAATCCCACATATGAGTCAATTTTCCTCTTATAATATTAGGATCACTAGCAGAGAGCTTTCCAGAAGGGTAAGGTAAAGATGGATCATCTTTGTTACAGCCTGATAATCTAATCAATCCAGCAGGGCATCTTACTTCTTTCATAATAGTTTCCCTTAACCCGTTGCTAGTTCTCCATTTTGTATCAAAAGAGTATTCACATAGTTAGGTTAAGTTATTGTTAGGTAACTTAGCACAATCACTTTTTTAGGTGATACCACCAGAGTAAGGATTTTAGCATTGAGAATTATCTTATGTAGGATCGCTGCACCAATTACCAGCAGCACTAGAAGGATATTAGGCAGGACCAGCGCGTCCGTCCCAAGGACCACCATTCCATGCAAAGACTTTGTTAGCACATCCGTTATTAGCCCCAAAACCACCAGCAATCATAGATAAATCGAATTAGTTACTGATAACATCACCACCAGTGTTTATACCTTAAACAATAATATCCTTTGCAGGAGCATCACTGTCTTAGACTTAAATTTAAAAACATCTACAGCAATAATTTGAGGGAGGGTAGCTTCCATAACCACCGAATCCGTACTCTGCAAAGCTGGAGTAGCCATCAGATTATACAGCTTATTGTAGCTAGCAAGAACCAAGAGCTTAGTGAGTACACATATAAGCAACTTAATTTTGAGATTTACCCTACGAGCTAAAATCACAAACATTTGCAGTATTGTAATCATAGTTTTAAGCTATTATATGGCTAATAAGCACCAGGTAAATTATATTCAAGAGCATAATATTTTTTTATCTCATTTTATTTACTTATTTATTATTATTTTATTTTATTTATTTAATTATATTTGTTTCTCTCTTCGCCTTTTTTCATTTCTAATTTATATCCAGAAAATTTCTTTCTTGGAGATCTCAATGTAAACTTTTAATGATAAGCAACATAAATAATTATTTCTTTATAGATTAAGCAACCCCAGATTAAATTAAGGCTATTTTACTTGGAATGTAAACTAAATTAAAAATAATCTATATTGAATTAGGAGAGTCAAAGTTACTTTCCAGCGATCAGCGATGGATATATTTTTATTAATTTTTAAAGAATAGGCAAATCAAAAAAATTTTTTGCTGACAATATATGTAGAAGATTATTTTTAGAATTGTTTTAGTATTTCTAATGCATTAAAAATAAGTGAAAAAGATGATTATTTACTAATAATAGTTGCAATAAATGATAATAAAATAAAATTTATCTTAACTACCTTTATGTCAGAATTTGCATTGAAAATATAAATAAGATATTTAGATATTTTAGTATATCTTTTCTAAATTCGCTTAAATATCAAATATTTATGGGTTGGAATATAAAAGATTTAAATTGATTAATTACTGTAATTAGGGAAATACAAATTATCTTAACTTTTTCTATTTAATAATTTGAGTGATTGTTCATTCAATAAATTAAAAATAAGATATTTAGATTTTTTTTCTTCCATATTTTATCTAGATTAATTTAAATATTTAATACAGCTGAAATAAAACATATAAATTAATTTACAACCGTAAACAAAAAATGCAAATTATCATTAGCTTACTTTATATAAGAATTTACAAAATTATACAAAGGTTTTTACAAAACCTATCTAAATCTTGAATAAAGTTTAATAAACCTCTTCTTTATAAGATTAAAATATCATTTTAAATAGGAAAAAGTATTATTTTTAATTGAAATTTACTAAAACTTAAAAATTTTTAGAGTAAATTACTTGTATATGTAAATAGTTTGAAAAATTTCTAAAAAACTAATTTGTTTTTTGTAATTTAATGAATTTTATGAAATATATTTTTGGATACCTGAATGATCAAGCGAGTTAATTTATTCAACTATTAATTGACAGATAGATGTAAAAATGGTTACATATATATTTAAGATTTTCGTTTAAAAGAAATTATATTGTATGTTTACAGAATAAAATTAGTTAGCTTTTTTTTAATTAATTTGTTGGTTAAAAATATTTAAAATAAATAAATAGAAAGATTAAAACAAATATATATTTTGTTACTAATCTGAGAATAAATATAAAATTAAAAAATACATTTTGAAATATAGAATATTATCAAATATAATTACTGAGCTTAATTAAATTAATGAGGTTTTAAATTGCTTTAATAAAAATTTCAAAATGGTTAAGCTCTTCATCAAATTTGGTTTGAAGCTGATTGAAATTTATCTTTATGTAATAATATAAATTATGTATTTTCTTTTTAATTTATTTATTTATTGATTGATTAATTGGCTATAAAAAAATTGATCTAACTCAATAGTAAAAGTAAATACCACCAGCCATTATTCTTAATTTAAAATTAATTATTAAATGAAACCTTACATTTTAATTCCACAATTAATTATTATCCAACTATTAATTTCTTCTGAAGTAAAATTCACTAATAAAACATAATTTCGACATAGTTTTATTTTTATTTTACCCTATTTAAAGCTTTGAGTGAAGTTTTTTTAACTTTTTTTTTTTATAGTTAGTTACATTTGATTTATAAAGTGAATTTCCTTTATATTTTTTTGATTGTCATTTTATTAACTCAACAAATCAAGTTAGATAATTCCTTAATGACACAGCAAAAAAATATGCTAAATAATTTAAGTTGGATATACTAAGAATGTATTTTTTAGTTAGAATTAAGGTATCTATCATTAATTCAAAAATTAATATGATGCTTTCTAAAATTAGAGCAAAATTAATAAATACATACATACATAACACTTTAATTCTTATCAGATATTATTATCTGAAGAGTAAATGCTTTTTATTCAATAAAAGAATTTAAATAGTAAAATGAAATGAAGAAATCACAATCAGAATTATAAAGTATTAAGCATATATCTTTTTATGATAAAATCCAATAAAGGGAAATCTGAAGTTAATAAATCAAAAATTTGCACAAAATATGAAAAGAAAATGATTTTTTACTATAAAGAATATTAATAACATTCATAGTTATTTAACATATAATTATTTTTATAAATAACATAAAAGCGCACTAAGGCGTTTTGCTATGTATTCCAATTTAATATGTCTAAATAAGCAGTTTTGAAGAGTATTAAATTTTCATTTTTTAGACATTTTTGTAATTTGATAAAATATAAAAAAGTTTATTTCTATTTGTATATATTTTGTCTTATCTTAATATATTTTAATCATTGAAACTCCTAAAAAAAAATTTTGTTATTGAACTCTTATGAGAATTAATCAAATGTTTCTGCAACTTCATCTACCAAATCAAAGGCTATCCCTAGCAATTAGGTTTAAATGAGCAACATTATTTTTATCAAGAATAATCTAAGTGAAATCTGTAGGTGTTGTACTTATTTTTATTATCTACTGCTGACAGTAAGAACCCATACCCAACTTCTATCAAAACATATTCATAGTGCACTACTTTTTTAGGAACAGGCTTACCTGCATAATAAGCAGAATAAATAAATAGATCTTTAAAAATAAATTTATAAATTTTTGAACAAAAATCCTTTTTCCACTTTACCAAAATTAAAGATTTGGTAAGTGCATGATCAAATTTCTGATGAAAATAGTGAATTAGAATTTAAAAACTGCAATACTAAATACAATAAAAGCATACAAGATGGAAAAATTAAATAGATATTTTTAATAAAAATTAGTCTATAATTAAGTTTAGGTGGTTAAAGTTAAATTAACTGACTTTGCCGTCATGTTTAAATTAAATAACATATATTAACATATATAAGACATACTATATTTTAAATTATTTTTTATCTAATTTTTAATGACCGACTTTTGAATATGTCAATTTCTAATAATTTTATTTGATACATCAATTTAGAATTTGTTTAATAATTAATTATTAGAAAATCAAAAAAATATTTCAACATAATTTCCAAAAGTATTTATTTAAAATTTTAAATTATTATAAAAAAATATAATTTCAAATGAAAAAAGTAAATTCTTTCATCATAATCTTTTTAGTGCTTCTTTTAATTAGATAAACTCTGGCAAAGACAAAGAAAAAAGTTATTGTAATTGGCCATACTGGATCAGGAAAGTCTACCTTTTGCAATTTTTTATGTTCAAGCTTCAAGTTTAAAGCTGAAGCAAGTAGTGACTCAGTAACCTAAATATTTTAAACTGAATAATTAGAATTAAAAGATTATACACTCTTTGTAACCGATACACCTGGATTTACAGATCCCAAAAAATAAAATAATTGGAAGATATTAAGTGATATTGTAGATTTTGTAAAAAAAGAATAAGTTGATTTTGTAGTAATTGTGATTAATTATTCTATCAGAGCCTCAAATGAAGAGTATATTTTGAAGTGGTTGCGTTATACTCTCCCTTTAAACAAATATAATTCCTTAATTTTAGTTAACCATTATAGGGATATCTAAAATTTTTGCTCATATGGAGATGAAGTTGAAAATGATTACGAAGATGAGTTCGCATAAAATTGTCAAACTGATCCCAAATTAAGCAAAAGTGAAGAAAATAATCAGAATTTTATCAATTTTATCAAAAATACCTTTACCAATTCTACGATAGAGAAAATAAATTATAATATTGATATTAATATAACAACAAAGGAATTTAAAATTCTAAAAAAAAAATTAAAATAAGAATATTTCCCTCTAGCTTAATTAGATCATACAAAAGTTTAAGATCTTTAAGATAAGATAATAACAGAACTTTAAAAGAACGAAAGTTTTTGTATGAACAAGTTTAAAAAATTAGAAGAAGAAAAGTATTAAAGAGAAATGGCTAAGCTTGAATAGGAAGTAACATAATTAAAAGCAGAATAAACAAATCTTCAGAATTTAATAAATTCTATTGATGATGATATAAATTACATTCATAATAACCCAAGTCGCTGGATTGATAGTGGAGATTTATTTAAGACTAGATATCACTCAACTCATTAAATTCATAAAATGAATAGGCTTAATGATGATAAAAACGACTCATAAAATAAAATGCTATATTAATAAATTATTTAACAATAAATTAAAGAAAATTTAGAAAAACATAAAGAAGAGTTTGAATAGCTTGTTTAAAAAATACCTTAGCTTTAAGAGTTCAAATAATGCCTTCATTCAGCTAATGAAGATATACAAGAAATGATTGTAGTTAAAAATTACTTTGAAGCACGTAATTCGTTAAGTAAATAAAAGCAATATTAATAATGATTTTGTAGTTTCTTTTTTTATTCAAAGCTTCAATTAACATCATAAATATAAATTTAAAGGTAATTAATTATTTCTTTTCATAGATAATAAATTAAAAATTACTTACTATTTATTAATAAATAAAGAGAGAATTTTTTTAAAGTATTTACATTTTTCATTTAAATATTGTAAAAATTAAATTATTAAAACCTCTTAAAATTTGTGTGTGCTTTTTTTTTGTTCATATCATAAATATTTTATTTTAAAAATAAAAAAAATTAGTTTATATTTCCTTAATATAAAGATAAACATTTAGATAAAATAATTTAAATAAATAAATAAACTAATAATTTCAAAAAAAAATCATAAATTTTACTTAAAAACTAAAGTAATTTATTTAATATTATTTATTAAGAAAAATACAAAAGTTCTCCTTATAAGGAAAAAGCTATTTATAATTATTTATTAAAATGAAACTATAAAAAGACTTAAAATATTTTTTTACATTTTTTGAGAATAAAATTTAATTAAAATTCCTCTCAAAATAACTTGATTAATAACAAAAGCTTGTTTTTAAAAGGATACAATTATCATTAAACAAAAAAATTCAACTTTTATAAGAAGCTATAAATAAATAAATAAATATACCTCCATATATATATATAAAAAAGTATTTTTATTTTTATTTATTTTTATATATACTTAAATTAGAATCAGGATATTCTATATTTTTGACTTATACAGCTAATTATTTATATATATTTCATTCTAAATAATTGAAACTAAAATAAAATAAATAATAGAGCAACAAATTAATTAAGACATACTATATTTTAAATTATTTTTTATCTAAATTTTAATGACTTTTGAATATTTTAATTTCTAATAATTTTATTTGATACATCAATTTTTAGAATTTGTTTATATAATAATTATTAGGGATGAAAATAAATAACAACTTCAAAATAATTTCCAAAAGAAAGTAATTCTCATTTATGTATTTATTATTAATTTACTAAAAAATTTTTATATTCCTCTCAAAATTGAATATCAGAGATTCACTAATTTTATAATTTTAAATTATTAGAAAAAAATAAATATTTAAATGAAAAAAGTAAATTCTTTCATCATAATCTCTTTAGTGCTTCTTGTAATTGGCTAAACACTGGCAAAGTCAAAAAAGAAAGTTATTGTAATTGGCCATACTGGATCAGGAAAGTCTACCTTTTGCAATTTTTTATGTTCAAGTTCCAAGTTTAAAGCTGAAGCAAGTAGTGACTCTGTAACCTAAATATTTTAAACTGAATAAATTGAATTAAAAGATTTTTCACTTCTTGTAACAGATACACCTGGATTTACAGATCCCAAAAAATAAAATAATTGGAAGATATTAAGTGATATTGTAGAATTTGTAAAAAAAGAATAAGTTGATTTTGTAGTAATTGTGATTAATTATTCTATTAGAGCCTAAAATGAAGAGTATATTTTGAAGTGGTTGCGTTATACTCTCCCTTTAAACAAATATAATTCCTTAATTTTAGTTAACCATTATAGGAAAATCTAAAATTTTTGCTCATATGAAGATGAAGATGAAAATGAAAATGAAGATCAGTGTTTGGAATAGAACCAAACTGATCCCTAATTAAGCAAAAGTGAAGAAAATAATAAGAATTTTATGAATTTTATCAAAAATACCTTTACTAATTCTACGATAGAGAAAATAAGTTATAATACTAAAATGTATTTAACAGGCAAAGAATTTAGAATTCTAATAAAAAGACTAAAAGAAAAACATCTCCCTCTAGCTTAATTAGATCATACAAAAGTTTATGATCTTTAAAATAAAATAGAAATAGAACTCTATAAAAACGAAGGTTTTTGTTTTAGCAAATATAAAATACCATAAGAAGAAAAGAATTAAAGAAAAATGGTTAAGCTTGAATAGGAAGTAATGGAATTAAAAGCAGAATAAAAGACACTTCAAAATTTAGTAGATTCTATTAATCATGACATAAATAATATTATTGATAACCCTCGTGAAAAAATTACAACAGGATTTTTATGGTGGACTACAACTTATACATTTCATTCAACGATTTAAATCAATTAAATGAATAGACTTCAAGATGATAAAAGCAACACAAGAATTTAAATACTATCATAGTAAATGATTGAACAAAAAATTAAAGAAAAATTAGAAAAACTTGAAGAAGAGTCAGAATCACTTGTTTAAAAAATACCTGAGCTTAAAGAGTTCAAATAATGCCTTCATTCAGCTAATTAAGAAATATAAGAAATGGTAGAAGTTAAAAATTATTTTGAAGCACTTAATTCATTAAGCAAATAAAAGCAATAATAATAATAATAATGATTTGATAATTTCTTGTTTATACTAACTTTAAATTAAATCTTATTTTGAAGAATTTTATTAATTATTTAGAAAAAATTTATTTTTAAATTATAAAATATTCTTTCATTATTTTAAATTTTATTTTTTTAAAAGATTTTAAAATTAAGATTTCAAAATTTTCTTTTCTGTATTTTAAATTGAATTAGTAAATTTTCTGTATTTGTCTCTACTATTTAATTATTATATTTAGTCAAGCAAAATATTAAAATCTTTTATCTATTTTATTAAATAAACTTTTAATTGCAATCTCTAACAATTATTGCTATAATTAATAAAAAATACTTTTAAATAAATTATATTAAGTATTGAGAGTTTTATTATATCCAATGTGCATTGTTTTTGAGTAATTCATTATAACTTGAAGGTAAATCTCTAAGCATCTATCTTATTTAAAATATATTTTAGTTTTAATTGTAAAATAATTTTATTACTAATTAAGGCATATCTATAATTTAATTTTTTTCTAAATATTCATGGTTCAAAAAAAACAAGTATATGACTTACATATTTTTACAATTTGGATATTACTATATATAATTAATAATTTAGATTTATAATGTATGTTTATGCTATATATTAGGGGTAATCATCTAAAAGATTGTGGTTAATCAAGTATGATTTGTTAGTCTCCTCCAAGTATGGATATTATTTATCTTTTTTATCTTTTGAAGAATAAATCGAAGATTAAAAATTAGCCTAAAATATTGTTTCATTAATTTTATATAGGTGGAAAAAAAAATTTTTATCAAAAAATTTGTGATTTTTGATATTTTATTTAGTAGGTTAAGTTTGTATTCTAAAACAAATTTAAGCTATTTAAGTATGAGTTTTAAAGGCTCTTTTTAAAAAAAAATGTTTCAATTTCTTTAATTACAAGAAAAATAAACACCATAAGAAAATTTAATAGATATTTTAAAAGCTTTAAATAGTTTAATTTATAAAATTATATGAATTATCTATAAAAGAAGTATCACTCTTTCATTCTAAATAATTGAAACTAAAATAAAATAATAGAACAAACTAATAGTTTTTTTTTTCTTTTTTTCATCTTATATTTTATGACTTTTGAATATGTTAATTTCTAATAATTTGTCTTTATGCACTTGTTTTGAGAAATTATTTTATAAAAGTTATATATTTGTGATTAATTTGATGATAAATTGAAATATTGTTTTCTAAAATTTGTTTCAAAGGTTTATCAATTTTATAATTTTTAAATTACTAGAAAAATATATACTCTCAAATGAAAAAAGTAAATTCTTTCATCGTAACCTTTTTAGTGCTTCTTATAATTGGCTAAATTCTGGTAAAGCCAAAAAAGAAAGTTCTTGTAATTGGCCATACTGGAGCAGGAAAATCTACCTTTTGCAATTTTTTACATTCGAGCTACATGTTTTAAGTTGATGATTTCGTAAATTAAAGATTTTAAACTGAATAATTAGAATTAAAAGATTATACACTCTTTGTAACCAATACACCTGGATTTGCAAATATCAATATATAAAATAATTCGAATATATTAAGTGATATAGCGGAATTTGTAAAAAAAGAATAAGTTGATTTTGTAGTAATTGTGATAAATTATTCTATCAGAGCCTCAAATGAAGAATATATTTTGAAGTGGTTGCATTATACTCTCCCTTTAAATAAATAGAATTCCTTAATTATAGTAAATTATTATAGGGATATATTAAGTTTTTGCTAGCATGGAGATGAAGATGAGTGCCCGCAAAATCATCAAATTGATCCCTAATAAAACTAAAGCGAAGAAAATAATCAAAATTTTATTAATTTTATCAGAAATACCTTTACTAATTCTACGATAGAGAAAATAAATTATAATACTTCATTTGATTTAACAGAAAAGGAATTTTAAATTCTAATAAAAAAATTAAAATAAGAATATCTCCCTCTAGCTTAATTAGATCATACAAAAGTTTAAGATCTTTAATATAAGATAGAAACAGAACTTTAAAAGAATGAAAGTTTTTGTATGAAAAAATTTAAAATGCCAGAAGAAGAAAAATATTTAAGAAAAATGACTAAACTTGAATAGGAACTAATATAATTAAAAGCCAAATAAAAAGCTCTTCAAAATTTAGTAAATTCTATTGATCTTGATATAAGTTACATTCAAAATAATCCAAATAGCATGATTGATACAGGAAATTTATTTTTGAAGGACAATCAAAGATTTTAATAAATTAATTAAATCAATAAAATTAATAGACTTCATGATGATAAATACAACATAAGATTTTAAATGTTATCATAGCGAATGATTGAATATAAAATTAAGGAAAAATTAGAAAAACTTGAAGAAGACTCTGAATCCCTTCTTTAAAAAATACCTTATAAAGAGTTTAAATAATGTCTTCATTCAGGTTATGATTATATTCAAGAAATGATGGAAGTTAAAAATTACTTTGAAGAACTTAATTCCTTAAGCTAATAAAAGCAATATTAATAATGATTTGATAGTTCCTTTTTTAATTCTATGTTTCTATAACCTCAGAAATATCATTTTAAAGGCAATAATTTATGTTGATAAATAAAATTATTAAATTTTTAAATCATAAATATTAATATTTAGTAAAAGTAAAAATTAAATAATTAAAATTTTTTTGTTTTAATAAACATATAATTTTAAAATTTATGAATTAATTGAGCATTTCTTAAGATAAACATAATTGTTTATCCTGATACAAAATAAATAAAATCTCTATTAATAAATAAATATTAGATTATTAAATAATTTAGCATTAATCAGAGAAAAAAAGTAAAAATTAAATAATTAAAATTAATATCTTAAAGTTTGTGTGTATAATAAAGATAAATATCATTTTAAAATGTATTAATTAAACAAACCTTAAAATAAAGATAAGCACTTTCATAATAGAATATAGATAAATAAACTAATTACTTGAAATTCTCATTAATTATGAGCCAATAAATTAAGAGTCAAAAAATATTTTTTTATGGAAAAACTTAAAGAAAATTTAAAAAAAAAATTTTTCAAATAAAATTATTTAAAAAATATGAAGGTAGTTTTGTTAGTATTATTAACTTTTAGAATATTGCTTAAATTAAAATAAGAATGAAATTCTATCCTTATTAAACAAATAAATAAACATAAATTGCAACAAATAAATATGTAATTATCAAAATAATTTTTAATTATAGAGAGTAAAACACAATTAAAATTCCTCTCAAAATAACTTTAATGATAATAAAAGCTTGTTATTAAAAGAATGGAATTATCATTAAATAAAAATAATTCAACTTTTGATAAGAAGCTATAAATAAATAAATAAATAAATAAATAAATAAATAAATAAATAAATAAAAACACTTCTTAAAAATTATAAAATTTGATTTCATTATTTTAAATTTTATTTTTTTATTTTGAATTGAATTAGTAAATATTCTCTGTTTATCGTTTCTATTTAATTATTTTATATAATCAAGCAAAGTATTAAAATCATTATTATATTTTAGTAGATAAACTTTTAATCGCTATCTATAATAATTACTATATTAATAATAAAAAGCACTTTGAGAAAAATTATATTTAGTATCGAAATTTTAAAAAAATCTTTTTAATTATGCATAGCTTAATTTAATTCACAACAACTTGATAATAAATATCTAAGCATTCATCATATTTAAAATATATTTTAGTTTTAAATTATATAATAAATTTTATTATTTATTAAGCTTTTAAAAATCATTCCTTTAATTATATACTAAATATTCATGATTCAAAAATAGCAAGTATATGACTTACGTAAAGTTAAAATTACGTATTAATATATATGATTAATAATTTATATTTCTAATATATGTTTATGCCATCTAGAAGAGGTAACAAACATCTTTAAGATTGTGGTTATGAATGTATGACTGACTTGTATGTCTCCTCGAAGTGGGGAATTAATTAATTTACTAATTATATAAACTAATCTATTAATCTTTTGAGGAAAAATCAAAGATTAAAAATTAACCTAAAATTTTTATTTCATTTATTTTATAAGGGGTGGAAAATCAAATTTTTATCAAAAAATTAGTGATTTTTGATATTTTATTTAATAGATTAGGTTTGCATTCTAAAAACTTAAATATTCTAAAACAGATTTAACTGAGTTAAAAAGGTTCTTTTAAAAAAAATATTTTTTCAATTTCTTTAATTAATTGCAAGAAAAGTAACAAATAAAATGATTTATTTTATTTTTTTACTTTGATTATTTAATTTCTTATAATTTGGCTGAATACATCAATTTATTTTATAATAATTATATGAGACTGACACACACACAAACAACTATTTCACCTTATCTCCAAAAATTAATTATTATCATTTATATATTTGTGATTAATTTGTTTATAAATTGATCTATTGTTTGTTGCCTCAAAATCAGATTTCAAAGATTTACCAGTTTTATAATTTTTAAATTATTCTAAAAATAATATACACTCAAATGAAAAAAGTAAATTCTTTTACCATAATCTTTTTAGTGCTTCTTATAGTTGGCTAAATTCTAGCAAAGCCAACTAAGAAAGTTCTTGTAACTGGCTTTTCTAGATCAGGAAAATCTACCTTTTGCAATTTTTTGTGTTCAAGCTTTAAATTTAAACCTAAAGCAAACATTAGCGGCGCAACATAAATATTTTAAACTGAATAAATTGAATTAAAGGATTATACACTAATTGTAACGGATACACCAGGATTTACAGATTAAAAATAATAAAATAATTGGTATACATTAATCGATATTGTGGATTATATAAAAGAATAATAAGTTGATTTTGTAGTAATTGTGATAAATTCTTCTATTAGAGCCGCAAATGCAAATGAAGAATTTATTTTGAAATGGTTGCGCTATACACTCCCTTTAAATAAATAAAATTCTTTAATTTTAATAAATCATCATAGGGAATTCTAAGAATTTTCATTTGAAGATGAAGATGAGAGTGACTTATGTCAAAATGAAGAGCAAGAAAATAATAAGAATTTCATGAATTTTATGAATAATACATTTACTAATTCAACGATAGAAATAATAAATTATAATACTGATAAAAGTAAAACAATAAGATTATTTAAAATTCTAACAAAAAAATTAAAAGAAGAAATTCTCCCTCTAGCTTAATTTGATTATACAAAAATTTAAGATCTTTAACAAAAGATAGAAATAGACCTTTAAAGTAAAGAAAGTATTTGTATGAACAAATTAAAAAAACCAGAAGAAGAAAACTATTAAACAAAAATAAATTAGTTAGATTAAGAAGCAATACAGATAATAGAAGAATAAAAAACTCTTCAAAACTTAGTAAATAATACTACTGATAATATAGATAAGATTATTAAAAGTCCAAATTATCCTAATGTGCCATCATACTCAAGAAGTTAAGTCGATTAAATTAATAGTCTTCAAGATGAAAAATGCAACACTAAATTAGAATTGCAAAAAAAATAAATGGTTGAACAATAAATAAAAGAAAAATTAGAAAAACTTTAAGAAGAGTATGAATCATTTGTTTAAAAAATACCTTAGCTTAAAGAGTTCGAATCATGTCTTTAATAAGCTAATAATGATATACAAGAAATGATGGAAGTTTAAAATTACTTTAAAACACTAAATCCTTCAAGTAAGTAAAATCAACACAAATAGTGATTTCAGAACTTCTTTTTTATTCTAAGTTTCTATTACATCTCAAAAATCAATTTAATTAAAAGTATTTATTATTTTGATCGATAATAAATAAAAAATTATTAAAAATAAAAATATACAAATTCTTTAACATATTATCATTTATTATCATTTAATTAAATATTGCAAAAATTAAATAATAAAAATTGCATAAGTTTATGTGTGTATAATATGTATGTATGTATGTGTGTTTTTTTTGAGAGTAGAAATTTAAAATTTTTAAAATAAAAAAAATTATTTTAACAATCATTAAAATAAAGATAAATATTTAAAAAAATAAATAAACTCATAGTTAATTTCAATAAAAATTCATACATTTTTACTTAAAAATTAAAGTAATTTATTTATTTAATAATATTTATTAAGAAAAATAGAAAAGTTTTCTGTTTAAGGCAAAAGAAAGTTATTTATTAAAATGAAACTATAAAAAGTACTTAAAATACTTTTTACACGTTTTTGAGAGTAAAACTTATTTAAAATTCCTCACAAAATAACTATATTGATAATAAAAGCTTGTAAAAAAAGAATAGAATTATGATTAAATAAAAAATTAAACTTTTAATAAGAAGCTTTTAATAAATAAATATACTTCCATATAAATATATAAAAAAATTATTTTATTATTTATTTATTTAATTTAGATAAAATTTCATTATTTAATATCAAAAGTAGTATAAGGAGGATAAGCGTATTTTTCTATACCACCACAAAGAAGGAATCTAGGAGCATAATACTTTGTAAAAAAGCATTCATTAGTATTAGCAAGGTTTCTTATCTTTTCACTAGCATAACATTTCTCAAATAGTTAATCTTTGTTTATCAAGGCATGATCATAATCTTTTGATTCTTATACGGAGTTAACATATTCATAGAATTCTTAGCATTCTTCTAATTAACCAAGGTACATTAAAAAGCTTGATGTGACTATTTGGGTTTCGTTTTCATCCATGCAAGGAGCAGCAATAACCGATTTAGATTTGCAATCACCAAATTATGTGAATGTAACACTGTCATCATCTAGTAAGCTAGTTTTATTTCCTTGAATCAAAAATATTCCTGTTCCTAAAAGGAAAAGTAAAGGAGCAAGAAATAGGAGCTTTTTCATTTCTTTTGTTTTTACACTAATTTCTATCTTAATTAATTATTATTCAATAAACATTTGTCTTTAGGTAGCATTTATTTTTAAAGATAATTTTATTAGTAAAATATCTACAAATAAATTCTTGATCAAAAAGAATATCCTTATTATTAATCAAAATAGAGAGAGTATGATCAATCATAATTTTTTTATGAATTGCTTATTAAAATTAAAAAATTGAGAAATTATAAGAAATTTTTTATTTCTTTTGTTAATATATAGTAATTTTAATATTAACCAGCCAAGCTTTCTTTATTGAATAAAGATTTTGTTCTATCAAAGATAATTTTATCTTTAATAAAAGATTTATAGATCTTTGATAAAACTCTTTACACTTAATCAAAAATAAAAATAAATCTGATTAGTGACTGATCTAAATTCAAATAGAAATAGTAAATTAGAATTCAAAAATGGGAATAAAATTATAGAAGCATAATTAAAAATAAATATATTAGTGATTTTATTTTAATCAAATTTAATTTATTGTTTATTTGTTTGTTTGTTTGTTTGTTTGTTTGTTTGTTTAAATCAATTTTAAGTATTTATTTGCCTGTTCATTTTGAATAGGAAAATAAAAATAATTTTATAAAAAATATTCAAAATAAAAGAAAAGGAACAAAAAATAAGAACTTTTCTTTACTTTTGTTTTATTCTAAATTCAATATAAGTAAATTTTATTAAATAAATATTTAGCTTTTAGGCAGAATATTTATTATATCTTTCAAAATAGATTTATTAATTTTTGATCAAAAATCTTTTTTAAACTTTACCAAAATTAAAAATTTAGTAAGCCCTGATCAAATTTCTAATGTAAATAGGGAGTTATAATTTAAAAATTGCTTTATTGCGATAGAAAATAGTATTTAAAAACCAAAATTAGTCTGCCTGTCTGTCTGTCTAAACTTAAATTTAGTTTTTGTTATTATAAAAATAAAATTTAAAATACATATCCAAATAAATTTAATTTTTTTAGATTTCATTCTTTTTATTATAACTTCAATAACTTAAAAAAAAGATTCATGCCACTTAGTTATCAAATGTTAGCTAGCTACATGGTATGGCATATATAAATATTTTATGATTGATAAGATATTTCAATTATATAGATATCGAATTATTTTTATATATTTTATCAATTAATTTTGAGATATCTAATGTAAAAAATTTAATGATATAAAACATTTTCTATTAAATTTTAATAAATTTTATTTATTGTAAATTCTACATTTTTTGACGAATGACGAGAAGTGAGTAGTTTTGAGAATAATTAATTACGGTATTAATAAATTTACATATTTTTTATTCATTAAAATTTAATAAATCAATCAAAATATTTTACAAGAATTTAATATAAAATTTAATTTTTTACTGTAGTTTATTTAATTAAAGGTTAAATTTTATTAACTGATTAAAATATTCATTCAGTTATGAGTATTTTTATGTAAATATGAGTTATTTTGCTTGATCTAAGTATGTACTTTCAAATTTAAAAACTTCTTTAGTGCTTATTATGATTGCTATTAATAGTTTTGTTTGTCGTCTTAATTTTAAACCTTTTGGGGTTTTATTAAAGAGTTTCTTGGTTGTTATTAAATAAATTAAATCTATTTGTTTTCTAAGTTTTTCTAATCTGATTAAGGATACTATTCAGTATTTTCATTATCTTTTGTTAATTTACCAAAAGTTAAGCTATATTAATTTAATTTTTCACTATTTTGTTAGTTTTCTTGTTAAGCTCCATTTATATCACTAGACGGCTTCCTCTAATTCAGAAGATTCTCTTTACTCTAGGTATTCTTGTTATTTTACTTTAACTTCATTTACTCATCAAGTATGCTGTTCAGTATTGAGTGAAAGCTCTTTTTGTAGGGTAATATTCTTTTTTTTAAAATAGCCTCAGATTTGTTTCCATTTATTTATTTTCTTTTATTATTTGCTTGCATATTTTAAGACAATTACTAATTATTTTAAGGTTCTTTTAAAGTCTTTAAGAATAAGTATTTATTTATTTTTTATAACTAATTAGGCTCTTGCTGATAGTAATCAGGACTGGACTCTGTTCTAGCTTTTATCAAATAACTAAATGGACTTACCTTTCTTTCCTTTTAAATTTATCCTTAGCCATCTCTTTCTTAAGCATTTTAATTATTCATATTTTATTCATTGAAATTACTGGCATTTGTTTCAGAATTAAGTCTAACTTATTTTTCTAAAATTAAAAAATTAAAAATAAATGAACAACTTTCTTTTTTATTTTTTAAGATTTAAAGATATAATTACTTATTTTTTTATTATTCATGTTCTGGTTTATATCTTCAAGGTATGTTTTTTGGTATCTAAGACTCCTCTCTAATCCTTCTTTATCAATGCTTTAAGTAGATGCTTCAACTAAATTTTATATTTTCAAACATTTTTTAAATTGAAAATAAACAAGCTAAAAATAATATTGCTCAAAAAAAATATAAAGCTTATGTAAAATATAGCTATTAAAATATCTTTGAATTTTATATTCTTGATCATTCATTTTAAAATTAACTACAAAACTTTTTATACTTTTCTATATTTATTTATTTATTAAAATATTTGTAAGAAAAGGGTTATTTAATACAAATATTACTTAGAAACATAGATATTTATTTGTAAAAAATAGCCAAGCAAATTTGTTTTTTGCTCATTTAATTAGCTTGTTTGAAATATTCGATAAAATTATTTACGTTTTGAAATGTGGTTGATGAGATTTGAATTAAGAGCAAGATCTTTTCTAGCACTTCCAATAGCATCTGGTTTGATAAAATCTTCATAATTGATTGTGGTTTATCTTTTTTACTTCAGCTAGTCACAAGATATAACCCTTTTCCTTATTTAAAAATACTACTTGTTTTCAAGTTCCTGTTGATTTTTTTGGATTTTATTATTGTCATTGAAGTTTTGAAAGTAAAGAGGATATTTAAGAATTTGAGTATTTTCAGCATCTTAGTCTTAATCTTTTTCTTTTATATTTTTAACTTCTACAACATTTTAATCGAAGTGCTGAGACTCTTTATATTAAAAATATTCTTCTTGATCAGTTTTAAATAATAACGAACTTTTTCTTCTTTCCTTCTCCTCTTCCCTTCTTATTTTTTCATCATTCTCAATTATTTCCTTTTTCAAATTCTTTTTACCATCTGTTTTAAGTTTCTCTAAGAAAAACTCAATGTCAAACTCTGCTTTTCTATTTTTACTTTTTCATACATAATTAATTAATTATTGTGAAATAAAAATTATTATATTTAATTGATTTTTAAGAATTTTACTTTTCATTTGCTTGTTTCTTACGCTCAATAGGAGTGACTTGAGGGTTATCAATTTAACTTTCGATTCGATTAACAGCTTCTTTATTCTCACTTAAGATTACTTGATTTAAATTTTCAAAGTCTTTAATAAATGGAAATTTTTATTATGACAAATAATTAATGTTTTTTTTGGCTTCTTTTGTTCTTTTGTTCTAAAATTTAGGGCTTGCTGCAATTATCTCATTTAGCACTAAAATAAAATAAAGTTAAAAAACAAAGAATTGATTGTTCAATATGAAATTTACACTCCTCTTGTTTGACTCTTATTTTATTGAGTAAATTTTCTTCAAGTTAAAAGATTTACTCAAGACATTCTTAATAATTATTCCATGCCTCCTTCTTAAGAAGATGCATATTTTTAAAAATATAAGAAAAGCTTACATCAACAGAATCTTGCTCAGAGCAATCTAATTTTTTTAAGAAATTGATTATCATATTTTGGTTAGCAAATCCATTGATAATATTGTCATTTTTCAGTTCATAAATCCATTTTTCAAGAACTGAATTATCAGGCTAAATCTAAGATTTATGATGTTTTTGAAGAATATCAGAATATTCATTGAATAAAATTAAAACATTATTATCATCAAACTCTTTCTTAGGACTACTCTCATTTAATTTTACCTAGCTTAAAAGTTTTAACCCTAAATTCCTTTTAAAATTTCCCATATCTTTCATAAATTCTTAAGGTATTTCAAACTTCTTCTCACTTGTTTACTTTTTCAATACTTTTACATCATTTCTAATCATTTTATTTATTTTATTAATAGACTCTTGAATATAGTCTGATAGATCTTATCCTAAATTTACCTATTAAATAAAGAAATAAATAAATTATTTTCCTTTTTATAATAAATTTTCTTCTTATTTTATTTAAAAAAAAAAAGATTTAATGATTTAAAAAAGAAAAAAAATAGAGGAGCAACTGAGTAAAATGCCTTTTAATTTTGATATAAACTATGATAGTTAATATTAATTAAAATAAATTATTGACAACTATTTGGTGTAAAAAAAGATTAAATTTTGAATATCTTATTTAGTTAGTTAGTTAGTTAGTTAGTTAGTTTTTTGCTGAAAACTAGATGGAATCATTGAAAAAATTTTTTGATTGTATTTATTTTTCATTTACTTACTTATTTATGAAGGCATGTAAATACTTAGAAAACTTGATAAATTTCAATTGAAACAAAGGAATTTACTCAATCAAATTTTAATCAAAAATTTAAAAAATCCCCAAAAAAATTTAAATTATTTAAATTAAAACAAAATTGCATGTTTCTTTCTTAAAATTTTTAATAGAATTGAAAAATATTTTTGAATTTACTTTGCATTAATCTTGCATGAGCAAAAGAATTTTAGCTTTTCTTATAAAACTCTCTGCTATTCCCATGAAAGAATACAAAAGTGTTTTTTCACTTATTTAAATTTCTTCTTACAGCATTTAAGATTATTGGAAAATTTTAACTCCTAAATTAAGCTATTTTTCTACATAAAGATGCTAAATTAAATCAAGCCTTTAAGTTTAATTAACTTATTATTATATTATTTATCTTTTAGATTGAGATTCTGGCGAATCATATTAAGCTATCTTTAATTATTATAAATCTTCATCTACTTATTATTCTAATAAACTTTTTTCTTACTTTTAAAAGTTAAGTTCATTGTAGGCCATCTTATGTCCTTCGAATTAATTAGACAAATGCTAAAAATAATTTAAGAGTGAGTAAGATAACTCTACTGGCCCTTCTCCATGTCTCTCATAAAAATCATCGAGCATTTATAAAAACTATTTTCTATCCAAATCTTTATTCTATTATACATTTTATTACTTATATCTTATTAAAGGTGACTATAAACTAAAATCATCAAAAAGTACACTCTAATCTTTACTCATATATTTATCTATATGCTCTAATTTTTAGCTGTTTAAATAGTATTTTACTTAATCTTTTAAGAACAAGCTATCCAAATCATCTAAAACTTTTATTTGTTATATCAAACTCAATTATTCTTGGTTTCTTTCTTTGAATTTTTATTCAATAATTTCCTGTTATTCTAATTCTATCTCTGTTTCTTATAAAACCTGCTTTTATTTCTATTATATAAAATAAACTTAAATTTTAATTCAATAAATATTTGATTTTCAAGCAAAATCTAAATAAATATCTTTTTTTTCATTTTATAAAATTAAGATATTTCTAGAAAGCAACTCTTTATAATTTTAACAATTTAAATTTATAAATAATTTAAACAATTTTCTTTTAAAATTCAAGAAAAAACTGCTCTGTTAATTGTTAATGAAATATTTCAATAAACCTTTAAAGCATTTTATTGCTAATTTGAAATTTGATTTCATAACCAATAAATTTTATGAATATTTTTCTTTTAAATTTAAATCAATCAGAAATCTTATTCAATTTTAGTAAATTATAAAATTACCTCAATTTAAATTAAAAGATTGCACATATTATCCTTTTGATGTTTTACTGCTACTTAGTTTTCAATTGATCTTTTCACTTGTTCTCCTAATATTTCTTTTTATTTTTCTGAAACTTCTGTGTATTATTCTGATAGATTTTTAAGGTTTTTCTTAGTTTGAGAATTATTGACTTAGATTTTAGATTTTATTTTGGCAAACTAAGAATTTTTATCTTCAAATTCAGTTCTTAGCTGCTATTTGCCATTTATACTCTTTCTTTTCTTATTCTTTGATAATAAATAATTTACCAATTAAATTAACGTTTCAAAAATAAATTTAATAATAATTTTACAATAGTATAGCCTAAATTGATGACTTCGTATTGCATATTTTGCTGAATTTGATTTTAATTGAAAATCAGTGATTCTACTCTATCAATTTCTTGCTTAATATTTTATATTCTTTCTTCAAGTGCTGATGTATCTTTTTCTTATTTGAGTGGGAAAAAGTCTTAAGTTGAAGCTAAATATTACGATTAAGGAATAATATATCCAAAGCTATGAGTATTTTTATTATGAAATGTTAATCTTTAATTGAACTAACTTTTTGAGGCAGAATATTAAGCTGCACTCAATGACCTCTATTACTTTGTCTCCTATTAGGAATTATTTAACTTCTTAAATAGCAATTTTGGTGGCTTTCCACTATCTTTAATAGCCAGTGTATTTTAGAGCTACTGAAGTTGCATCTCTTTTTTTTTATTTAAATCTACCCATCCATTTAAAACATCTACTAACTATTCATCATTAATTAATTTAAATATTAATTTAATTTTTTATGAAATTTATTGCAATAAAAAACAAACAATTCTGAATAAAATATTATTCAAATATCTTAATTCGTATTTATTTTCATAAATATATCAAATATTATTATTTATCTAGAACAAAGAAATCTTCTTTATCAAAAGAGTTAACATTAAAACAACTAATTCTAATAATTAATTGAAGGATTTAAAATTACTTTAATAATTTTTAAAGTTATAAATAACATAAAATGTTTCAAGTTCTTTTTTAATAAATATAAAGTAATTAATAAATAAATACCTGAGATTTAGTTTAAGAGTTTTGGAGCTATTTTAACTAAGCTCTCCTTCTATCTTCTGATTGTTCAAATTCAAATTCAAGCATTTACCTTTTGCTTTCCATATTTAATTCAAAATTTCTTCTTCTTTGGATTTCTTCTCTTTCTTCAGAGTCAGAATCCTTATTTAAACCATCGTTTTCAGCATAGCTTTAACTAAGACCACTTTTTTTATGACCTTTTGAGCTGTTTTTATTAATGTAATTCTTTTTATTACTAAAATAATGATCTTTTTCGTTCGATTAAATGTAGTTTGAGCTAGTTGTCTTTAGCATATTTTTATTATAACTAGTTTATGTTGTATCTTACTAATATTCATTGTGAACAGAACTAGAATTAACTATCTGATTATTCTGCTTTTTAGGAGTAAAGAATTGCTAATTTTAGTTTTCTACTTTAACTATATTCAAAGAAGAATTTCTATTAATATTTTTGGTAGGATAAGCTGATTTGCTTCTGTGTGAGTTATTTGTTTTCAAGCTTTCCTACTTTTAAATAGTGTTTTTGCCTCCGATTTACTATTAATCCTGCTATGATTTTCTATAAAAATTTGGTATGATCAAAGAATCGTCATTTTAACTTACTGACTAATCGCTGCTTTGATAATCAGGTGGTTTACCTAAATCATGATCATCTAAGCTTTTAAAGAGACTAAGTTTAAAAAGCTACTATTCAAAATCTCCCATTAAAGTATAATATCAAGAAAATAAATAAAATCTTATTAAACTTTGTATTGCAATAATCTAAAATAAGTTGAATTATTATTCTATGGTTTTAACGTCGTAATTGACAAATTAATAAATTAATTAAGAAATAAATATATGAATTAAAATTACAAGTAACTATCATTTAGATTTTAATATGGTTAAACTAAATGAGAAATCTTAAGAGATTCAATCAATACTAAATTACACACTTTTAAATACATTCTTTCACTTATTCGTTGATTTATTTATTTTTCTATCTTTAAATTTCCTTTCGTTATTCAAAAATTTTAAAGTATTTCTCCATTCAACATAAATATCATTTTATTTTGAAAATTTTTATTTTTTTGATATTAAAACTTATAAAATAGCTTGATTAAAAATACATTTTTTTTGATTTTGCTCTTTTGATTGACTTGAATATTTCTAGTTTACAATATTTTATTAGAATATTATTTAAGTATTAATCTTTAATAGTTTAAATAAATATTAAACCAAAAATTCTTTTAATTTAAATTAATTTTAAAACTGATGAGCTTCTATCAATTATAATTTCCATTTCTTTTTTATTAAAGTTTCATACATATATTAAATTAGAATAAGGTTTTAATTTGTCCTTATGAAAGAAAGTCAAGAAAGCTAGTAAATAAATCACTAAATCTTATAATATTAAGTTAATTGATTTCCACTCATTCGGTTTTACAATCAAAAGCATAGCTTTAAGCTTTTATTATAGCAAATTATTGACACCATAAAATTAAGCTTATTAAGACTTTATAATTAATTTAATTTTTTAAGACAATTTGATTATAAACTTTTGATAAATTAGCTAGATCATTAATTAATAAACTATTATTGATTTGCCTTTTGCATATATTTTCTACTACATTAAAATAAGTATTAAGAAATCCTTAATTTTTTAGAAATAGGTAATTAAATTTGACTTAAATTTATAAATGGAAATAGAGGAATAAAGCTAAAATGAAACAAATCAATCTTAAATTTACTTAGAGAACTTCAATAATTGCACTTAAAATAATTCTATGATAGAATAAAGCTAATATGTAGAAAATTATCAATAAAACTAAAATTATTATACAAACTATGATGAAACTAATTCTGATAATGCAAAATAGAATATCAATTATGAGACTGCAAACAGTTAAAATACAATAATTGAAAGCAATTCTAATAATATTATCTAGTAACATAAAAGAAAAAGAAAGCGTAAGGAAGTTGGATTTATTAACATTTGCTAAAATATTAACTTTAATAACGAAATAAGACTCTCTTCAGGTTTATTAATAGATTCTGATGGAATAATTCGCTTCTCAAATAGTATGGGTTTTTTTAGTTTTGGAACTACGCCATGGCAAGCTTAGAATCTTGCATATTAAAAATAGTATAAAATAGTCAATTGCTAAGTTGCCGATGTATCTAGCCAAAAAATATTCTCAGTTGAAGAGGCTCTCGAAATTTTAAAGGTATCTATTTTTACATTAAAAAGGGTTAATTATTATTTTTTTTTTTGATAAGATTATTACAAATTTTTGATGAAACTTAATGAATTGAATGTATGAAAAATTAGTTTCTAATGAATTAATTGTTAAATCCAAGAATATTATTTCAATTATTTTTAATTATTGTTTAAAATATTTTAAAAGTTAAATTTTATTACAATTTTAAGATATTGAATTTAAATTAAATTTTAACACTGTTAATATAATTTTTTTAAAATAGAAAATGAATTACTATAGGTTTGATGAGCTTAAATACACTTTTCAACTGTACTAAGAAGGAAGAAATGGTATTTTAGATTTTTTAAATTAGATTTAAGTCAGTTAGGATATTCTAAATGAGCACGATGATTCATATTTACAGCACATAGAATCCTGTGAGAAATATGTTTAAGAATATTCTCAATCAAACTCTGTGCAAATGTTTTAATATTGTATTGGCAGGATTAACCTTGCTAAAAAAGATGTAGAGGTTGCAAGATGTGGATTCTCAAAGTCCTATCTAGATTTTATTGGTATAGACTTAGATACTTTTAACCAAATCTTACTGAGGAAACAAAAAATAGATCTAATAAAAGACAAGGAAGAGATTTTTTCACTTTTTTCTAAAGGCATTAAAGACAGGTTTTATTATAATATGGACTATCTTGACCAAACATTGAATATTGTTACGTTTGATGGCTTTCCAATAAAAATTAAGTTTAGAAAATAAGACTTGTAACCTTGTGCTTAATATAAGAAAATTTTTCCTGAGATATCTCACGAGTTCATATTCCACATCACAGAAATAGATATTGATCTGTTAGACCTCTAAAATTTAATTTCATACAGAGAAAGATTGTCTGTTTCCAAAAATAATTTATCATATGAGGATTTCCTTAAAAAAGAGCTATCTTATCTTTTCGAAGATGTTGAATATTCTGTGCATTCTTAAGCATTTGCTGAAAAATTCTATCAATCAAATGTATAAAAGTTAAAAAAAATTCAAAAATAATAGTTTACAAATCAAAGTTAGCAGCAATTAAAAAAATATAGTGGCTACAGATTAGTTAGTAGCACATCAAATATAAAACCAATATAAATCAATTGAATTTTTTATTGAAATTAAATAAAAATTTTAGCTTATAATAAATGAATGATAAATTATTTAAATCTTTTCAGAGTAATTAATTATTATTTTTATGAATTCTATTTTCAAATGCTTCATTTTAAATCATTATATAATAAATTTTGTTTAATTATAAATAAAATCTTATGAGCATATAAAAAGATCAAAATTCTTATTTTGTTTGTTTATTTGTTTTTAATTTACATTTGAACTATCTCTAATATTTGTTTATATAAATTTAGTTACAAATATTTTACCACGAAATAAATTAGACCAAATATGATTAATAATCAATTAATTTAATAGAATTTATTTTTGCTACTAAGTTTGTTAAAAGCTTAATTAAAATTTATTTTTCTAAAAAAGCTAAAGCAAATTTAAAATATTTTATGGTTTGAAATGATTTATATAAAATTTTTAATCCAAAATGAGAAATTAATTACAAACTAATATTATATATTTCTAAATAAACTGTATTTTTTTGTTTAAGTAGTAATGGCTAATAAATTTATTAAATTAATTTGCATCTTTAAATAAAAGTTGTGACAATTTTATTTTTATTCACTAATCTTCCATTAGCCACTAACTTAAAAAATGTAAATTTGTTCTAAAAAAACTATCAAGTTTTTACCTTAGAAATTAAATCTCCAACTCTTCCTTAGATATGGATTTTATCTTACATTTTTTCAATTAATCAAATAGATTTTGATTTAGATGGTCAATTTAATTAGTTTTGATATACTGATAAATCACGATAATATATTACATTTGATAAGTAAATAAATAAGTTTAAAACATCTACTTGATCAAACACTCACTCTTTCACTTACTTTTTTAAAATAAATGCCATTTCTTTCTAGGGAGGATTATAAAATAATTATTTTTTCGATGATTATTATTCTAAAATGATTAAAACCAATACATAAAATTCAAATTTTAAATATATTCAAAAAGAAACCTCTCTATTTTTGATTAAAAATAAATAAAGAATCTATTTATCTTATGCTTAACTAATTGAAATTTTATTTAAGCCAAATATTTTTAGCCAATAATACTTTTTATTGTCTTAAAAACCTTAAAGATAATTAATAAAATTGTAAGTTTATTTTGATTGCTTTATTTTAATTATATTATACTTACCTCACAAAAAGTAAATTTAATTAGATGAAGTTAGTAAATTAATAATAAGCTAGTAGATAGATATATTTAATTAATTATCTTTGATTTAATAACTAATTTTCAATAGAATTTGAATCAAATTCGATTTATAAAAGATTTAATTTTCAAGGTTAAAATAATCAAAGAATAACTGGTGAGCAATACCATATTTTTTAATTAACAAATTTCAAACATAATTAATAAATGAATGCATACTTATTTCAATTTTTATTGTGCATAGTTTAAAAAAATATTTAAGTAAAATTAAAATAATTTCAATTGATTTAAACTCATTTAAACATCTTTTAATTCATTTAAATATAAAATAACAACAACCATTTTTTAATTTATATTTTGCTTACAAAGCGATTGTTAAATTTTAATTAAATTAAAGTGCAATTTTAAATTTTTAGGTTCTAGATCAAGCAAATATATTTTATGTAACCAAAGTTTTGATTAAATTATTACTTTACTCTTCTTATTTTACTTTAACTACTTTACTTAGCTTGTCCTCTGCTATAAATAATGACCATTTACCTTAATTAAAATATAAATCATAAAATAAAAAATTTTTTCTAAACATAGCTTCAAATAAACTAATGAGAACTTAACTTATCTTATTCGCTGCCCTCTCTTTGCTCCTTATTGGTTCAACTGTTTATGTTTACTAAAGAGAATAAGCTAAACAAGCTGAAAATGAACTTGAAAATTACGCTGTTTCTTGTGGTAAGTGTGGGTGGAATGCTGTTAAGGTCTTTACTGCATGTCCAGCTGCCGTTGCTGAAGACGGTTTGAATCCTTGGGTTGATTATTCCTGTGTTTCCAACTTTATGAATGGAGGTCCTAACTGCAAGAGCTGCATCTGTGAATTATGTGATGCTTTCGGTAAAAGAGTCAAAGGTTGCTGAAGCTAATGAAAACATAAAAAATTTATAATAAAATATATTAAAAAAGATTAAAAAAAATAATTCTTAGTATCAATTGTTTTTATATTCAATGTAATAAAATTAATAAATTTTTTTTTGGTTATTTTATGGAAAATTTTCTTAAAAATAATTTAATGTGATTTAATGAATTTTATTTAAAGCCATTTTATTGATTGTTAAAACAAAACATATTGATAGTAGATAGATAGGTATATAGATATCATTCTTCTTAATTAATTTTCAAATTAAAAATTAATGAAATCTATAATTTCTAAAACACTTTTTGTTGAGTTTGAAAAAATATTTGTTTTAATTTTTGAAATTGATAAATTAGAATTTATGAAAATATTTAATGTTAATATTATTTACAAATTTTTATAGCTGTATTCATTAATATTCACAAACAATATATAATCTCCTGCTAAAAAACTAGTAATTTATTTAAAGTTTTGCTTAGCCTTTGTTCCCATTTGGGTGTAGGACACTCCAAGGTAATGAGCATTTGAATACATTTCTGCTTAGATGAAAAATTATGAAAAATGCTGGTTGGTGTGCTTAACAACTTTGAGCTTTTATTAGATTTTGTTCAGAAAAATTTTAGGAATTTAAGAAAAAATTAATTGAAAATGAAGAATAAATTGAATATAATTAATTATATTTTTGAATATATTAAATGAGATAATCTAAAATATTATTTTTAATTCTCACAGAAAAAAAAAATAATATAAAAATACAATATTTATTTAACTTCAAAAATTAATTTTAAGCTAAAATCTTAAAACAATAAAATTGATCAAAATGATAAAAATATCATTAAAATCAAAAACATCAATGCAAAATAGTTTCTTTCTGCAAACGTTTTAATAGTTGCTGAGATGCATACTTAACTATTATTACCAGTCTATCCTTGAGGGCATGTTTAAACACAACTTTTTTGGGATAAGAACTAATTAAAATAAAAATTTATTTAATAAGATTAGTTTGTTTTTAAGAAATATAATATAATTAATTACATAGTTATTTGAACAAGATGTGCATGTTGAGGCATCAGAACATCCAGAACAATTTGCTGGACATTAAACACATGTTTAATTAGATTGGTTGGCATAATATCCTTAGTTACATGAAGCTACACAATTTGTACCTTGTAAATAGAATGATTGATTGCATGTTGCACATGTTGTAGGCTAGAAAGTACCACTACAAGTGGAACAAGGAGAAAAGCAAGAGGAGGAATTTATACAAATCTGTTGGTTTTTATATGTGAAGGGCTAATAACCAGTGCTGCAAGTAGTACATGAATTTCCATTTGAACATTAATCACATCCAGTTACACATGGTGAGCAAGTGTAATTAGGCCCATTAAAATATCCTTTTTAGCAGGTTACTACACACTAATTATTAAATAAATATAAACCATTCTCACAAGATTAACAAGAATTGGGATTCGACGAAGAACAAGTTGCACAAGTTGAAGCACAAAGAGTACATGAATTACCTTATTACCTATAACCGCTAGATGCATCGCATTAAGTACAAGTTTTTCCATCTGAACAGGCTTTACATCCAGTTGAACAAGCAGTACAAGTCATATTTTATGAATTTTAATAATAACCTGATGGGCATGTAGAGTTACAAGTATTTCCTGGTTAAAGATAAAGATTTGATGTGCAAGAAAGGCAACTAGATTTACTAGAGCTGCTGCATGTAGCGCAATTACCAGTGCATGAAGAATCAACACACGCTCCTGAACTCGAAGTATAACCAGTTTTACAACCAGTACAATTAGTATAACTAGTACAACTAGAGCACCCATCTGGACAATTACTGCATGTCTTTGATGTTTCATCAGCATATTATCCAGTTGGGCAAGTTGTAACACACGAACCATTGCTCAAATATGTTAAAAATTAGCAAGCCTTGCATTATGAATTACTAGGACCTGTGCATTGAGAACAAGAGAAGTCACATTACTTGCAAAGACCACTACCTGAATCTTGATAAGTTCCATTTGGGCAAGTTGTTCTACATACCTTTTTATTATTCATATTAATTTTTAATTTAAATAAATTAAAGGTATTCATTTATTTTCAAAAAGTAATTTTTATAAAAATAAATTTTATAATTTTAGATTTGTTTTGCAAAAAATATCAAAAAAATAAATAAACAAACAAACAGCTTTTTTGTATAGCATGTTCGTATTTCATATTCTCATAAAATTTTGTTTGTTTATTTTAAACTGGAAATATATACTGTATTTGTTTATTTGTTTATTTGTTTCTTATTAATAATAAAACTTATTATGCAAGCTAAAAAATAGAAGTGGGTGTTAATTATTATAATAAAATTTTAAGGTAATAATACTATGCAATAAAGTATATTACCAATAATATATAATAGGGGTATTTTTATTTAAGCAGGTAAAATCCACATCAAAATTTGTTTTGATTAATTGAAAATAATTATTTATTTTTTAAGATAGTTGAAAATAAAATTAGTTAAAATATGAGAAAATTAATTATTAAAATAGTAAAATGAATAAATACATTATCAGTGCTTGCAAATGTGTTGCTTGGGCATGAACTCACACAATTTCCTGTCTAATCAAAATAGCCATTACACTATTTGCTACAGTCAACACCTCCAAAACCAGGATTACATAAGCATTAGCCTCTAATGCAAATACCATTATAAGTACAAAAGTTAACACACTATTAGTCGTCACAAAGTCTTGCAATATTAGATGGACAAGTTACTTGGCCTAAATTTTTACCTTAATAGATTACATCCTTTTTAGTAGATTAATCACTGGTTCCACAAACGATTTAAGTACTGGGAATTTGAGAGAAGGTAATTGTAATTTATGTTTTATCAGGAGAACATTACATAAAATGGCATCTGAAATTTTAGTCTTCGTAAGTATGTTGAGGAGTAGGACTGATTACAGTAGAAGCAAAACATTTAGAATTATAAGAAAAATCATTTGAAGTATCAGCATTAAATGATGCAGGATCATTTTAATAACTTTAATTAGCTATATCGCTGCACAAGAAATTACTATAAATTTGAACTACATTACAAGTATCATCAAAAGGATCAGAATTAGAACCTATTCCTTAGCCATCACCCCAAAAAGAGCAAGCCAATTAACCAGATGCTACAAATTCTTCATATTGAGTGGAACTTTTGCAAGCATTTTGGAAGAAATCACAGCCTTTTCCTCTTCCCCAGTAGATAGGATCAGTTAAATTTTCATTAACATCATCCCAATATCCAGTATCTTTGAGAAGGGCAACAGTAAAAAAAGTTAAATTTAAACCTTCTGTAAGGGCAGATGCAGTCATTATTTCACTTCTAATAATTGTTCTCTCCCAATGTGAGTTTAAAGAACCTGAACCACCCTAAATAAATTATAAATAAATAAATAAAATAAAATTAAAAAAGATTAAATAATAAAATAATTTGATAATTTTGAGTTATAAATAATTTTATATAAATTACTTAATTTTCTAATTGCATTCCTTATAAGGTTTGGCATCCAAAGTATTTTTAGGCTGTAGCTAATACATTTGGTGATCCTAATAATTTAGTTGATATTCCTCTCAGAGTTTGAGTAGTTATTAGTTAATTGGCTGCTGTTTACCCTAATAATTATTTAGTGGCTTTATTATACCAGTTTTCCATTGCGCCGTAAGAAAAACCTAGGACATGGATAACTTCATGTAATGTAACCATAACATCATTTTAATATTGCTCTAAATTAGTACCAGAGTTCTTCATATTAGCGATATTAAATAAGACTCTACCAAAATTTGGTCTGAAATATGTAGAGGTTTGTTAAAGATTGCAAAAGCCAGCATTTGCCAAATATCCAGCTGTAGGATCACTGTTGAATATGAAATATAAATGGAGATCTGAATTAGGAATACCTGTGGACTAATCACTTTATGAAGGAACAACAGTGATACAAGTATTATCACTTGTTTATTAAGGATTAAAAATATTATTTGTAGGGTTTGGTTAAACTTTGATGAAATTAGAAACAAAATTAACTACAGTTTTTGATACAGAAGTTAAATAGTTTATTTAATCTGTAGTGATAGCTGGTCCATTTGATTGTGCAGATAAACGAGTAAAGTCTGTTGTTATTCTGATAGGTTAAATAGTTTAAGATCCTAAATTTCTACCTTATTCATCTTCAGTGTAGTTAATAGGATTCTATTTAAAGTATTCATGAAGCTTTCTTTGTGTTTCTTTAATTAGATCATCATTATCGTGCGAGCATGAGTATTCTTAATGGGCAAAAGCACTATTATTAGCTACTAAAACGAAGGTAAGGATTAAAAGGTTTAAAATCGCTGTTTTTTTTGAACTGCTCATTTTTTATAGTTTTGGTTATCTATCTTACTTTCCCAATTAATTTGAGTAGAAATTATAATTTGAATAAATTTTAATATTTTGTTTGTTTGTTGTGTATTAGTATTTAACAACCAAAAAATGAATCTTAGAAATGTTTATATACTACAACATAACAATCAATCAATTTATATATAATTTTAATACTAATTTACACATTATTTTTAAGACTATAATGGGAATAGTTATTACCATCCACAAGTAAAAATATATGTTTTTATTGGCCATAAATTTACATTTGAATAAAAATTAAGTTAAAAGACAAATAATTAATAAACATTAATTTAGAGGCTGAGTATTAAGAAAGAAGATATATAATTTTATTTCGATTAATTCATTAATATTTTTGTTTTTGTTTTTCCTTTCTAAGGAAATCTAGATAGAACTTGTAATAAAAACTAGTGATAAAAAATTAATAAAACTCATTTTCAATCTTAATAGTGTATCAAAACAATTATAATAAAATAAACAGAGTTTCATAAAAATGTAACTTTAAAACTTTTAATGCATAGAAGATTTACTTTAAACTACAACAAAATATTTTTAAATTCACAAACTAGTAATTATTATTTAATTGTACAGACCTTCTATAAATATTATTCACATACTTTCGCTTAAGAAAATAATATATCCAAACCAAAGTTAATTAAAAAATTAAACTAGTCGTATGAAACTAAAAACAAATTTTATTTGATTTCTTAATAATAAAAGTAAGGATGTAGTACGATAATTATTTAATTTTAAAACAGAAATTTTTTATTTATTGTTTTAAACACTATGTATTTACATTTAACCTTAAAAATACAATTTTTAAATGGGAAATGTGCATATTTATTTCTTTAAATGATTGAGTTAGAAAATTTAATTTTTCAAATTCTCGTATTTAGATTAATATAAAATTTCAGGCTATATCATTACTTATTTTTAAAGACAATTTCTTTATATAATTAAATAATAAAGATATTTATTTGATTTCAAGATAAATCAATAATTAATTGCAAAAGTAAAGTAAAAATTATGATCATGTTTATTTTTCTACTAACTAATCTCAATTCTTTAATAAACTAGACAAATTATTTACATTCTTAGTTTATCGAATTCAAAATCTTGCTTGATGTGAATGATTTGCCATAATAAAGAATTAATTTATCTAAAATATAATTTTAAATAAGATAAAATTCAAAACTTCTTAACTTTTAAATAATATTTATATTTTACAAACAAATTTATTTTTTTACCAGAATTTTATAGATAGAAGAAATTCAAAGCTTGAAATTAATTAAGGCCAAATTGGAAAAGCAACTTAAATAATATTTCATATTTTTATTTATGACTTTATTTATATGCTTTTTGTTTCATGTTAACCATAAAATAAATATTACTTACATTGCTCAAATTTTTTATTATAAAATATATAGATATCCCTAATGAATAAATAGTAATATAAATATTTTTAACCTTTAGTTAATATTACTGCCTTACCTTATATTCATATATTTAATTAATTATCTATGCTTTCAAAATTTAAGATTAAACAAAAGAAAAACACCCGCCACCCATAATCCTAAATTATAATTTTGTAATAATTTAATTATAAGTTTATGACTATCCATGGTTTTAGAGTTAAATATTACATTATAAAACTTTTTTCTCAAAAGCTAATTAAATTCAGTTATTAAATAAATACATATTTAGAAACTAACTTTTAGTATTTCTTTTTAGATCTATTAAAAATTGGTTTTTAGAATAATTAATTATATAAGTTAAGAATTTTATAAAATCTATTCATTCTTGACAGATTACTAATTGTTAAGTTTTTAAATATTTGTTTGAACAAAAAGTTGTAGATTTATAAAATAAATATGTCAAGTCAAGCAAAAAATGTTACATTATTCTATTAATAATTAACTGCAAATATAAACAATCAAATATTAAAATAATACTACTTTAATTATTTTTTTATCAAAATAAAAATAATGAATGATAGATAGATAGATATAAACAGAAATAAAATTAAAAAATAAAAATTTACTAGATTTATAATATTAGTAAATTATATATATACAACCCAAAAATAGGCATACTAAAGAGCATTCAAGCAGAACAAAACCATAAAAACTCAAGCCGATTTTCTTAATGAATTTTATTTAAAGCCATTTTATTGATTGCCAAAAAAAAACATATCGATAGATAGATAGCATTTTTCTTAATTAATTTTCAAATTAAAAATTAATGAAATCTAATTTATAAAACAATTTTTGTCGAGTTTGAAAAAATGTTTGTTTTAATTTTTGAAATTGATAAATTAGAATTTATGAAAATATTTCATGTTAATATTATTTACAAATTTTTATAGCTCAATTCATTATTATTCACAAACAATATATAATCTACCATTAATAAATTGGAATTATTTTAATTTATAAATAATTAAAGTTTACTTTTAATTTTGCTAATTTATAATGCAGAAAAATCTCACATTCATAAAATCTCAAAATCACAATTAAAATATTTTTTTTAATTTAACAAAAATGAATAAATCAAAATTAATTAATTTATTAAAAAATATTAAATAAATAAATAAATTATAAAACTTATTTATAAACTTTGAAGCTATATTTTTTAATATTAAAAGTTCGCTTTTTTTATTTTTTTAAAAGGTTTTTAATTAATTGTTTGTAGTGAGGAGCTTTTCTTTGTGATTGGTGTTAATAATCATTATTCACTTTAAATATCATTGAGATTTAATTCAAAATATTTTAGGTTACTAAATTGTAATTATTAAGTTTATTCAATAAAACAATATCAGTAATAGCTTTCATATTTCATCTAATGTCAATTTCCTTTTTTAGAATATTTTGTCTTTTTTAGATTATAAGAATAATATTATTTCAAAAACAAGAAGTTATTTTATGTATTTTAATTAGTTATTGTATAACTCTTCTCCTTTAAACCAAAATAAAATATCGAAGTTTAATTGCTATCATTTTTATGAGCATACCAAAAAATTAGATTTATCTTAATTAAAAGATTGATAAGGGCTATTACTTAAAAAAATATTAAAATAAAGTAAAATACGTTTTTAATTTTGGTTAGGTCAAATAAAATTTCTATAAATTCAACTATTCTTTATCAATCTATAATAAGATTATGAAAATAATAACAAAATAGTTTATCTTATAAGTGAAGATATAATTTTCAAGTATAAATTAAATAAATATATTTATTAAATATGTATTAGAAACTTCTACCTGCTAAAAAACTAGTAATTTATTTAAAGTTTTGCTTAGCCTTTGTTCCCATTTGGGTGTAGGACAGACACTCCACGGTAATGAGCATTTTAATAAATATCTGCTTAGATAAAAATTATGAAAAATGCTGGTTGGTGTGCTAAACAACTTTGAGCTTTTATTCGATTTTGTTCAAAAAAATTTTAGGAATTTAGAAAAAATTAATTGAAAATGAAGAATAAATAATTATATTTTTGAATATATTAAATGAGATAATCTAAAATATTATTTTTAATTCTCACAGAAAAAAAAAGATTAATATAAAAATACAATACAATATTTATTTAACTTCAAAAATTAATTTTAAGCTAAAATCTTAAAACAATAAAATTGATCAAAATGATAAAAATATCATTAAAATCAAAATCATTAATGCAAAATAGTTTCTTTCTGCAAACGTATTAGCATTTGCTGAGAAGCATACTTAATTACTATTAGCAGTCTATCCTTGAGGGCATGTTTAAACACAGCTATTTTCGGATAAGAACTAATTAAAATAAAAATGTATTTAATAAGATTAGTTTGTTTTTAAGAAATATAATATAATTAATTACATAGTTATTTGAACAAGATGTGCATGTTGAGGCATCAGAACAAACAGAACAATTTGCTGGACATTAAACACATGTTTAATTAGATTAGTTGGCATAGTATCCTTAGTTACATGTAGCTACACAATTTGTACCTTGTAAATAGAATGATTGATTACATGTTGCACATGTTGTAGGCTAGAAAGTACCACTACAAGTGGAACAAGGAGAAAAGCAAGAGGAGGAATTTATACAAATCTGTTGGTTTTTATATGTGAAGGGCTAATAATTAGTGCTGCAAGTAGTACATGAATTTCCATTTGAACATTAATCACATCCAGTTACACATGGTGAGCAAGTGTAATTAGGTCCATTATAATATCCTTTTTAGCATGTTACTACACACTAATTATTAAATAAATATAAACTATTCTCACAAGATTAACAAGAATTGGGATTCGACGAAGAACAAGTTGCACAAGTTGAAGCACAAAGAGTACATGAATTACCTTATTACCTATAACCGCTAGATGCATCACATTAAGTACAAGTTTTTCCGTCTGAACAGGCTTTACATCCAGTTGAACAAGCAGTACAAGTCATATTTTATGAATTTTAATAATAACCTGATGGGCATGTAGAGTTACAAGTATTTCCTGGTTAAAGATAAAGATTTGATGTGCAAGTAAGGCAACTAGATTTACTAGAGCTGCTGCATGTAGCGCAATTACCAGTGCATGAAGAATCAGAACACGCTCCTGAACTCTATGTATAACCAGTTTTACAACCAGTACAATTAGTATAACTAGTACAACTAGAGCACCCATCTGGGCAATTACTGCATGTCTTTGATGTTTCATCAGCATATTATCCAGTTGGGCAAGTTGTAACACACGAACCATTGCTCAAATATGTTAATAATTAGCAAGCCTTGCATTATGAATTACTAGGACCTGTGCATTGAGAACAAGAGAAGTCACATTACTTACAAAGACCACTACCTGAATCTTGATAAGTTCCATTTGGGCAAGTTGTTCTACATACCTTTTTATTATTCATATTAATTTTTAATTTAAATAAATTAAAGGAACTCTTTTATATCCAAAAAATTAGTTTTTATGAAAAAATTTTTTATGATTTTAGATTTGTTTAAATTTGAAAAAATATCAAGAAATAAACAAAAAGCTTTTTTGAAAAACATGTTCTTTCTTATTTCACATTCTCTTAAAATTTTATTTAATTATTTAAACTGGGAATATATATATATACTGTATCCTATTTAAATTAAACCCTTGAATCGTTTATTTATTTCACATATTTTTGAATGTTTATGAAGTGGGTTTTAATTAATTAATAGTATAAAATTTTGAGGTAATAATACTATGCAATAAAGTATGTTGTTAACAATATACAATAGGGGTATTTTTATTTAAACAGGTATAATCGAAACCAAAATTTGTTTTGATTAATTGAAAAGAATTATTTTTTAAGATGGTTGAAAATAAAATTAGTTAAAATATTAGAAAATTATTAAAATAGTAATATGAATACATTATCAGTGCTTGCAAATGTGTTACTTGGGCATGAACTCACACAATTTCCTGTCTAATCAAAATAGCCATTACACTATTTGCTACAGTCAACACCTCCAAAACCAGGATTACATAAGCATTAGCCTCTAATGCAAATACCATTATAAGTACAAAAGTTAACACACTATTAGTCGTCACAAAGTCTTGCAATATTAGATGGACAAGTTACTTGACCATAATTATTACCTTAATAGATTACATCCTTTTTAGTAGATTAATCACTGATTCCACAAACTATTTAAGTACTGGGAATTTGAGAGAAGGTAATTGTAATTTACGTTTTATCCGGAGAACATTACATAAAATGGCACCTGAAATTTTAGTCTTAGTAAGTATATTGAGCTGTAGGACTAACAACAGTGGATGCAAAACATTTAGAATTATAAGAAAAGTCATTTGAAGTATCAGCATTAAATGATGCAGGATTATTTTAATAACTTTAATTAGCTATATCACTGCATAAGAAATTACTATAAATTTGAACTACATTACAAGAGTCACCAAAAGGATCAGAATTAGAACCTATTCCTTATCCATCATCCCAAAATGAGCAAGCCAATTAGCCAGAAGTTACAAATTCTTCATATTGAGTGGAACTTTAGCAAGAGTTTTGGAAGAAATCACAGCCTTTTCCTCTTCCCCAGTATATAGGATCAGTTAAATTTTCATTGACATCATCCCAATATCCAGTATCTTTGAGAAGGGCAACAGTAAAAAAAGTTAAATTTAAACCTTCTGTAAGGGCAGATGCAGTCATTATTTCACTTCTAATAATTGTTCTCTCCCAATGTGAGTTTAAAGAACCTGAGCCACCCTACATAAATAAATAAAATAAAATTAAAAAAGAGTAAACAATAAAATAATTTTATAATTTTGAGTTATAAATAGTTTAGATAAATTACTTAATTTTCTAATTGCATTCCTTATAAGGTTTGGCATCCATAGTATTTTTAGGCTGTAGCTAATACATTTGGTGATCCTAATAATTTAGTTGATATTCCTCTCAGAGTTTGAGTAGTTATTAGTTAATTGGCTGATGTTTACCCTAATAGTTATTTAGTGGCTTTATTATACCAGTTTTACATTGCGCCATAAGAAAAACCTAGTATATGGATAACTTCATGTAATGTAACCATAACATCATTTTAAAATTGCTCCAAATCAGTACCAGAGTTCTTCATATTAGCGATGTTAAATAAGACTCTACCAAAATTTGGTCTCATATATGTAGAAGTTTGTTAAAGATTGCAAAAGCCAGCATTTGCCAAATATCCAGCTGTAGGATCACTGTTAAATATGAAATATAAATGGAGATCTGAATTAGGAATACCTGTGGACTAATCACTTTATGAAGGAACAACAGTGATACAAGTATTATCACTTGTTTATTAAGGATTAAAAATATTATTTGTAGGGTTTGGTTAAACTTTGATGAAATTAGAAACAAAATTAACTACAGTTGTTGATACAGAAGTTAAATAGTTTATTTAATCTGTAGTGATAGCTGGTCCATTTGATTGTGCAGATAAACGAGTAAAGTCTGTTGTTATTCTGATAGGTTAAATAGTTTAAGATCCTAAATTTCTACCTTATTCATCTTCAGTGTAGTTAATAGGATTCTATTTAAAGTATTCATGAAGCTTTCTTTGTGTTTCTTTAATTAGATCATCATGATCGTGCGAGCAAGAGTATTCTTAATGGGCAAAAGCACTATTATTAGCTACTAAAATGAAGGTAAGGATGAAAAGGTTTAAAATCGCTGTTTTTTTTGAGCTGTTCATTTTTTATAATTTTTGTATTCTTACTTTCCTAATTAATTTGAGTAGAAATTATAATTATTTGAATAAAGTTTATTATTTTTATTTTTTGTTTATTTGTATTTAACAACCAAAAACTTAATCTTAAAAATGTTTATTTACTACAACATAACAATCAATTTATGTATAATTTTAATCAGAATTTACACATTATTTTTAAGACTTTAATGGGGATAACTATTACCATTCACTATCAAGTAAAAATATATGTTTTTTTTGGCCATAAATTTACATTTGAATAAAAATTAAGTTAAATGACAAATAATTAATAAACATTTATTGAGAGGCTGAGTATTAAGAAAGAAAATATAAAATTTTATTTCTACTTATTCATTAATTTTTTGTTTTGTTTTTCCTTTCAAAGGAAATCTAGATAGAACTTGTAATAAAAACTAGTGATAAAAAATTAATAAAACTCATTTTCAATCATAATAGTGTATCAAAATAATTATATAAAAATAAACAGAGTTTCATAAAAATGTAACTTTAAAACTTTTAAAGCATAGTAGATTTACTTTAAACTACAACAAAACATTTTTAAGTTCACAAACTAGTAATTATTATTTAATTGTACAAACCTCCTATAAATATTTTTCACATACTTTCACTAAAGAAAATAATATATCCAAACAAAAGTTAATTAAAAAATTAAAGTAATCTTATGAAACTAAAAACAAATTTTATTTGATTTATTAACAATAAAAGTAAGAATGTAATAAGAGAATTATTTAATTTAAAAACAGAACATTTTTATTTATAGTTTTAAACACTATGTATTTACATTTAACCTTAAAAATACAATTTTTAAATGGAAAATGTGCATATTTATTTCTTTAAAATGATTGAGTTAGAAACTTTAATTTTTCAAATTTTTAGATTAATATAAAATTTCAGACTATATCATTACTTATTTTTAAAGACATTAGTTTATCGAATTCAAAATCTAGCTTGATATGAATGATTTGCCATAATAAAGAATAAATTTATCTAAAATATCATTTTAAATATGATAAAATTCAAAACTTATTAACTATAAAATAATATTTATATTTTACAAACAAATTTATTTTTTTACCAGAATTTTATAGATAGAAGAAATTCAAAGCTTGAAATTAATTAAGGCCAAATTGAAAAAGCAACTTAAATAATATTTTATATATTTATTTATGACTTTATTTTTATGCTTTTTGTTACGTGTTAACCATAAAATAAATATTACTTACATTGCTCAAATTTTTTATAAAAAAATATATAACTATCCCTAATCTAATGACTAAATAGTAATCTAAATATTTTTAACCTTTAGTTAATATTACTGCCTTACCTTATATTGATATATTTAATTAATTATCTATGTTTTTAAAATTTAAGATTAAAAAAAAGAAAAACACCCGCCACCCATAATCAAAAATTATAATTGAGTAATAAATTAATTATAAGTTTATGACTATCCATCCATGCTTTTAGAATTAAATATTACATTATAAAACTTTTTTCTCAAAAGCTAATTAAATTCAGTTATTAAATAAATACATATTTAGAAACTAACTTTTAGTATTTCTTTTTAGATTTATTAAAAATTGGTTTTTACAATAATTAATTATATATAAGTTAAGAATTTTATAAAATCTATTTTATTATTTGACAGATTACTAATTGTTAAATTTTTAAATATTTATTTGAACAAAAAGTTGTAGATTTATAAAATAAATATGTCAAGTCAAGCAAAAAATGTTACATTATTCTATTAATAATTAACTACAAATATAAACAATCAAATATTAAAATAATACTATTTTAATTATTTTTTTATCAAAATAAAAATAATGAATGAATGATAGATATAAACAGAAATAAAATTAAAAAATAAAAATTTACTAGATTTATAATATTAGTAAATTATATATATAGAACACAAATAGGGATACTAAAGAGGCATTCAAGCAGAACAAAACCATAAAAACTCAATCTTTTTGTTTTCAAATATTTTATATAAATTTTAAATTTTTATTAAGCCCTGTTTTTTTTGTGAGATATTATATTAGTTCATGAGTTATTTTAGCAAAGCTAAGCTAACTAAAATATTTATTTAAAATTATTTTATCCAGTTTAAAGAGCCATTTCCTTGAAAATGCTATTTTCTTGCTAGAGGAGATCGTAAGGGGTTCCTTATTCAGCAACAGCACCATTTTCTATGACAAAAATTTTATCGTAATCAGCAATAGTATTCAGTCTATGAGCTATTGTAATCACATTAGAGTTTTTAAATCTTTCTCTAATTTTTTGTTAGATTAATTTATCAGTTTGTTAATCGCAGTTTGCAGTTGCTTCATCTAATAGGATCACTTTACTTTATCTCAAAATTGCCCTTCCTAAACATATCAATTACTTTTCTCCACTACTAAAAAGATCATTAGTATTAGACATATCTGTAAAAAAACCTTCTTTAAGTTTGGATATCTTATCTTTTTATTTAAATTATAAGAATAAATTTATCATTTTAAATTAAAATATTTTTGTTTGTTTTTGAGTTTTTAATCAAAATTATTTTATTTAAAAAATAATTAATTTTCTATTTTGATAAAAAATAAATTTTTTTTACCTGAAAGATTAATTTCTTTTAAAATTTAGTTGATTTCTACATCAGTGTATTCATCTAATGGGTCTAAATTTCTGCGAATCGATCCAGAAAAAACAAATGGCATTTGAGGAATAATGCTAATTCCTGATCTAATTGTGTGTATTCCTAACTCTTTTAGATTATATCCATCAATTTTGATAAATCCTTATTCTGCAATATTATCAGGTTTATCCTCAATTTCAGTCAATCTATAAATTGCTTATATTATTGAAGATTTTCCAGCTCCTGTTCTGCCTATAAATCCTACTTTTTCTCCTGCATTTATTTTAAAAGATAATCCATTTAGAACATAGCTAAGATCTTTTCTATATTTCATTTTAACATTTTAAAATTCTATATCTCCTTTGACTGGAAAAATATAATTTTTGTTTTAATTGTCTGATTAAATAGCATCTTATTTATTTTAGATAAAAATTTTGTCATTTTCACATCTTAGATCAGGCTCTTAAACAATATCTATCATATTCATAGCTCTTTAAGCGCTAGACATTGATATATCTGTTTCTATTATCATCCTATTTTTAAAATTTAGTTATTTACTTGAAAATTTTTGAAAAAAACTCAAACCTCAATCCAAACTGCATAGCATCACTAATACTTATAAAAAATATAATAGCTTATCCTAAAGAGCTTGAATCTTTGTTTATTAGCATAATCATATATATTCCAATATTAGAAAATAATGCTGTAGCCAAATGAATGTAAAACGAAAAAGCCCTTTAGTTGAAATTAAAAGTAAGAGCTGTTTTTAAAGAATTGTGTAGAAGAACAGAGAAATTTTCTAAGAATATTTTTTGCTTCTTGAAAGATCTGATTGGAAGAGCTCCTTAAATAGTTTAGTTAAAGCAGGTGTATATAGGTGAGCGGTGTCTAAGATCTAATTGCTTTGATTACTAAAGCGGAGTTTTAGAAAAACTAACGAAAAGCCAAATTAAAATTGTCTAAATAAACACAACTATTAAAAAATAAGGATTAATTATCAAAATAGTAATTATAGCTACAGATATTCTAGAAAGTATTTCTAAAGAACTGATCATAGTCCTTGTTATTAATTAATCTATTATACCTATTTATTAAGTTAATTTAAATATTAATTAAATAGTTTTAAATTAATTTATCTAATTTATTTCTCACTTTTAAACACAAAAAATATTTTTTTAAATTTTAATTATTGAGAACCAAACTTCAGTATATAAAGAGAAATTGATTGAAATAAGGAAAAAATATATTTTTAAATAACATAAATAAAATTTTACCTAAATCAGAAGAGAATTTATTTAATATTCTACCTGATGGAGTTCCATCAAAAAATTGAATAGCAGCTCTAACTAATGATTTAATCATATTTTAGTGAATATTTTTGTTGCTACTATTAACGATCAAGGTAAAAAGCAAATACTTACTCAAGTAATTAACAAAAAATATTAATGTTAAATAACCCAAATAATAAAGTATTTCCAAGAGATCATCTTCGTTTTAAGTATAGTTTGAGATTGTTTTTGTATATAATACATAAACAATATCGCTTGAAATAAATAAAGCGAGCACTAAAAAAATTAACCATTTCAATGAAGAATATCCAAAATATTTCTAATAAGTTTTAAAGTTTACTGTCATATCCTCATCTTATTCTTTTGTAAAAATATTCTAAATTTTATTATTTTAAATTATTTTATCTGTAATTTGTTCTTTTTCTTAGTAATTCTTAAGCTCTTATTAAATATTCTATTCATCTTATAATCTACTACTTTCTTACAGTACTTGTTTTATTTTTTCATTAGATTGTGTTGATGTTTCTTCATCATTTGAGCATAAGCAACTATCAATATCTTCTATATTAGCTTTTATCTCATCATAATTTCCTTAATTAGCTATTAGACCTTCCTTAATTATCAAAACTTTATCAGCTTTTTAAGCAAAATCAAGATGATGAGTTACCATTAGAACAGTTTTTCCTTTCAACATTTTCAAAATAGCCTATTCAACTATTTGCTTAGCTACCTAATTAAGTTAAAATAAATTAATAACAAATAAATAAATAAAATAATAAATAAGAAGGAAAATACATTTCTCTTCATAAAAAATAATTATTTTCCAAAAAAAAAAAATATTTTCTTTATAAGTTAATTGATTTTACCTTAGAATCAACAGCAGAAAGAGGATCATCTAATAGATATATGTCAGATTAAGAATAAATAGCACGTGCTAATGAGATACGAGCTTTTTATCCACCACTTAAATTGGTTCCTCTTTCTCCTATTTAAGTCATGTCTTAGTTTATAAATAATTTGATATCCTCTTTAAGACCACAAGCTTCCAAAACTTACTTATAGAGATCTTCATTATATTCAGACCCAAAAATAATATTTTCTTTAATTGAACTACTGAAAATATAAGGCTCTTGCTCTACGTAGGCTACCCTGCCATTGAAGCTAAAGCTTCCCTTAAAATAAGGGATTTCTTAGAGAATACAGCTCAGAAGTGATGATTTTCCACTTCCAATTCTTCCAATTATTGCCACTAAGTCTCCGTTCTGAATATCGAGATTGATATTTTTTAAAACGGGAGTTTATAAATTCCAATAAGCGCTGAAATCTTTCATAGTTATTTTTCCTCTTGGTAATGATTTATCTAAGATTAATGGTTCTAATTATGCTATAAGATTATTAAAATAATTTTTTTATTAGATTTATTTAAGAATTTAAGCATATTAAAAATTTGTTTGTTAAGAATAAAATAAATTACATTTAGTTGATAAATCGGTTATTTATTAAATAGACTGCTCTTGTATCGTTAGCACAGCCAATATTCTCTTGATAATTACTTTAAACTCTAATAAACCAGTAATTCCTGTGCTAATATAGGTTACTAGCTCATATTTAGTATAAGAGAATAAATCCATAACAGAAATCATTTTTGGAACTGTTAAAACTGAAGGATCCCCAAAATAATATATACTCAAGAAGGATATTAAGCAGGCAAGCATATCAACAATAGAAGTAAAAGATTATTAGAACGAGTATATGATTTGAATAATTAATATTTTACTTATTTCATTTTCTCTTATTATTTACACAAATTTTACAAATGCCTCTTCCCATGCATACATTTTTATCAACCTAATCCCTTCTATTAATTCATTAGTAAGTTTTATTCTTTAGTCTACTAATTAGGTCTTCAGAAAGAAGAATCTTTAGTTTACCTTTGCAAAAATACTTTAAATAATTGGATAACAGAGGATAAAGCAAAAACCAAGTAGAGAATAAAAGCCTAATCTATTTTATAATACAAATATATTTCAAATAATTTTACTAAAAAACTTTTATTAGAATGAAATGTGAAAATAAAATATGAATTCGTTTTTCCTCTTAAATTTAAGATTATTTATTTATTTTTTGCAATACATTTCTTAATACCAACCAGATAGATAAGAAAAATATTTAATAAAAAATTTAAAAGAAATTTTTTACCTTTAGTACAAAAAAAGAACTACCACAGTAAGATCAATAAAAACTGTGATAATTTTTATCATGCACAAACCTTTACTATCTAGAGTATTTAGATCATTTGAAACTAGATTAACTAATTTGCCTACGTTAGCTTATTTGAGAGAAAAAGCTGAAAGAGTCGTAATCTTTTGATACAATATTTTCATTAAAGTAGCCTTGAAAACATGTAAGAAATTGTAAAAGAATCTCGATATGTTGTGTACAGCTATAAGCGCAGAGAACTGTATTATGGTTAATATGATGGCTAAAGAGAACTTGACTGAATTGCTTTTATTTTCTTAAATAGCTTCTAGAAATAAAATTAAACAAGATGAGAAGAGAATCTTAAAAGCATTAAAAAAGGCGTTTGTAATCAGCAAAAATCCAATCTCATACTTAAAAGTAAAAATTATACTGGAAATTATTTTAAATTTCGAGATATTTTTTTCGTTAGTATTTGGTCTATTAATTAACTAAGAAAATTTCTTTTGTAAAATTTAATATTTAAGCTCAAGTTCTTTCTCTTAAGAGTACGTGGGAATGTGCTTTATCTATAAAATTAAATATAATTTTATAGATTTATAGCATTACAAAAGTATCTTCAAATAATCAAGCATAATAATCTTTTATAAAAAGCACAGATTTTCTTTTGTTTAATTAACAATTTTTTCATCTTAATTTTTTTAAGCAATAAAATTTCCTTCTTAAATACTATCAAAAACTTCAGTTACTTGACATACATTTGTTTCAATAGTATTAAAGGTGGTTTAACTTGTTTGAGTTTTAATGTTTTAAAAGCTAACTATTTCTTCTTGTAAAATTCTAAGCTATTTATCTTTAGGAGGTTCATTAATTTTACATTTTCTGTAAATATTATCACCTTAATGAGGATTTTAACTTGTTTTTTAATTGCTAGGATTCATTTTAATTTGTTTGTTTTTATTATTAAATTTTAATATTAGAAAGTTTTTGGTAAATGTTCTGCTTTTTTAAAATTAAATGGGTTAGTTTATTTTTGTTATTTGCTTGTTTAATTTTACATTTTTTACTAAATTCTAGCTTTATATTTTACTCTATCTTGAATATTTCTTCCAATTCCTATCCAAAATTTCTGCTTTATCCTCTTCTTCTAATTCACTATTAGAGAAAAAGAAAGAAGATGAAATCTACTTATACTTTCTTAGTTAAATAGTTAGATATATTCAGAAGTTTAATTATCAAAAACTCAATTAAATAATATGATCTTTTTTATATAAAAAACATATACTCTAAAAGCTATTTTTTTTTTGAAAGTGTTATTTCTTATTACTTCAAACAGGTAAATTAATTTTTAAAAAAAAAATTTTTAAAAATAATCACAAGTGCGCTAGACCCCTCATTTATCTATATATGAATAATCTATTTATTAAAACTTTATCTAAATAGGTATAAAAGGCTTATTGGATGTAGGCAACCTATATAACATGTTTTTGCAAAAAAACTAATGGAATTTAAGAATAATTAGAGATATTATCAATATTATAATATATTAATAAATATTAAATGTATTTTAATTTTTACTATACTTAAATAGAAAAAATCACTAAATTAAAATTATCCTACTTTTACTATTTTTTAAGTATAATTTTTAAATATAAATATTAAGATATGATAATAAATGTTACACTAAGTTTTTTGGGATATCTCTTCATAAAAGCAAATTTATAATTTTATAAATTTGTATTTTATAAATATTATAATATTATTTCTTTTTATCCAAATTAATTTGAAATAAAGTATATTTTGTTTTAATTTAACTAAAATTAATTAAATTTCCATAAATTGCATTTCAATTTTTTTGAAAAAAAAATCATATGATATAATAGAAAAATTATTTTAACAATTTAGATGAGGTAAATATTTATTTTTTATTCATACTGGTTAAATTTATTTTTATTTATAAAAAAAGTTTTTAAACTCTTCACTTTAATCCCATTAGGTTCTCCATATTGATCTAAAGTATTAATTAAATATTTTTAATATTATTTATGTTTTTTATATTTAATTTTCAAGTTACTTACAATATCATTTTTCTAATAAAAATACTTTTTTTATAAATTCATTTTTATTTTTACAAATATTTTTTAATTATTTTAACTTAATTTTAACTTAATTTTTATTTTAATTTTCATGATTAATTATTTATTTATTTTATATTTGATGTATTTTATTTATTTTTTCCTAAAATGATTATCTATTTCTTTATTTGTTAATTTAACTCATTTTTTCATTTTCTACTTTTGCTTTTTTTATTATTTAATTTATTTATTATTATTTCATATTGTTTCTTGATTATTTCCTTCTAACTAACTAATTATACACATTGTCTTCACTATTTATAAAGTCACAAAAAAATTGGTGACCAAGGTGCTTCAAGCTTAGGTTCTGCTTTAGCAAAGTGCATTAATCTGTCAAATTTAACACTTATTTTAAGGTAAAAACAATTTTTTGTTTGGATTGTGATATTTTTTAATATAAAATGAATTTAAAATAATCTTACTAACTCTTTTAATTTTATTATTAGATTATATTTCTTTTTTTTATTATTCTGATTGTTTTTTTCTTCTTCTTCTCTCTCTCTCTCTCTCTCTCTCTCTCTCTCTCTCTCTCTCTCTCTCTCTCTCTCTCTCTCTCTCTCTCTCTCTCTCTCTCTCTCTCTCTCTCTCTCTCTCTCTCTCTCTCTCTCTCTCTCTCTCTCTCTCTCTCTCTCTCTCTCTCTCTCTCTCTCTCTCTCTCTCTCTCTCTCTCTCTCTCTCTCTCTCTCTCTTTCTTTCTTTCTTTCTTTCTTTCTTTCTTTCTTTCTTTCTTTCTTTCTTTCTTTCTTTCTTTCTTTCTTTCTTTCTTTCTTTCTTTCTTTCTTTCTTTCTTTCTTTCTTTCTTTCTTTCTTTCTTTCTTTCTTTCTTTCTTTCTTTCTTTCTTTCTTTCTTTCTTTCTTTCTTTCTTTCTTTCTTTCTTAATTTAATTAATTTTTTGATTTTAAATTTTTATTTGATTAATTTGTTGCTTTTTTTTTTCCTGATTACTATCTAATTAAATATTTTTTTTTTTTCAATATTTAAAAAGTAGAAATAAAATAGGTGATGAAGGTGAATCAAGCTTAAGTTTTGCTTTAAAAAAGTACACTTATCTCTCAAATTTGACACTTAATCTTTAGTAAAACCAGTTTATTTATTTTAATTGTTACATTTTTGAATATAAAAATAAATTTAATCAATATAACAATAACTAATTCTTTTATTTATTTATTAGTTTTTATTAGATTTCCTTTTCTTTTTTTTATTCTGAATGTATTTTTTTTTTCTAAGTTATACTTTTGCTATTAATTAATTTATAATTGCTTCATATTTTTCTTCGATATTTAAAAAGTGACAATAAAATTGGTGACTAAGGTGCATCAGGATTAGGTTCTGCCTTAGCAAAATGCACTAATCTCTCAAGTTTGACACTTAATCTAAAGTAAAAAGAGTTTATTTATTTTGGATTATTATAATTTATAACTCTTTTTCATTAATTTATTTTTTAGCTTTTTATTTTATTTATTTTTACTTTTTTGTTTATTCTATTTTTTTTTATTTGTTAATTTAACTCATTTTATAATTTTTAATTTTACTTTTATTATTATTATTAGATTAATTAATTTCTTATTATTTTATATTTTTTCTTCATTTATTCCTTCTAACTAACTAATAAATTATATATTTTTTGTTCAATATTTAAAAAGTGTTAATAAAATTGGTGATGAAGGTACATCAGGCTTAGGAACTGGTTTAGCAAAATGTACTAATCTATCAAATTTAACACTTAATCTTTGGTAAAAATAGTTTTTTTATTTTGGAATGTGATATATTTTAATATATAAATAAATTTAAAGCAACAAAATTAACTAAATCTCTCTATTTATTTATTAGCTTTTTATTTGATTCATTTTTATTTATTTATCCTGCATATATTATTTTTTCTTACTTTTCATGTTAATTTTACTCATTTTTTCATTTTAAAATTCTAATTCATTTCTTATTATTTCATATTTTTTCTTTCAAACTAGTTAATTAACTCTTTATTATTTCTCCAATATTTAAAAAGTGACAATAAAATTGGTGACCAAGGTGCAATAGATTTAGGTTCTAAATTAGAAAAATGCATATATCTCTCAAATTTGATACTTAATCTTAGGTAAAAACAGTTTGTTTGTTTTGGATTGTTTATATTTTTTAATATAAAAATGAATTTTTAAAACAATCTCTTAATTTATTTATTAGCATTTTATTTTATTCTTGCTTATTTGTTTATTCTGCTTGTTTTTTTTTTTTTTCTCTCTTTGTTAATTTAACTCCTTTTGATAAATTAATTAATTTCTAATTGATTGTTTCATATTTTTTTTCAAAATTTAAAAGTTACAATATAATTGGTGATCAAGGTGCTACAGGCTTAAGTTCTGTATTAGAAAAGTGCACTAATCTCTCAAATTTGATATTTAATCTTTCGTATAAACATTATTAATTTTTTATTTGATTTATTTTTGTTTTTTTGTTTATTTTGCTTGCATTTTTTTATTTTTTTTTATTTGTTAATTTATCAAATTTATTTTCAACTTTTACTTTTAATTAATTAATTTTTTATTATTTCATATTCATAAACTAATAAATAACATTTATGTACTTCAATATTTCCAATTCATTCTGAAGGAACTTAAATCCCACCTTAAAGCCGTTTTGCTACTCTGAAAATAAGAAAAGTTTTTTTTTTTTTTATTATTTCATATTTTTTCTTGAACTTTTTCCTTCTAAATAACAAATTAACTATATATTTTTTCCTCAATATTTAAAAAGTAACAATAATATTAGTGACCAAGGTACTTCAGGCTTAGGTTTTGGTCTAGCAAAGTGCACTAATCTCACAAATTTGACACTTCATCTTTGGTAAGGCCGTTTATTTATTTTTATATTATTTTTAATATAAAAATGAACTTAAAACAATATCACTCTTTTAATTTATTTATTAGCTTTTTATTTGATTTATTTATCTTTTTTTGTTTATTTTGGATGTGTTTTTTTTACTAATTAATTTTCAACTTTTGCTTTTATTATCATTTCTTATTATATCATATTTTTTCTTAACTTCTAACGAACTAATTAACTATATATGTTTTATTCAATACTTAAAAAGTAATAATAATATTGGTCGCCAAGGTGCATCAGGTTTGGGTTCTACTTTAGCAAAGTGCACTAATCTTTCAAATTTGACACTTGATTTTGAGTAAAAAAAGTTATTTGTTATGGATTTTGATATTATTTAATATAGAAATGAATTTTAAACAATAAAGATCTTTTAATTTATTTATTAGCTTTTCATTTTATTTACTTTTTTTCTTTATTTATATCTGCTTGTTTTTTTTCTTCTTTCTTTATTGTTAATTTAGCTCAAATTTTTATTTTCAACTTTTACTTTTTAATTAATTCATTCTTTTATTTCTTAATATTTCATATTTACTATTTTTGTTTTCCTTCTAAATAATAAAATTTATTTATATTTCATTTCCAACATTAAAAAGGTATAATTAAATAGGTAATGAAGGTGCACTAGACTTAGGTTTGACTTTATAAAAGTGCATTAATCTCTCCAATTTGACACTTAGTCTTACGTAAAAACAATTTATTTGCTTCGGATTGTGATATTTTTTAATATAAAAATAAATTTAAAACAATAAAACTAACTCTTATAAATTATTTATTAGTTTTTTATTTGATTTATTTTTCTTTTTTTACTCTGCTTGTGTTTTTTTTCTCTTTCTTTCTTTATTTGCTAATTTAACTTATTTATTCGTTTTAAACTTTTCCTATTAGTATCAATTAATTAATCCATTTCTAATTGTTTTATATTTTTTCTTCATTTTAGTTAACTATATATTCTTTCTTAAATATTTAAAAAGTAACAATAATATTGGTGACGAAGGTGTTATAGGTTTAGGGTCTGCCTTAGCAAATTGCTTTAATCTCTAAAATTTGACACTTAATCTTTAGTAAAAGATTTTATAGTTTTGGATTGTGATATTTTTTAATATAAAAATGAATTAAAAACAAAATAACTAACTCTTATAATTTATTTATTAGCTTTTTTTTTTATATTTTCATTTTTTTTATTCAGCTTGTGTTTTTTTTCTTTGTAAATATAACTCATTTTTTCATTTTCAACTTTTGGTTTTAATTAATTTATTTCTTAATATTTCGTATTTTTTCTTCATTTCTTCCTTCTATCTAACTAATTAACAATATACTTTTTCTTCAATATTTAAAAAGTAACAATAATATTGGTGATAAAAGTGCTTCAGGCTTAGGTTCTGCTTTAGCAAAATGCAATAATCTCTCTAATTTGACACTCCATCTATCGTATAACCATTTTATTTGTTTTGGATTATGATATTTTTAAATTTTTAAAAAATTTAAAACAATATAATTAACTCTTTTTATTTACTTATTTATAGCTTTTTATTTGATTTTTTTGTGTTTTTTTTTCTTTTCTTTCTTTACTTGTAAATTTAACTCATTTTTCGATTTTCAGTTTTTAATTTCAATTAATTAATTCTTTTATATCTAACTGTTTCATATTTTTTCTTTATTTTTTCCTTCTAACTAACTAATTAATTAACTTTATTTATATTTCATCTTCAACATTAAAAGCTTAAATTAAATTTGTGATGAAGGTGGATCAGGATTAGGTTCTTCTTTAGCTAAGTTTACTAATCTCTCAAAATTATCACTTAATCTTAGGTAAAAACAGTTTGTTTGTTTTGAATTTTGATATTAATTAATATAAAAATTAATTTAAAATAATATAACTAACTCTTTTAATTTATTTATTAGCTTTTATTTTATTTTTTTTTCATTTTTGTTTGTCCTGCTTGAATTTTTCTTCTTCTTCATTCTTTGCTTGTTAATTTAATTTAAGTTATATTTTTCATTTTCAACTTTTCTTTTCTTTTCTTTTATTTAATTAATTAATTATTTACTTTTATTTCATATTTTTTCTCTTTTTTTTACTTTGAACTAATTACTTTATATGTCTTTTTTATATTTAAAAAGTTACAATAAAATTGGTACAATTGGTGCATAGGGTTTAGGTTTTGGTTTAGCAAAGTGCACTAAACTCTCAAATTTAACACTTGATATAACGTAAAAATAGTTTTTTTGTTTTGAATTGTGATATTTTTAAAAATAAAAACTAACTTAAAATAAAAAAATAAACTCTTTTGATTTATTTTTAATTTTATATTCACTTTATTTTTCTTATTTGTATTATGATTGCCTTTTTTCTCTCTCATTAACTTTTGCTTTTAATTTATTATAAACTTATTATTTCATTTTTCTTCTTCAATATTTAAAAAGGTCTAATTAAATTGATGATTAAGATGTATCAGGCTTATGTTCTGCTTTAGCAAAGAGCACTAATCTCTCAAATTTTACAATTAAACTTTCGTAAAAACAATAAAAATGAATTTAAAAAATATAAAAAACTCATTTTAATTATTCTGAGCTTTTAATTTGATTTATTTTTCTAATTATTTTTTATTCTTTATCTTTTTATTTATTTATTGATTATAAAAATAATGTTTTTTTAAAAATTTTATACTATTTATTTTTTTAAATAATTTACTTACACTAATTTATTTTAAAAGGTTCAAAAAAATCAATAAATAATAATAATTGAAAGCTAAGTGTCTTAAATCAAAAAGATTAGTTGTCTTAAAAATAATTTTTTGTTAATAATAATGAAAAAAGGAAAAATAAATATAAAATATTTGATAATATGTTTTATTTTATAACATTTTGTAATCAAATAATTTAACTAAAATATCGATAGATTTATAATTATTATTATAAATATCATATTTTGCTATGTTAATAAATCTGATATAATTCTAATTTAAAATAGTAAAAAAAAAGCATTTAAACTACCCTATAATCATTTTTATATAAAATTTATACTAATTCCACTGATTATATATATCTAATCAGCAGAATTTTAAAGCCTTGAACAACTTTATAAAATATTTCTTTATATTTGTTTTTCTTAAAACATAAAAATATTTTTTTATATTTTTAAATTGGCTCATATATGGCTCTTTGATATTAACAAAATTAAATTATGATTAAAATAGTTATTCATTGGTTAAAGCAAAAAAACTTTTAGCTTAATAAAATAATAGATTCTTAAAAATCAAAATGATTTTATATTAAATTTTAAAAATGATTTGTGATATAATTTCATAAATTTTACTTACTTCTCTTTTTCTTTCATAAAAAAGAATTATTTAAAATTAATAAAATATATAATAATATCATTAACTAACTAAATTATTTCTAAATTTGATTTTAGTTAAATGAATTGGACTATACTCTAGTATTTAACTCTTTACTTAATGTCAAAAATTTATATTTAAATAATTTTAAATAATTAAGAAAAATCAGTGTTAAAATGAGAGACTAATTAATTACACATTTATATTTTATAATATAAATTTCTAAAATTTAAAAGTAAAAATAGTATCTATGAAAAAAGTATGTATTTAAATCTTGAGTTTAAATTTACAAATAAACAACTAAAAATTTTTAATCTAAATTTATTGTAAAAATAATTTAAACTAAATTTTAAAATATTTTCATAATTTTGTTTATATACATCTATCAGCCTTTGGTCTTTTGAAATTTGGGAAATCAATAGAAATATAAAATGCAAATAAATTTACCATTTATTTTATATCTTAGTTTTACTCTAGAAAATCTAATTATAGAACAATATGCTTATTTTCTGAGCTAAATATCCCCTAGCTAGAAGTACAGTTTTCTGCTACTCGTTAAAATTAAAAAATTAATTTGAATGAGGATTTGAATTTTATCATTAATTATGATTAGAATTACCCTTCAGATATTTTATCTTATGCAGGAGCTTTGCTATATGACAATGATGTTGTTGGTGTTATTAAATTTGACTATTACTAAGTTAAATTTAGAATATGGAATTATTTCAAAAACATAGATCCCCTAAAACCTACTATTTAAGCACGCTTTTCTGTCTATAACCCTACTTTTATTATGCCAAGCTTAACAACTATTAGCTTTAATATCAATTTCCCTCCTCAAAATTGTACTTTGGTAATTAGTCCACTACAAGGAATAGCACTTTAAACAGTTTTCTCAATTTAATTTTTGTATTGCATAGACGAAGATCTACCTTTGACTTACCAATTCTTCTATTATAATAGCATAGATGATGCTTAATAAGAATTAATCTCACCATGGAATATTTTAAGAAGATAAATATAAGATCAGACAACAGTAAATTCAATTCAAACTGTATTACCTTAAGGGAATCTTGTAATAATGAGTTAGGTTATAGATTCGCAACTAGGTGTTTATAATTAAACCTAGATTATTAGTATTTAAAGTTAAAATTTATCAACGAAAGATTATTATCAATTAGTAAATTAACTTACTTAGCAAACTCTATCTAGCACAAACTTATAAGCTACAAGCTAATTAATTACTTTAAGTTTAATCGGAGAAGACATTAGTAAAAATACATAATCCTCATAAGATTTAAATAATTTATGCTATCTATTAGTAACAAATCTTCAATAATTATCTATTTAAATACTTAAATTTTCATTGATATCTACATATGCTAATAAAGTAACTGCTAAACTATCAGGGTTACTTTTCAACTCAAAATAATAAATATAGACTATCGATAAAAATTAAATAATTTAAAAACTAAAATCAATAATTTAAAATACAGATTCAATCATTTAAAGCAATGATATGAGCTATTTATAGCAAAACAATGATTTTGCTATTCAAAATATTATAGATTCTTTCAAAATATTAAATTCTACTGTTACAATGAATTCTTAGAATACATAAAAAAATTTATAGGACTATGATCAAATTACTACCAGGTTAGGAAGTATGTTTTCTTATTTGAACCTACCTAATTAAGGGTCATTAATTCTAAATGGTAATCTATCATCACTATTAATCGACAAAATAACTCAAAAAAATATATACACATATGTTAATTCTTTTTATGAGCCAGATTTAGATAATGTTTTTAGTATATCAAGAAACAACTATGAATTAAATATTTATGAAAATACTCCAGAATTTTAAGCATACATTTAGCAAATGTAAAATATTAGTTCAAATTACACATACTCAAAGAACAAGCTGATTTAGACCTAAATTACTAAATCGGATACAAATAAACTCATAGATAATTCAACAATAATTTATAATTTTAATAATGCTGTAACTAGCTAGAAATACAACTTGACTTGTATATAATAGAATGATATATAATGGAGTAAAAAAAATTGTGTCCTACTCAAAAATAATTAAAATGAATCTGTGTGTTACTGTAATACATAGAAACCAACAACTATCATTGAGGATATTGATGACATGTTTTTAAAAAATGAAAATTTGAAGACTGTGTTTGGAGAGTAAGGATTCAAAAACATTGAAAATTTTAAAGAGTTTTATAATTACATAGTATTCTGGTTTATATTTGCTTTTACCTTGGCTTAAATTATTTTATTCTTCGTAGGATAAAGACTTGATAGAATTACACTTTAAAAGGGTTTTTAAAGAGTGCACAACCATTTAGAAATAATTAGCACTCAAAAAATTGAACCATAGCAAGAAAATTAGAAAGATAATTAAAATCTTAAAGAACCATCTATCGCAATGTGCAAAGACTAAGCTATCAATAATAACTCTCTTAATTAAAACAAGATTTAAAGTACAGAAAATGTTGAATATAAATGTTAAAACAATTAACATTTTCCATTAGTTTCTGATGAATTATCTGCTAAAATTAATGCTACTAATCCTTTTAAAAGAAAAAAAAAAACATTCATTAACTCTAATTAGCACCAAAGCGATGTAAATCTTAACTAAATTAGTTAAAATAAAATTGAGTTAAATCAAATAGATAAGAAATTAAATGATTAAAATGATAATAATGAAGAAGAAAGTATTGCAAAAAGCATTGAAAAAAGCAAAACTTAATAAGGATCTTAAACTTAAATTTAAGAATAAAAATAAATATAGATCTACTAATAGCTCTCAATATATAAAAAATTAGCAATATTTCATTAATTTTTTAGCATTTTTTATCTCTCACTAAATGATATTTCAAGACCAATAAGATTCACTCTTTTTTATATTAAAACTATCCACACCCTAGCTATTTCTATATTATTCAATGGTTATATGATGATAGATTAACAAATAGTAATTGCTTTGATTAACAGCATAATATTAAAAATAACCTCATCCCTAATTACATACACTTTTAAAAAAGATTAGATAGGAAAAGCTATTTCTATGGGTTTTTAATTAATAATGTGTTTGGTTTATTTTTACTTAATATTATCAGTGTCCAGTAGTAAAACTTCAAGTGAATCAAATGAGTTTTTAATTTTATTTTTTATATCACTATTAATGGAATTGGTAATTATTGAACTGATTATTTCATTAACTATGATTTTTTTGATTAAAAAACACATATAATATAATGATGATAAACACTTATATGGCATATTATTTAATATTTTAAAAATATAGGAAACTATTTAAAGTATTGATGTATGAACTTTATTTGTTTAATTTTATGTTTTGTTTTCTTCTTTCTTGAATAATCATAAAATTTAAAAATATAAATTTTGAATTCGAAAATTTTTTTAATAATTATAAATTATTTTACTCACTAAAATTTAAATTGAATATTTACAAATTTACTCCAAAACTTGTGGATTAAGATCAAAATTTATTTTATTAAAATTTTAATATTTATTTTATAGTTATAAATTTATAATGTCCCTTATCTCTTCTTCTGTCACATTATGGTGTATGTGTAACTTTTTGTTAAAAATGGAAAAAAATACTTAAAGTGTATATGATTTTTATAAGTAAGGGTGCAATTTCTATACCTAAAAAATGAAGGATTAATCAATTAACGTTAATATAAAGCAATTTATATAGAATAAAATATTCAAGCTTATGTTCGCTCTGCTTTAGCAAAGTGCACTAATCTCCTCTCATATTTTCATATTTGACAATTAAGCTTTCGTAAAAACAATAAAAATGAATTTAAAACCATATAAAAAACTCTTTTAAATTATTTTGAGTTTTTTATTTGATTTAATTTCCTTTTTATTTATTATATTGATGCTAAAAATAATATTTTATTTAAAAAATTATTCTTTTTTTAATAATTTACTTACACTAATTTATTTTAAAAGGTTAAAAAAAATCAATAAATAATAATAATTGAAAACTAATTGTCTTAAATCAAAAATATTAGTTGTTTTAAACATAAATCTTTATTAACAATAATGAAAAAAGGAAAAATAAATATAAAATTTTTGATAATTTAACCTATAATATAGATATATTTATAATAATTATTATAAATATCATATTTTGCTAAATAAATAAATAGCTCCTTAAACTAAATAAAATTTAATAATTAAATTTACTAAAATATAGTATTTATTTCCTTTAAAGTCATTAAAGTCACCTCTCACTAAAAACTAAAAAATATTTTACTAATTGCCTGTGTCTTATTTATCTCAAGAATATACAAAGAAAATAATCTAAAGTATATCTACTATATATTAAGAAAAGTGCCTTTGATCCCAGCCAAAAAAAAAAAAAAAAATTTCTCTTTATTCTCCGATCCCAAATATTTGGTTAAAATTAGCTCTGAATAAATAAATAAGAGTTATCAGACTAATTATCTATTTAGTATCGTAAATTTTCTAATTCATTTAAATAAATAATTAATTAATTTATTATCTTACAATTTAATAAACACATAAAGAGCATGCAATTTCTCTTTGATTTTTCTGTAAGGTTAATTTAATAAATAAATAAAAGAATTTATATAATAACTTCGTTTATAATTGTTAAGTGCATGTGTAAGCTTTTATACTTGAAAAAATTATTTTTAAAAAAAATAAGCAATAAATGTTCATTTTTTAAGGTCACATCAATCTCAGCTTAAAACACTTTACCTTACAAATTTTAATTTGATAAAAGATATTTAGGATATAACAGTTAAGATAGAACAAGAACTAATTGTGCTTAAAATAAGTATTAATAAAATAAATTTAAGAATACCAATCATTCAGAATATTATAAAAATTTATTTTTTAATTTCAAAAGTTGAAGGTAATAGTTAAAAACAATAATCTAAATCTAGTTAAATCATAAATACTAATATAATTTAATTAGAAATAAATAATGTTCTTTAAGGTTAATTTAATTCTTAAAATGATGAATTAAAAACCATTAATATAGAAAATTAATAAAATTAAAATAGGATAATAATTAATTTAACTTTGTTATATCTACAAATAGATTATTTATTTTTTTAAATTATTTTGATAATTTATGATGATTTTATTATTGACAAGTAGTAATAATAGAAGATACAATTATATAAATTAAATCTTTCTATACTAATAAAAATTAGGCAGTGATTAATATCTGAATAGTTATTTTAAAGTAATTATATGTAAACTGAAGGCAAATTTTTTTTTGAATTTTTTAAATCAGTAATATATAATCTTATTGATAATTCCATTCCTTTTTTTATGTTTTCAAAAGATAGTTACCAATGAATTTCTTAAATTGTGGCTAATTTTTAATTTTTGAAATTTCTTAAATTCTGGTTTTTTATAAAATAAAATCTAAGCTTTTCTGCTCATGCTCAGAGTTCAAAAAAGAGGATTTAGGGTAATTCTTTAAGAATATGATAAATAATTGTGATAGTGTTTGACTATTAAAAAAAAATGATAGAATAAAAAATTTTACTTGGAATCAACAGTAAAATATTAAGAAATAATATGATTTCGTTGTTGTATTACTCGTGAAGCACAATTAAAATAAATTAAATATATAAATAGCTATGGCTATGGATTAATTATATAATATAAATTAATAAACAAAAAAATAATAAAAATAAATAAAAAAAGTAAACTAATTAAAATGAAAGTTAGAATATGGATTTTATTCTTCTCAGTTTTAAATTGTAAATAAAATTTTCTATCATAACATATAAAAAATTATTAATTTTAAAATTAAAGACTAAATAAAATTAACAAGTTCATCAAATCTTTATCCTGATTGCACTCAAATTATGAATCAGTGTGGTTTTAATCCATCATGTAACAAAATTTAAAAATATTCTATTATTAAATCTTTAAATAAAAAAAACATAGACAGTGAATGCATAATAAATAAATAGGGTGTTGACAATTAATCTGATTTATAAGAGTATAAAAATTACATATAGTCTGATAATTGCTTAAATATAGTTTTAAGTCCAAGCAAAAGTCTAAATTACTTATCAGGAAATGATTGCTTCTCAAACATTCCATTTAGTTTTACTTTTAGCAGAAAAAACTAGTAAAAATATTTTTTTTAATAAAATAAATTTATTTTGTATTTTTCAAAAATTTTATTAATTTTTTTTTTAATTATTATTTTTATTAAAAAAAAAGATTTTAAAAAATTTATAAATTTAATTTGGTAATAAATGGAATAATTAATACTTATAAAACAATTACTTAAATTAGTGCAAGTTTGTAAGGAGTTTAGTTAGATTCTACAAACTAATATATTAATAGATGCTCGAGTAGCTATTCTTGCTATTATTTTGTTTATAATGGTCTATTAAACTTATACGATTTGAATCTAATTCTAACTCCATTGAATTCAAACTCTGTATAATATTAATAGTATATTACAGCAGCTTTTCTTCTTGTTTAACTTGTAAATTCTATTCAATATTTATTAGAAAAAAAATTTGTATTTTCTCAAAAAATCTTTTTTATTGAGAATTTATTATAATTTACAAATTTGAATAATATTTCAACTTTTTAAAAATATACTTCAAATTTTATATCCTCTTTAAAAGTGCTCTCCTTATTGTGATGAATGTGATTCTAATAACGTGTGCGCAAAATGTATTTAATAATACTATCTTGACTCTTCTGGAAGCTGTTAGCCTTGCTATTAAACTTGCTTAAATTGTTCTGGACCTTCGGGAAATAATTGTTTATAATGCGTTTCAGGGTTGTTCTTTTAGTAGCAATTAAGTTCATGTGTCTAAAATTGTGATCATAATCAATATCCAGACTCTTAAAATATATGTTAAATATGTGATTAACCATGTGCAAGTTGCTAAGGAGCAGGACCAAACAATTGCTTATCTTGTTAATTAGATTTATACTTATAACCTATTACACATTCATGTGTTTAAACCTGTAATTAAAACTAATTCAAAAATGCGTAATAACAATGCTAATTATGTGATCAAACTTGTAGCAGTTGTGATGGGGCAGGACCAAATAGTTGCTTGTCCTGTATATCTGGATTATATTATTAGCCAAATAAAAAATAATGTGTTTAGAATTGTGATTTAAATGAATTTATTAATTCTTTAAATCAATGTTAACCCTGTGATTAATCTTGCGCAAGTTGTAATAGTTCTTCTTCTAAAAGCTGTTTATCATGCCCTTAAAATAGCTTTTTGTTTAATAAGATGTGTGTAGGTATTTGTCCAAATGGATTTTAATCAAATCTCATTTCGCTCACTTGTGATTAATGTTAAAATTATATAGATCCTAAATGCAATTCTTGCTATCCTAGTTGCTAATTATGCAAATAGTCATAGGCTAAAAACTCTTAATGCGATAGCTGCTACTCAGAAACAAAATAATTAGATTCAGATAATAATTGCACTTGCTTAAATCCAAAAGATTTGAGAAATAATTTTTATTAATGTAGCTATCAAAATATTGCTGTGCTTGACATTTAATTAAGTGCATCAAAACCTTTGCTAATTATAGATTTCGGCTCACCCTTAAAAGATATTTCAGTAAATACTCCTTTTTCTTTATGTTAATAAATATTTGATCAGCCCACTTTGACTTTACTTGGTTCGGATTCATCTTGTTAAATAACTGGAAATCAAGTTTAAGTAATTTTAGGTAATTTTTTCATATTTAGGAAAGATTTTTATAAAATGAATAATTAAAATCTTATTTAAAAATTATCAAATAAAATTTTTAACTTTTTTAAAATAATTTTTCTTCTATTTTCTTCATTTAAATTTTGTAATAAACAAAATTTAAAGTCTCTTATTTAAAGCCAACCCTTGTTAATTAAAAAATCCTAATCTTATATAAGAAACCCATTTTTCCATAATTTAACATAGTATGGGGGTCTTAAAAGATAAATTTTATATTTTTTTATTTAATTATAGAAGAATATTCTGAGATAAAATATTTTTTTTAAAAAAAAGGTGATTCTTCAATAATAATGGCAAATAATATTATTAATTTTTTACCTAATAAGCTTTAATTTGAAGATTATAATACATATTTTATTAATACTTTCTATAGAAATATTGTTTTCTAGAATGATCCTGGGATTCCTTTGCTTAATTTTAATTACAACCCTAACCAAAACAGCTGCAATCCTTTAAGTATAGCTCTTTAAAATATACAAAATGATGCAGGTAGAAAATTTTTAAATATAAGTTGGACTTTAGTGCAAGTTATAGGAACAATTAGTGATGAATAGAAATAAAATATCAAAAAAATACTATAATAGGCAAGCTAAGATATGACCACAAGTATAACTATTGATCCTAAATACATCCCTTCAAATTAAAATATTGCAATACAATTTAATTATTAACTTAAAGTTAACAAAGTAGGCTCATAATTATTTACAATAAATTACTAATAATAAAAATAAATTAGAATCAGCTTTTAGTAATCAGTATATCCTCCTATATATAGGTATATTAATTATTTTTTTATTTTGATTTTAAAAATATCTTTTTATATAATTCACCAAAAGATACATGAGCTTGAGTTTCTACTTTTAATTTTATATTGAAATATGCGAGCTAGGTTTAATTACTTACAATAACGAGCCCGTTGATTTACAACTAATTTCTAACCAACTTCAATAAAAAAATCTGAGCTAATACAGTTTATCTAGCTATCAGTTTGATATTCCTCCTTACTCCTTATAATCTAATTCTCAATTAAATGCTAGTGTAATTTTTGATTTTTCATTCATTTTATCAATACTTTTTTATAGATTTCCTCTTTTAAAAATTAAACCTTTTTTAATTTTTCTACTATTATTTCATTTTTAATAAAAAGTTGGTTGTAAATTTAAGTTCAAACAAAAATATAATTGCTATTTAGAAGATATCAGTTGATATTTTAATTACAGATTTGTATTTGTAGGTTATCGGAGGCTCTAGTTTAGTTGTAGGTTATTAAAGTAAACTATCCTTAAATACCAACTCTAGAGACTTTGAAATTTAAGATTCTAAATCACCTTAAAACATCAACTTTAGTTGGGAATGCTCTAGTTTATCATCTAGTGACCATATTTGCTATGACTACAAGAATAATATTGTTTAATTACAACAAGGATCAAGTAGTATTTCTTTTCCTGCAAAAACATTTTAGCCATACACATCTATTATATTGAATGTAATCGGATAAAAAGACTCTAGAAAATCTAATTATAGAACAATATGCTTATTTACTGAGCTAAATATCCCTTAGTTAGAAGTACAGTTTTCTGCTACTCGTTTAAATTAAAAAATTAATTTAAATGAGGATTTAAATTTTATAATTAACTATGATGAGAATATCTCCTCAGATATTTTAACTTATGCTGGAGCTTTGCTATATGACAATGATGTTGTTGGTGTTATTAAATTTGACTATTACTAAGTTAAATTTAGAATATGGAATTACTTCAAAAACGTAGATCCCCTAAAACCTACTATTTAAGCACGCTTTTCTGTCTATAATCCTACTTTTATTATGCCAAGCTTAACAACTATTAGCTTTAATATTAATTTCCCTCCTCAAAATTGTACTTTGGTAATTAGTCCACTACAAGGAGTAGCACTTTAAACGGTGTTCTCAATTTAATTTTTGTATTGCTTAGATGAAGATCTTCCTTTGACTTACTAATTCTTTTATTATAATAGCATAGATGATGCTTAATAGGAATTAATCTCTCCATGGAATATTTAAAGAAGGTAAATATAAGATCAGACAACAGTAAACTAAATTCAAACTCTATTACCTTAAGGGAATCTTGTAATAATGAGTTAGGTTATTGATTCACAACTTGGTGTTTACAATCAAACCTAGGTGATTAGTGTTTAAAGTTAGAGTTTAACAACAAAAGATTATTTTTAATAAATAAATTAACTTACATAGCAAACTCTATCTAGCACGAATTTATAAGCTACAAGCTAATTAATTACTTTAAGTTTAATTGGAGAAGACATCAGTAAAAATACATAGTTTTCATATGATTTAAATAATTTAGGTTCTCTATTAATAACAAATCTTCAGTAGTTGTCTCTTTAAATACCTAAATTTTCTTTGATATCAACATATGCTAATAAAGTAACTGCTAAACTATCAGGGTTACTTTTCAACTCATAATAATAAATCTAGAATACTGACAAAAATTAAATAATTAAAATATTACAATCAATAATTTAAAATACAGATTCAAGCATTCAAAACAATGATCTGAGCCATTTATAGTAAAACAACGATTTTCCAATTCAAAATATTATCGACTCATTTAAAATATTAAATTCTTGTGTTACAATGAATTCTTAGAATACATAATAAAATTTATAGGACTATGATCAAATTACAACCAAGTTAGGAAGTATCTTTTCTAATATAAACTTACCTAATTAAGGGTCATTAATTCTAAATGGTAATCTATCATCTCTATTAATAGACAAAATAACTTAAAAAAACATATACACATATGTTAATTCTTTTAATGAGCCAGATTTAAATAATGTTTATAGTATATCAAGAAACAACTATGAATTAAATATTTATGAAAATACTTCAGAATTTTAAGGATATATTTAGCAAATGAAAAATATTAGCTCAAATTACACATACTCAAAGAACAAGCTGATTTAGACCTAAATTACTAAATCGGATACAAATAAACTCATAGATAATTCAACAATAATTTATAATTTTAACAATGCTGTGACTAGCATGAAATACAACATGACTTGCATATAATAGAATGATAAATAATGGAGTAAAAAAAATTGTGTTCTACTCAAAAATAGTAAAAATGAATCCGTGTGCTACTGTAATACATAGAAACCAACAACTATCATTGAGGATATTGATGACATGTTTTTAAAAAATGAAAATTTGAAGACTGCGTTTGGAGAGTAAGGATTCCTAAACTTAGAAAATTTTAAAGAGTTTTATAATTACATAGTATTCTGGTTTATATTTGCTTTTACCTTGGCTTAAATTATTCTATTCATTGTAGGATAAAGACTAGATAGAAAAACACTTCAAAAGAGTTCTTAAAGAGTGCACCACCATTTAGAAATAATTAGCACTCCCAAAATTGAGCCATAGCAAGAAAATTAGAAAGATAATTAAAATCTTAAAGAACTATCTATCGCAGGGTGTGAAGATTAAGTTATCAAGAATAACTCACCTAATGAAAAAAAAATTTAAAGTACAGAAAATATTGAAAATAAATTTTAAAACAATTAACATTTTCCAGTAGTTTTTGATGAATTTTATGCTAAAATTAGATGTACTAATCATTTTAAAAGAAAAAGAAAAGCATTCCTAAACTCTAATTAGAACCAAAGTCATGTAAATTTTAACTAAATTAGTTAAAATAAAATTGAGTTAAATCAAATAGATTAGAAATTAAATGATTAAAATGTTATTAATGAAGAGGAAAGTATTGCAAAAAGCATTGAAAAAAACAAAACTCGATAAGGGTCTGAAACTTACATTTAATAAAATTAAAAAATTCAAGAATAAAAATAAATATAGATCTATTAATAGCTCTCTATATATAAAAAGTTAGCAATATTTCATTAATTTTTTAGTATTTTTTATCTCTCACTAAATAATATTTCAAGATCAATAAGATTCACACTTTTTTATATTAAAACTATCCACATCCTAACTATTTCTATATTGTTCTAGAATTATATGATGGTTGATTAATAAATAGCAATTGCTTTGATTAACAGCATAATGTTAAAAGTAACATCATCCCTAATTACATACACTTTTAAAAAAGGATTAATAGGAAAAGCTATTTCTATGGGTTCCTAATTAATAATATGTTTGGCTTATTTTTACTTAATATTATCAGTGTCCAGTGGTAAAAAACCAAGTGAATCAAATGAGTTTTTAATCTTATTTTTGATATCACTTTATATGGAATTGGTTTTTATTGAACTGATTATTTCATTAACTATGATTTTTTTAATTAAAAAATACATATAATCAAATGATGATAAATGCTTATATAGCAAGTTATTTAATATTTTAAAATTATAGGAAACTATTTAAAGTATTGATGTATGAACTTTATATATTTATTTTTATGTGTTTTGTTATCTTTTTGAATAACCATCAAATTTAATAAAATAATTTTGGGTTCTTTCGATAGTAAATAAACAAACATTTTTAGTTAAAAAAGAAGGTTTTTCAGTAGATTTGAAAGAAAAATTAATTTACACATACTTTTTTTTCTATTTTTTTATGTTAATTAATATCAAAAATAATTTTTTTGAATAAAAAATTAAAATACTCTACTTGATTTTAAAACAATCTGTAAACAATATTGTTGGCCAATTTTATTTTCAAAGTTTGGTTTATTAAGCGAATTATAATTGTTTATTGATAAGGCAAATGGATAATTTGTGGTTATCTGTAATATTTTATGTCATTTTCTTTGAGGATTATTTGTGTTGTTGCTCTTGATTCTTCTATAGAATTAATTGATTAGTTATTCTTAATATCATTAAAAGACATTCCTAAATTTTATATTACCATGTCTGCATATCTTGTTGCTCTTTTTCGTTATGAATCATTTCTTTCCCATTATTTTTTCCTATTTTAATTTCAAACTCAACAAATTCTTTACAGTACTGCTTACTTCAACTGCCTACCCAAACTTGTTTACTTTAAAATAATTCTAAAGTAAAAAATACTTTTTAATTTGGCTTATATAATGCTCTTTGGTGTTAAAGAATTAAATTATGATTAAAATACTTATTTATTGGTTTAAGCAAAAAAAACAATTTTTGTAGCTTAATAAGATAATAAATAGCTGCTGAAAAAACAAAATTTACATATTTCATAATATGAATTTCTAAATTTAAAAGTAAAAATAGCATTTATTTATGAACAAGGAAGGTACTTCAATATTAATCTAAATTTACAAATAAATAGCTAAAAATTTTAAATCTAAATTTATTATAAAGATAATTTAAACTAAATTTTAAACACTTTTTAAAATTTGAAGCATTCATTAATTTAAAATATTATTTTTGTAATTTTGTTTGCTGAAATATACATACATACATACATACATACATACATCTATCTTTGATGTTTCGAAATTTACAAAATTAATAGAAAAATAAAATTCAAATAAATTTACCATTTATATTGTATGGAGATTTATAATTAAGTTGAATATTTTAGGGTAAATATTAGACAAAAATATTAATTTTATTATTATGTACTTAATAAGTACAAAATTAAAATCTTTAAGGCTAAAGACCTTTTAAAATAGTTAAATTTAGAACATAAACAATTTCCTCTTAATTAGTCAACTTTAGTAATCATTAAAATTTAATTCCCTATACTAATGAGTAAAATAAAACATTTATATTATTATGATTTCAGTTTCTAATTATAAATAATAATTAGAAAAGCTAAATAAATATTTATTTACTGATGATTTTTTATTTAAAATAATAAATTTAAGGTTTAAAAACCTGAATAAGTAGAAAAGATTAGTAAAAATGATGAAGCTAATATATATAATCATTCTTGATTACATTTATTTATATGTAATTAATGAATGTCTTGAAAATTGAATTATTAAAGGAATGTAAGGAAAAATAAATAGTATCTATGGTGAAAATACTTAAATCTTCAGTCTAAATTTACAAAAAATAATTAAAAAAAAACTTTAAATCTAAATTTAATTTTAAAATAATTTTAAATTTAAACACTTTTTAAAGTTAAAATCGTTAATTAATTAATTATATAAAAATATTTTTATAATTTTGTTGATTGGAATGTATTTCTACTTTGAACTTTTGAATTTTCCAAAATTCATAGAAAAATAAAATTTAATTAAGCTAAGTTGAAAGAAAATAAATAAATTTTCTAAGTATATTTTAAGGTAAAAACTATATTAAAGTATTTACTGATGATTTTTTATTTAAGACAACAAATGTAAGGTTTATAAAACTGAGTAAGTACAAAAGATTAGTAAAAATGACAAAAATAATACATATAATAATTCTTGATTACATTTATTTTTATGTAATAAATGAATGTGTTGAAAATTGAATTATAAAAGTAATGTAAGAAAAAATAGTAAGTATCTATGATAAAAGTTTTTAAACCTTGAGACTAAATTTACAAAAAAAGATTAAACTAAAAACTTTAAATCTAAAATTAATACAAATAGTTTATTTTAAAATATTTTCATTTTTTTGTTTTATGAAATGTATATTAAGATCTTCTTAAATTACCAAAATTCATAGAAAAATAAAATTCAAATTAATTTAAGTTTTAGTATTTTAATATTAAGTTGAAAGAAAAAAAATAATTATCCTTCAAAGTTAATTTTAAGGTAAATATAGACTTAATTTTAATTTTATTATATAGTAAGCTCAAAATACAAATCTTTAAAGCTTAAATCCTGCGGAAATTATTAAATTTAGTACATTAGCAATTTCTCTAGATTAGTGGTATCTAGTAATCTTTAAATTTTAGTTCTCTGTACTAACTAGTAAAATAGCATATTTATATTATTATAATTTCTGTTTATAATTATATATAATAATTAGAAAAGCTAATAATACCCACAAATGATTTTTTATCTAAAATAATAAATAATAAGGTTTAAAAATTGAAAAGAGTATAATAAATTAGTAAAATCAAGAAACTAATATAATTAATCATTCTTGATTACATTTATTTATATGCATTTAACGATTGTCTTGAAAATCCAATTATTAAATTAAAACATGAATTTTTCTTCTATTTTATTTTTGAAATTACATTCTGATGAATAAATTTAAGTTAGTAAATTCGCGAAATTTATTTATTTATTTTAAGACAAAAATATACGCGATATAAATATATTTTATATATTTAAAATTGCTTTTTTAATTTTTGATTTTCTAAATTTTAATTACTTTACTATAATTTTTGTATATTTTTGATCAATTTTTATTTATATAATGGAAGAAGGATTAAAATAAATACACTAATATAAAATTTGAACATAAAAAATAAATCCTTTTCTCAAATTATTTGTTAAAATTAGCTAGAAAAAAATTAATAGTGTTATGTATAAGTAATCTAGTATATGGTAAATTATCTAATTACAATTTAAGAAATGTATAATGAGCATGTAGTTTCTCTTTATTTTTTTTGTAAGGCTAATTTAATTAATCAAAAAATAAAGAAATAAAAGAATATAAATTTTGTTTAATTACTTTCTTTATAATTGTTACAGTGTCATTCATGTGTGAGTTTTATACTTCAAAAAAGATTTTTTAAATAATAACAATAAATGTTCATATTTTAAGATCACATTCGTCTCAGCTTAAGCATTTATCTTAGAAATTTTAATATAATAAAAAATTTAGGGTATAACAGTTAAGATAGAGCAAGAACTAATTGCGCTAAAAAAGTATTAATCATTAAAAAAAACAAATTTAAAAATATTAATCATGTAGCATTTTGGAAAAAACACTCTTAAATTACAATATAAGTTAGGTAAGAGTTAAAAACAATAATCTAAATATCGTAAGACCATAAATACTAATTGAAATATGATTTAATTATCAATTAATAATGTACTTTAAGATTAATTAAATTCTTAAAATGATCAATCAAAAGCCATTAATATGCAAAATTAATAAAAGTACAATCAATTAATAATTACTTAACTTTTATTTCATCTACCAATCTATTATTTTTAAAATTATTTTGATAATTTATGATGATAAGTAATAATAATAGATGATACAATTATACAAATAATATCTTTCTATTCTAATTTTAGACGTTGACTAAAAATTGAAAATTTATTTTAAGTAATTATATATAAACTGAAGACAATTTTTGATTTTAAAAAGACCAATAGTTTACAGTATTATTGATAGTTCTAATCCTTTTTTTACCACTTTCAAAAGATATACCAATGAATTTCTATAGTGACCAATTTATTTTAAATTTTTTATTGAATTTCAAAGCAAAAGTTTTTTTAAATAAAATATCACCTGGTGCTTCCGCTTGGCTCAAAATTCAAAATGGAGGAATTAGGGTAATACTAAAAGAATATAATAAATAATTGTGATAGTTTTTAGATATTAAATGAATAATGATAGAATAAAAAAAGTTTACTTGGAATTAATAGTAAAATAGTAAAGAATAATATGTTTGATTCTTACTGGTTGTATTATTAGTTAAGCATAATTTAAATATATAAATAGTTATGACTATGCGTTAATTTTATAATATAAATTAATAAACAAACAAATAATATAAATAAATAAAAAAAGTAAATTAATAAAAATGAAAATTAATACAATAAAGATTTTATTCATCACAGTATTAAATAGTAAATAAAATTTCCTATCATAACATAAATAAAAGATATTAATTTTAAAACCAAAGTCTTAATAAAATTCGCAAGTTCAGCAACTGTTTATCCTAATTGTACAAAAATTATGGTATCACGTGGCTTAAATCCAAAATGTATAAAAATATAAAAGTATCTTTTTATTAAATATTTAATAAAAAAATAGACAGCGAATGCATAATAAATAAACGTATTGCTGATTACTAATCTGATATATAAGAGTATTAAAAGTATTTATAGTCTGATTATTGTTTTAATATAGTTAATAATCGATACGATAATTTGAATTATTTATCAGGAGATAATTGTTTCTCAAATATTCCTTTTAATTTTACTTATAGCAGAAAAAGTTCGTAAAAAAATTATTTTAAAAATAAAAATCTTTTTATTAATATTTCTAATTGATTTTGAATTTTTCCAAAATGATTTTAATTATTAATTCAATTAAAAAAAAGGTTTTAAAAAATTTATAAATTTGATTTGGAAGTATTTGGCTTAATTACTACTTCTTAACCTCCAGCTTCTAAAATTAAAACAATTTTCAATGGAGTTGAACTAACCATAAGTGATGCAGACTAATTTATTACTGGTTGTTAGGGTGGTGCTTAATGCTATTATTTCACTTATAGACACCTATTAAACTAATACGATTTAAATTTAATTCTAACTCCATTGAATTCAAACACTGAAATATATAAATAGTTTATTTCAGCAGCTTTTCTTATTGTTTAACTTGTAAATAATTTCAATACTTAATTTGAAAAAAATATCTGTTTTTTTTAAATACATTCATAAATTTATTATAATTTGCTAATTTGATTTTTATTTCAAATTTTTTTAATTTATATCTATTTTATATCCTCTTTAAAAGTGCTCGCCTTATTGTGATGTATGTGATTTTAATAACGTTTGCTCAAAATGTATTCAAAAATATTATCTTGACTCCTCTGCAAGCTGTTAGCCTTGCGATTAAACTTGCTTAGACTGCTCTGGACCTTCATAAAATAATTGTTTATCATGCGTTTCAGGGTTATTCTTTTAGCAGCTATCAAGTTCATGTGTCTAAAGTTGTGATCATAATCAATATCCAGACTCTTAAAATATATGTAAATTATGCGATCAACAATGTGCAACTTGCTAAGGAGCAGGACCAAATAATTGCTTATCTTGTTAATTAGGTTTATACTTATAACCTATTACACATTCATGTGTTTAAACCTGTAATTAAAACTAATTCATAAATGCATAATAACAATGCTAATTATGTGATCAAACTTGTAGCAGTTGTGATGGAGCAGGGCCAAATAGTTGCTTGTCCTGTATATCTGGATTATATTATTAGCCTAATAAAAAATAATGTGTTTAGAATTGCGATTTAAATGAATTTATTAATTCTTCAAATCAATGTTAAGCCTGTGATTAATCTTGCGCAAGTTGTGATAGTTCTTCTTCTAAAAGCTGTTTATCATGCCCTTAAAATAACTTTTTGTTTAATAAGATGTGTGTAGGTATTTGTCCAAATGGATTTTAATCAAATCTCATTTCACTCACTTGTGATAAATGTTAAGATTATATGGATCCTAAATGTAATTCTTGCAACCCTAGTTGCTAATTATGCAAATCATCATAGGCTAAAGACTCTTAATGTGATAGCTGTTACTCAGAAACAAGATAATTAGATTCAGATAATAATTGCACTTGCTTAAATCCAAAAGATTTGAGAAATAATTTTTATTAATGTAGCTATCAAAATATTGCTGTACTTGACATTTAATTAAGTGCATCAAAACCTTTGCTAATTATAGATTTCGGCTCACCCTTAAAAGATATTTCAGTAAATACTCCTTTTGCTTTATGTTAATAAATATTTGATCAGCCCACTTTGATTTTACTTGGTTCAGATTCATAGTGCCAAATAACTGGAAATCAAGTTTAAGTAAATTTAGGTAGTTTTTTCATATTTTTTCAAGATTTGTATTAAAAAAAATTTTTTAATTAATTATTAAATATAATTTTAAAAAAATAAAATTTGTTAATTTAAAAAAAATAATTTTTGTTATTAGCTGATTTAAATTTTATAATAGAAAATCTTTAAAGAATTTCTATTATAAGACCCCCTTTATTAAAAAGTCCTAATCTTATTTAATTTTCCATAATTTAACATACTAAAGGGGGTCTTAAAAGAGAGATTTTACATTTTTTTATTTAATTATCTAAGAATATTCAAACATAAAACATTTTTTTTTTAAAAAAAAAAGGTGATTCTTCAATAATAATGGCAAATAATATTATTAATTTTTTACCTAATAAGCTCTAATTTGAAGACTATAATACATATTTTATAAATACTTTCTATAGAAATATTGTTTTCTAGAATGATCCTGGGATTCCTTTGCTTAATTTTAATTACAACCCTAACCAAAACAGCTGTAATCCTTTAAGTATAGCTCTTTAAAATATACAAAATGATGCAGGTAGAAAATTTTTAAATATAAGTTGGACTTTAGTGCAAGTTATAGGAACAATGAGTGACGAATAGAAATAAATAATCAAAAAAATACTGTAACAAGCAAGCTAAGATATGGCCACAAGTATAAATATTGATCCTAAATACATCCCTGCAAATTAAAATATTGTAATACAATTTAATTATTAGCTTAAAGTTAACAAATCAGGCTCTTAATTATTTACAATAAATTACTAATAATAAAAATAAATTAAAATAACCTTTTAGTAATCAGTATATCCTCCTATATATAGGTAAATTAATTACTTTTTTATTTTGATTTTAAAAATATCTTTATATTTATTTAATTCACCAAAAGATACATGAGCTTGAGTTTCTACTTTTAATTTTATATTGAAATATGCGAGCTAGGTTTAATCACTTATAATAACGAGCCTGTTGATTTACAATTGATTTCTAACCAACTTCAATAACAAAATCTGAGCTAATACAGTTTATCTAGCTATCAGTTTGATATTCCTCCTTACACCTTAGAATCTAATTCTCAATTAAATGCTAGTGTAATTTTTTATTTCTCATTCATTTTATCTATTCTATTTTTATAGATTTCCTCTTTTAAAAATTAAATCTTTTTTAATTTTTTAATTTATTTTAATTTTTAATTTTTAATAAAAAGTTGGTTGTAAATCTAAGTTCAAACAAAAATGTAATAGCTATTTAGAAGATATCAGTTGATATTTTAATTACAGATTTGTATTTGTAGGTTATCGGAGGCTCTAGTTTAGTTGTAGGTTATTAAAGTAAACTATCCTTAAATACAAACTCTAGAGACTTTGAAATTTAAGATTCTAAATCGCCTTAAAACATCAACTTTAGTTGGGAATGCTCTGGTTTATCATCTAGTGACCATATTTGCTATGACTTCAAGAATAATGTTCTTTAATTACAACAAGGATCAAGTAGTATTTCTTTTCCTGCAAAAACATTTTAGCCATACACATCTATTATATTAAATGTTATCGGATAAAAAGACTCTAGAAAATCTAATTATAGGACAATATGTTTATTTACTGAGCTAAATATCCCCTAGCTAGAAGTACAGTTTTCTGCTACTCGTTAAAATTAAAAAATTAATTTGAATGAGGATTTGAATTTTGTCATTAATTATGATGAGAATATCCCCTCAGATATTTTATCTTATGCTGGAGCTTTGCTATATGACAATGATGTTGTTGGTGTTATTAAATTTGACTATTACTAAGTTAAATTTAGAATATGGAATTATTTCAAAAACGTAGATCCCTTAAAACCTACTATTTAAGCACGCTTTTCTGTCTATAACCCTTCTTTTGTTATGCCAAGCTTAACGACTATCAATTTGAATATCAATTTCCCTCCTCATAATTGTACTTTGGTAATTAGCCCACTACAAGGAGTAGCACTTTAAACGATGTTCTCAATTTAATTTTTGTATTGCTTAGATGAAGATCTTCCTTTGACTTACTAATTCTTTTATTATAATAGCATGGATGATGCTAAATAAGAATTAATCTAGCCATGGAATATTTTAAGAAGATAAATATAAGATCAGTCAACTGTAAATTCAATTCAAACTGTATTACCTTAAGGGAATCTTGTAATAATGAGTTAGGTCATAGATTCACAACTCGGCGTTTACAATTAAACCTAGATGATTAGTGTTTCAAATTTAAATTTACCAACGAAAGATTATTATCAATAAGTAAATTAACTTACTTAGCAAACTCTATCTAGCACAAACTTATAAGCTACAAGCTAATTAATTACTTTAAGTTTAATCGGAGAAGACATTAGTAAAAATACATAGTCTTCATAAGATTTAAATAATTTATGCTCTCTATTAATAACAAATCTTCAGTAATTATCTCTTTAAATACCTAAATTTTCTTTGATATCAACATATGCTAATAAAGTAACTGCTAAACTATCAGGGTTACTTTTCAATTCATAATAATCAATATAGACTATCGATAAAAATTAAATAATTTAAAAACTACAATCATTAATTTAAAATACAGATTCAAGCATTTAAAACAATGATCTGAGCTATTTATAGCAAAACAACGATTTTCCAATTCAAAATATTATCGATTCTTTCAAAATATTAAATTCTTGTGTTACAATGAATTCATAGAATACATAATAAAATTTATAGGACTATGACCAAATTACTACCAAGATAGGAAGTATGTTCTCTAATATGAATCTACCTAATTAAGGGTCTTTAATTCTAAATGGTAATCTATCAACTCTATTAATAGACAAAATAACTTAAAAAAACATATACTAATACGTTACTTCTTTTAATGAGCCAGATTAAAATAATGTTTTTAGTATATCAAGAAACAATTATGAATTAAATATTTATGAAAATACTCCAGAATTTTAAGGATATATTTAGCAAATGAAAAATATTAGCTCAAATTACACATACTCAAAGAACAAGCTGATTTAAACATAAATTACTAACTAGGATACTAAAAATCTCATAGATCATTCTACAATAATTTATAATTTTAATAATGCTGTAACTAGCTAGAAATACAACATGACTTGCGTATAATAGAATGATAAATAATGGAGTAAAAAAAATTGTGTTCTACTAAAAAATAATGAAAATGAATCAGTGTGCTATTGTAATACATAGAAACCAACAACTATCATTGAGGATATTGATGACATGCTTTTAAAAAATTAAAATTTGAAGACTGCATTTGGAGAGTAAGGATTCATAAACTTAGAAAATTTTAAAGAATTTTATAATTACTTAGTATTCTGGTTTATATTTGCTTTTACCTTGGCTTAAATTATTCTATTCTTTGTAGGAAAAAGACTAGATAGAATTACTCTCCAAAAAAACTTTTAAAGAGTGCACCATCTTTTAGAAATAATTAGCACTCCAAAAATTGAACCAATGCTAGAAAATTAGAAAAATAATTTAAATCTTAAAGAACCATCTATTGCTATGTGTGAAGATTAAGTTATCAATAATAACTCTCCTAATGAAAACAAGATTTAAAGTACAGAAAATATTGAATATAAAAATTAAAACAATTAACATTTTCCACTAGTTTCTGATGAATTATCTGCTAAAATTAATGCTACTAATCCTTTTAGAAGAAAAAGAAAAACTTTCCTTAACTTTCAATAGTAGCAAAGTCATGTAAGTTTTAACTAAATTAGTTAAAATAAAATTGATTTAAATCACATAGAAAAGAAATTAAATAATTAAAATGTTAATATTGAAGAAGAAATCATTGCAAAAAGTATTGATAAAAAGAAAACTCAATAAGGATCTTAAACTTCCATTGAAGAAAATTAAAAAATTCAAGAATAAAAATAAATATAGATCTACTAACAGCTCTCTATTTATAAAAAGTTAGCAATATTTCATTAATTTTTTAGCATTTTTTATCTCTCGCTAAATGATATTTCAAGACCAATAAGGTTCACTCTTTTTTATATTAAAACTATCCATACCCTAGCTATTTCTGTATTATTCTATGGTTATATGATGATAGATTAACAAATAGTAATTGCTTTGATTAACAGCATAATATTAAAAGTAACCTCATCCCTAATTGCATACACTTTTAAAAAAGGTTAAATAGGAAAAGCTATTTCTATGGGTTTTTAATTAATAATATCTTTGGTTTATTTTTACTTAATATTATCAGTGTCCAGTGGAAAAAAATCAAGTGATTCAAATGAGTTTTTATTCTTATTTTTGGTATCACTTTCTATGGAATTGGTTCTTATTGAATTAATTATTTCATTAACTATGATTTTTTTGATTAAAAAACACATATAATCAAATGATGATAAATGCTTATATAGCAAACTATTTACCCTTTTAAAAATATAGGAAAACATTTAAAGTATTGATGTATGAACTTTATTTATTTATTTTTATGTTTTGTTATCTTCTTTCTTGAATAGTCATAAAATTTAATAAAATAAATTTTGAATTCGTTTTTGTAAAAAATAGATAAAAATAAAGTTTTTTTGATTTTTATAAGTAAAGGTGTACTTTATATACCAAAAAAAAATGAAGGATTAATCAATTAAATGTTAATATAAAACAATTAAAATAGTTTTAAATGTTATGAAATAAAATACTTTAAATTATATTATTCAATTTTAAAATTTATTCAATCTTTTTTCACCATTTTATTTATTGTTTTAAAGACAACCAATCTTTTTGATTTAAGACACTTACCCTTTACTTTCAATTGTTCAAACTCATTGATTTGGTTTTGACTTTTAATATAAATTAATTAAAATTATTAATATCAAAATTAACAAAATAAATTGTCTAAATTTAAATAATATTTTAAATCAGTAAGTAAAATAATAAAACTAGAATAAATCATAAGTTAAATTAAAAGCTAATACTAAAATCGAAAGCAAATAAATTAATTTGACTAGAGTTTAGGTGTTAAATTTGAAAGATTAATGCACTTTAGCGAAGCAGAACATAAGTCTAGGTAACCTTCACCATCAATTTAATTAAACCTTATTAAATATTGAAAAAAATTTAAATATTAAATTAATTAGTTAGAAGGAAATAATCAAGAAAAATATGAAATAGTTAGAAATTAATTAAAATAAAAGCAAAAATTTAAAATTAAAAAATTATTAAATTAATAAAGAAGAAAAAAAAATTAAATATTAATAAAATAAAAAGCTAAAAAATAAACTAATAAGCATAATTGTTGTTTTAAATTAGTGTTTTTATTAAAAAATATTAAAATTAAAAACAAATAAAATTATTTTACCCAAAATTAAGTGTCAAATTTGAGAGATTAGAGCAATTAACTAAACCAGAACCTAAGTCTAAGATGCCAATAGAACCAATTTTATTGTTTCTTTTAAATATTGAAGAATATAAGTAATAAATTAGGTAGTTTGAGGAAATTTAAGAAAATATGAAATTTTAAGAAATGAAAATTAAAAAAAATATTATATTTAAAAATATCACAATCCAAAACAAACAAATAAGTTGTTTTTACTAGAGATTAAGCTCCAAATTTTATAGATTAGAGCAATTTATTAAAGTATAACCTAAACATGATGCACATACTGCACCAGTTTAATTGTAACTTTTGAAGAAATTATAAATAATTAATTAGTTATTTTGAAGGAAAAAATCATAATGAAATGAATTAATTAATAATGATTGCAAAAGTTGAAAATATAGAATTAAATGAGCTAAATTAAGAAATTAAAATGCTCAAAAACACAATAAAACGAAAATTAAATCAAATAAAAAGAAATACATAAATTAAAATAATTTTATTTTTTTAAATTCATTTAAATATTTATCAAAATCCAAAATAAATAAAACTGCTTTTACTAAAGATTAAGTGCAAAATTTGAGGGATTATTGCACGTTGCTAATGCAAATCCTAAGTTTTATGTCACATTTTCCAATTTAATTCTACCTTTTTATAAAATGAAGGAAAAATAAATAATAATGAATTAATTATTTTGCGAGAAGATAAAAAATGATGAAAAAATATGAAACAAATTAATTAATAGTCAAAGCAAAAGTTGAAAATTAAAAAAAAATCAGTTAAATCAACAAAGAAAAAAGCATAGAAAGAAAATAAAAAGAAAAATAAATCAAATAAAAATAAATTAAAAGAGTTTTATTGTTTTAAATTCATTTTTTTTTTATATATTAAAATACTTTACTCAAGATTAAGTGTCAATTTGAGAGATTAGTGTAATTTGCTAAAGTAGAATTAATTAATAAATAATTAATTTTTTCTTTTAAAATAAATATTATAAAATAAAAATCTATTATAAATTAAAAATATAATTTCTTAAATTAAATTTTTATATTAAAAAATTATAAAATAAATATTTTTCAATAAAAAGCAAAATAAAATTATTAAATTTATTAATCTATTTTATAGCAAATCCAGGAATTAAATTCTTAATTCACCACTTCCATAAGAATTTAATACCTGGAATTGCTATATTTAGTTAGAAAGAAAAATGAAGAAAAAATATGAAATAAATAATAAGGAACGAATTAATTAATATCAAAGTAAAAGTTGAAAATGACATAAATAATAAAACACAAATAAAAAGTTAATAAGTAAATTAAAAGAGTTTTTTTTATTTTTAATTTAATTGTATATTAAAAAATATAAAAATTTAAAGCAAATAAAATATGTTTACCCTATATCAAGGTTAACAAATTAAAATATGATTAAAATACTTATTTAGTTGTTTAAGCAAAAAATAATTTTTGTTAGTTAATGAAAATAAATATATTTTTGGGTGAATATTAGACATATAATTTTATTATTACTAAGTAAGTGTAAAATAACAATCTTAAAGGCTCAAACCTTCTAAAATAGTAAAATTTAGATAATAAACAATTTTCTATTCTTTATCTAACTTTATTAATCATTACAATTTAATTATCAATACTAATTATAATTTCAGTTTATAATTATAAATAATAATGATAAAAGCTAAATATTTAATTATGATTTTTATTTAAAATAATAATTTTAAGGTTTAAAAACCTGAATGAGTAAAATTGATGAAACTAATACATAGAAACATTCTAGATTACATTTTTGTATATGTATTTAATGTATGTTTTGAAAATTGAATTATAAAAGTAATATAATTAAAATATAGTTTCTATGGTGAAAGTACGTACTTAAATCTTGATTCTAAATTTACAAAAAATAATTGAACTAAAAATTTTAAATCTAAATTTAATGTAAAAATAATTTAAACAAAATTTTAAAGACTTTTTAAAGTAAAAATCATTAATTCTAAAATTATTTCATAATTTTGTTTATTTGAATGTGTATCAACAATGATATTTGAATTTTTCAAAAATTCATAGAGAAATTTAATTTAATTAAATTTAACTATTTGCTTGACACAAATTAAGTTGAAAGAAACTAAATCAATTTTCTAAGTAGATTTTAAGGTAAATATTATTTTTAAATATTTACTGATGATTTTTTATTTAACCCTTCAATAGGGGGGGCATATAACTCTTAAGGTTCAATAGCTCAATTAAAAATCTATCTGCTTACTGAATTTTTAAAAAAAATATCTTATTTAGGTACTAACAATTTCTATCCCTTTAGGGTTTAAATAAATTATCATATAGACTCTAAACAAACAAACAAACAAAGACATAAAACTAGTAAAATCTAAGATGGATTTATAGATCTCGAAAAAAACAAAAGATAATTTGAGCTTCTGAAAGAAGTGCTTAAATATTGCTAAAGTCCATGAATATGCATTCATTTTTTTGTTTACTGAAATGTTTATATTTATGATCATTTTAAATTACCAAAATTCATAGAAAAATAAAATTCAATTTAATCTTTAACTTTTTGTTTAATAAATATTATGTTGAAAGAAAATAAATAATTATTTTTCAAAATATATTTTAAGGTAAATAAACTCTTAATTTTTTATTTTATTATTAAGATACTAATTAAGTGCAAAATAGAAATCATTAAAACTTAAATACTTGGGAAATGATTAAATTTAGAACATAAGTAATTTCTCTGCATTAGTGGGCTATAGTAATCTGTAAACTTTAGTTATCTCTACTAACTAGTAAAATAGCACATTTATGTTATTATAATTTTATTTTAAAATTATAAATAATAATTAGAAAAGCTAATAATATCTAATAATGAAGATTTTTTACCTAAAATAATAAATAATAATGAAAGAATATGATAAATTAGTAAAATCTAAGAAACTAATATAATATTCTTGATTACATTTATTTATATGCATCTAATGGTTGTCTTGAAAATTAAATTATTAAATTAATGTGTGAATTTTCTTCTATTTTATTTTTGAAATTATTTGTTTATGTTTTGATGAAATAAATTTAAATAATTAAACTTGCCAAATTTATTTATTTTAATACAAAAATACTTGCAATAAAAATTTATTTTATATTTTAAATTGCTGTTTTAATTATTGGCATATTATGCATGTAAGAAAGATGGTAAGATCTTAATTAATATACAATAATTTTTGTATATTTTTGATCAATTTAGAATTTGAAATTAAAAATAAATCATTTATCATATTTTTAGATTATTTTATTTTACAGAATTTAAATAAATGGATTTAAATTAACATTTATTTTTCCATAAATTTTATCTGCTAACTTAAAATTTTATCTATATTAATCCTACAATCAGAGCTTACAAACATGTGACTAAATGATAAAAAATTTAATAGTAAAGAAAATTTCACAAATCATTTGTTAAAATTAGCTAGAAAAATATTAATAGGGTCATGTACTAATAATCTATTATATGGTAATTTTTTAAAATCATTTAAAAAATTAAAAGAATGATTTTAAAAAATTAAAAGAATTATCTAATTACAGTTTAATAAAAGTACAAAGAGCGTGTAGTTTCTCTTTATTTTTTGTGTAAGGCTAATTTGATTAATCAAAAATAATTAATAAAAGAAATAAAATATTGTTTAATTACTTCCCTTCATGTGTGAGTTTTATACTTGAAATAAATATTTTTAAAAATGAAAACAATAAATGTTCATATTTTAAGATTACGTTCATCTCAGCTTAAATATTTATCTTAGAAATTTTAATATATTAAAAATATTTAGGGTGTTACAGTTAAGATAGAACAAGAAATAATTGCGCTAAAAAAGTATTTATCATTAAAAAAAACAAGTTTAAGAATATTAATCATGTAAAATATTAGAAATTACTTTTAAATTACATCATAAGTAAGGTAAGAGTTAAAAACAATAATTTAAATTTTTTCAAACCATAAATACTAATTGAAAAATGATTAACTTAACTTTTATTACATCAGCCAATCTATTACATTTTCAAATTATTTTGATAATTTATGACGATAAGTAATAGTAATAGATGATACAACTATACTAATAATTTCTTACTATTTTAATTTTAAACTAAAGACCATTTTTGAATTTAAAAAGACCAATAATTTACAATTTTATTGATAGTTCTAATCCTTTTTTTACCTCTTTCAAAAGATATACCAATGAATATTCTATAGTGACTAATTTTAAATTTTTTATTGAATTTCAAAGCAAAAAGTTTGATTTTAGATAAAATATCACCTAGGTTTTCCTCTTGGCTCAAAAATGAGGAATTATGGTAATACTTAAAGAATATAATAATTAATTGCGATAGTTTATGGATGTTAAATGAATAATGATAGAATAAAAAAAGTTTATTTGGAATTAATAGTAAAATAGTAAGGAATAATTAGTTTGATTCTTACTTGTTGTATTTTTAGTTAAGCATAATTTAAATAAATTAAATATATAAATAGTTATGACTATGCATTAATTTTATAATATAAATTAATAAAAATAATAATAATAATAATAATAAAATAAAAAAAGTAAATTAATAAAAATGAAAGTTAATACAATAAAGATTTTATTTTTCTCAGTTATAAATAGTAAATAAAATTTCTTATCATAAAATAAATAAAAGATATTAATTTTAAAACCAAAGTCTTAATAAAATTCGCAAGTTCATCAACAATTTATCCTGACTGTACACAAAAAATGGAAGATTTTCATTTAAATCCAATATGTATCAAAATATAAAAGTATCTTTTTATTAAATATTTAATAATAAAAAATAGACAGCGAATGCATAATAAATAAACGTGGTGTTGAAAACTAATCTGATTTATAAGAGTATAAAAAGTATTTATAGTCTAATAATTGCTAATTTAAATAAAAAAATAAATTCGATCAACAATATTACTTATCAGGAATTAATTGTTTTTCAAATAATCCTTATAGTTTTACTTATAGCAGAAAAAGCTAGTAAAAATATTATTTTTAAAATAAAAATCTTTTTATTAATATAAATAATTGATTTTGAATTTTTCAAAATTTTATTAATTATTATTTCAATTAAAAAAAAGGTTTTAAAAAATTTATAAATTTTATTTGGAAATATTTGGCTTAATTAGTACTCAATATACATCTTCTTAAATGAAAGTAAGTTTAAATGGAGTTGAAATAACCAAATCACTTGATGCTTGTAATGGTGCTTTATGTTATTCTTTCAAGTAGTAAGATCTATTAAACTCATATGATTTAAATTTAATTCTTTATCCATTGAATTCACCCTCTGAAAAATATTAATAGTATATATAAGGAACTTTTCTTATTGTTTAACTTGTAAATTATTTCAATATTTAATTTGAAAAAAATATATTCATAAATTTATTATTATTTGCAAATTTGACATTTATTTCAAATTTTTTAAATTTTTATCTATTTTATATCCTCATTAAAAGTGCTCGCCTTATTGTGATGAATGTGATTAAGACAACGTATGCTCAAAATGTATTGAAAAATATTATCTTGACTCTTCTGGTAGCTGTTAGCCTTGCGATTAAACTTGCTTAAACTGCTCTGGACCTTCAAATGAAAATTGTTTATCTTGTGTTTCAGGGTTGTTTTTTTAGCAGAAATCAAGTTCATGTGTCTAAAATTGTGATTAAAATTAATATCGAGACTCTTAAAATGTATGTTAATTATGCCATCAATCATGTGCAATTTGCTAAGGAGCAGGACCAAACAATTGCTTATCTTGCTAATTAGGTTTATACATGTAACCTATTACACATTCATGTGTGTAAACTTGTGATTAAAATTAATATCGAGACTCTTAAAATGTATGTTAATTATGCCATCAATCATGTGCAATTTGCTAAGGAGCAGGACCAAACAATTGCTTATCTTGTTAATTAGGTTTATACATGTAACCTATTACACATTCGTGTGTTTAAACTTGTGATTAAAATTAATATCCAGACTCTTAAAATATATGTTAATTATGTGATCAATCATGTGCAATTTGCTAAGGAGCAGGACCAAACAATTGCTTATCTTGTTAATTAGGTTTATACATGCAACTTATTACACATTCATGTGTTCAAACTTGTGATTAAAATTAATATCCAGACTCTTAAAATATATGTTAATTATGCGATCAATCATGTGCAATTTGCTAAGGAGTAGGACCAAACAATTGCTTATCTTGTTAATTAGGTTTATACTTATAACCTATTACTCATTCATGCGTTTAAACTTGTGATTAAAATTAATATCTAGACTCATAAAATATATGTTAATTATGTGATCAATCATGTGCAACTTGCTAAGGTGCAGGACCAAACAATTGCTTATCTTGTTAATTAGGTTTATATATGTAACCTATTACACATTCATGTGTTTAAACTTGCAATTAAAACTAATTCATAAATGCATAATAACAGTGCTAATTATGTGATCAAACTTGTAGCAGTTGTGATGGAGCAGGACCAAATAGTTGCTTGTCCTGTATACCTGGATTATATTATTAGCCAAATAAAAAATAATGTGTTTAGAATTGTGATTTAAATTAATTTATTAATTCTTTAAATCAGTGTTAACCCTGTGATTAATCTTGCGCAAGTTGTGATGGGTCTTCTTCTAAAAGCTGTTTATCATGCCCTTAAAATAGCTTTTTGTTTAATAAGATGTGTGTAGGTATTTGTCCAAATGGATTTTAATCAAATCTCATTTCACTTACTTGCGATTAATGTTAAAATTATATGGATCCTAAATGCAATTCTTGCCATCCTAGTTGCTAGTTATGCAAATTCTCATAGGCTAAAGACTCTTAATGCAACAGCTGCTTCTCAGAAACAAGATTATTAGATTCAAATAACAATTGCAATTGCTTAAATCCAAAAGATTAAAGAAATAATTTTTATTAATGTAGCTATCAAAATATTGCTGTACTTGACATTCAATTAAGCTCAACAAAACCACTGCTAATTATAGATTTTGGTTCACCTTTAAAAGGTATATCAGTAGATACATCTTTTCTTATATGTTAATAAATATTTGATCAGCCCACTTTGATTTTACTTGGTTCAGATTCATTGTGCCAAATAACTGGAAATCAAGTTTAAGTAAATTTAGGTAATTTTTTCAGATTTAGACAAGATTTGTATAAAAAATTTTTTATTTAATCATTTAATAAAATCTTTTTTAAATAAAATTTGTTAATTTTTGTTCTTTATTCATTAAAAAGAACCCCATTTTTTCATAATTTAACAAACTAAAATGGGGTCTTATAATAGAGAGCCCACATTATTTTATTTAATTATTGAAGAATATCCGAAGATAAAATATTTTTTTTTAACAAAAAAGGTGATTCTTCAATAATAATGGCAAATAATATTGTTAATTTTTTACCTAATAAACTCTAATTTGAAGACTATAATATGTATTTTATAAATACTTTCTATAGAAATATTGTTTTCTAGAATGATCCTGGGATTCCTTTGCTTAATTTTAATTACAACCCTAATGAAAACAGCTGCAATCCTTTAAGTATAGCTCTTTAAAATATACAAAATGATGCAGGTAGAAAATTTTTAAATATAAATTGGACTTTAGTGCAAGTTATAGGAACAATGAGTGACAAATAGATATAAAACATCAAAAAAATACTGTAACAAGCAAGCTAAGATATGGCCACAAGTATAAATATTGATCCCAAATATATCCCTTCAAATTAAAATATTGCAATACAATTTAATTATTAGCTTAAAGTTAACAAAGCAGGCTCTTAATTATTTACAATAAATTACTAATAATCAAAATATATTAAAATCATCTTTTAGTAATCAGTATATCCTCCTATATATAGGTAAATTAATTAATTTTTTATTTTTATTTTTATTTTAAAGTATCTTTATATTTATTTAATTCACCAAAAGATACATGAGCTTGAGTTTCTACTTTTAATTTTATATTGAAATATGCGAGCTAGGTTTAATCACTTACAATAACGAGCCTGTTGATTTACAACTAATTTCTAACCAACTTCAATAACAAAATCTGAGCAAATACAGTTTATCTAGCTATCAATTTGATATTCCTCCTTACACCTTAGAATCTAATTCTCAATTAAACGCTAGTGTAATTTTTGATTTCTCATTCATTTTATCTATTCTATTATTATAGATTTCCTATATTAAAAATAAACCTA